CAGACGCTTTGCCTTAGTGGCCTGATTGCATGCATGTAAATGGGGGAGGGGCGTCAATCAAATCCAGGCTATGCATCAGCAAATCAAAGCGATATTCGTAAAGCTAGGCAAGCAAGGGTTAACATTGGAGAAACATAAGGCTTGAGGCTTATTGGTTCTTTAGATCGAAACTGTTTGGATTTGCTTTCCTTCTTAAATATTGGTGTACCATTTTGGCTTCAAAAGAATCTCTTCTTGCTTCTGCCCCTCTCTTTGGGGGAGGGGTCGCTTAACTCAGGGATGTGAGGTTAGGGGGCGCTACGATGCGCTTGCTGGACGAGCGGACCCCCTCATCCACTTGGTGCCTGACAGGCTAAATCCGGATTGATGCGGGTTCCTCACCGGCGGGTTGGGCCGCGTGGCAGAGCCCCGGTTGGAGCCGGCGGGGGTGCCCCCCTTGGGCGTGGCGGTCAGGTCGAACACCGGCCCGTCGTACATGCCCCTGGGCACGGCATGCAGGTCCGCCATCTTCCTCCGCGCTTTAGTGCACTTGTAGACGTAGTCCAAGAAGGGGCTGCAGGGCATGAAGTGGCCAGCCCCCTGGGTCACATGCAGATTGCCATCTTCCAGCATGATCTTGCCCTGGCAGATGACCACCAGAGGAGCCCCGCACAGCTCCATGCCCTCGAAGATGTACTCTGCAGCCGACTGGTGGTTCTTGGCAGAGACGATCTTGACAGCATCTGGATCCCAGATCACCAGGTCGCTGTCAGAGCCCACGGATATTCTTCCCTTGCGAGGATACAGATTGAAAATCTTGGCAGCATTTGTGCTTGTCACGGCCACAAACTGGTTTTCATCCATTTTTCCCGTGGCCACAGCCTTGTCCCAGATGACAGACATGCGCTCCTCCACACTGTTGGTGCCCTCGGGAATGGCTGTGAAGTTGTCCTTCCCGATGGCTTTCTGGGCAGTGCTGAAGGTGCAGTGGGCACTCCCAGAGAGCTGCAGGTCTCCACTGGCCAGCAAGGAGTTGATGTAGTCTGGAGTGGTCGGGTCAGGACTCAGAGGTGGATGTCACAAAGGCAGCTGCCTTGGCCCAGTTCTTACTCCAGTAATGGGTCCCATCCGTGCCCAGGCTGGCAGTGATGGGCTCACCAAAGACCACGTTTCCTTTTTTCCTGGCTTGCGAGATGAGGTCGGCCGCACTCTTGCTCGTGACCTTCGTGACGTAGAGAGGACAGTTGGTTTGGCCAGCAACGGTGATGGCTCGGGACACAGCCTCAGCTTCCAGCTCCTCTGGTCTGCTCAGCACATGGCCTTCTGGGCCAGTTACCCCCATTTCCAGCTTCCAGGTTTGCTCCTGGGCAATGATGTCCCCGTTCTCAGCGTGCACTTGAGCGATGGCCCCCAGCTCTCCCAGACACGTGAAGATCTCCTGCAGCTCCGTGTTGGACACTTGACACCAATCCTTGTAGGCGTGTAAACCAGGAAGGAGTTCACCCCTTTGTCCTTGATGAGGCCCTGCGCCTCCTGCTCGATGCTGTCGTTCCAGTGGGTGAGGTCCACATGTAAGGCGTAGTCGCAGCGGCTCTTGCCATCGGCCCACTCCTGCCACTTCTCACAAGCCTCCGTCAGGCTGGACTCGGGCTTGGGCACCACATGGTCAGTGATCATGGTGGTGCTGTCCGCTAAGGCAGCCTTGATCCCTTGGAAGAAGTCATCCACTGTGGTCATGCCCTTGTATGGCATCTGGAAGTGAGTGTGGACATCGATACCTCCAGGGATCACCATCTTCCCATTGGCCTCGATGGTCTTCACTCCTCCAGGGACAATCAGATTGTCTCCAGTTTGCTTTATTAAGCCATCTTCCATGTAAATATCAGCATAAAAGGATTGATCATTATTGACGATTCTGCTTCCCTTGATCAGAAGATGGTCGCTCGTGATGCGCGGGATGTTCTTCTTGCCTTGGTAGGACATGGTGGCGGTGTCGGTGGCTGCAGTAGCTGCCTGCCTCTCTCCTCCTTCTGCTCCTGCTCTCCCGCGCCTTCCTCAGCGCACAGCGCCCCGAGATCAGGTGGAGCGAGTGGTGTGCTGGCCGCGGCCACTGCCTCCGCCCCCCTCCCGGTCTCCTGCGGCGGCTGCCAGAGACAATAGTAAATCTCCCTGGTCCCCCTTTTCACCCCCGACCCCCCCCCCGCTCCACACCCACCCTACACACACACATGCACACACCCACCCTCACACCCACCCTCCCACACCCACCCACCTACACACACCCCCCCACACACCCTCACACCCACACACACACCCTACACACACCCTCACACCCACACACACGCACACACCCACACACACACCCTACCCACACACACGCACACCCCCCCCCACACACACACCTGTACCCACCCTCCCACCCACCCACCTACACACACACCCCCACACACACCCTCACACACGCACACACCCTACACACACCCACGCACACACCCTACACACACCCACCCACACACCCTACCCACACACACGCACACACCCCACACACACACACACACACCTGTACCCACCCTCCCACCCACCCACCTACACACACCCTCACACCCACACACACGCACACACCCTACACACACACCCCCTCCTCACTCGCGTTCGTGCCCGGGTTTTGCTGACCTTGTTTTATGTTGTGCCCTTCTCCGCTCCACACCCACACCCACACCCACACCCACACACACCCCACACACACACACCCTCCCACCGACCCACACCCACCCACACACACCCCACACACACACACACCCCCACCCTCACACGCACCCTACCCACCTGTACCCACCCTCCCACCCACCCACCTACACACACCCTCACACCCACACACACGCACACACCCTACACGCACACCCCCTCCTCACTCGCGTTCGTGCCTGGGTTTTGCTGACCTTGTTTTATGTTGTGCCCTTCTCCGCTACACACCCACAACCACACACACACACCGTACACACACACACCCACACACACCCTACACACACACACACACACACACCCTCCTCACTCGCACGCGCGCACACACACACACACACCGTACACACACACCCTCCTCACTCGCGCGCACACACACACACACCGTACACACACACTGTACACACACCGTACACACACACACTGTACACACACACCCCCACACACACCGTACACACACACACACACTCCCACCGACCCACACCCACCCTCACACACACCGTACACACACACACACACCCCCTCCTCACTCGCGCGCGCACACACACACACACACACACCGTACACACACCCACGCACACCGTACACACACACACTGTACACACACACACCGTACACACACACACCCTCCTCACTCGCGCGCGCGCGCGCACACACACACACACCGTACACACACACACACCCACACACACCGTACACACACACTGTACACACACACACCCCCTCCTCACTCGCGCGCGCACACACACACACACACCGTACACACACACACCCACACACACCGTACACACACACACTGTACACACACACACCCCCTCCTCACTCGCGCGCGCACACACACACACCGTACACACACACACCGTACACACACACACACACCCTCCTCACTCGTGTTCACACCCACACACCCACACACACCGTACACACACACACACACACACCCCCTCCTCGCTCGCGTTCGCACACACACCGTGTTTTATGTTGTGCCCTTCTCCACATTCCTTCTCCCTCTTGGCGTGCTCTTGTAGTTTTTAATTGTTTAGCTCTTCGGCTGTGCTGGGTCGTGGTTGCTGCCGGTGGGTTTTCTCTGGTTGCAGTGTGTGAGCTGCTTCTGCTGCGGCTCCGGGCTCTAGAGCAAGCGCTCACTCATGGCTCACGGGCTCAGTTGTTCTGCAGCCTGTGGACGCCATGTCCCCCAAGTTGGCAGGCAGATGCTCATCCACTGGACCACCAGAGACGTCCCCCTGGCATCTCCCCAGCACTGGTCGTGCTGCTGTCTCCTGTGTCACCAGGCTGCAGTCAGCACAGTCCTCTTGCCACTCTGATTGCTCTGCGTTCCTTTGCTGGTTTCTCTCTTTCTAGCTGTGACTGCTTCTCAAGGTTTTATTGGGTAAATATGCGATGGAATTTACTGACACTTTTGCATTTCATCCCTGGAGAAGGAAATGGCAACCCACTCTAGTACTCTTGCCTGGAGAATCCCATGGAGGGAAGAGCCTGGTAGGCTAAGTGTCCCAAAGAGTCGGACAGGACTGAGCGACTTCACTTTCACTTCCTTCTTTTCATTAAGGAGAAAAAAGCTGGTAAACGTTCAGAGGAAATTTGTTCACTGAGATCTTGTGTCTTGGAAATGTCATTTGGATGTTCTGCTTTTATTGATTTATTTATTTTTTCATTTATTTTTATTAGTTGGAGGCTAATTACTTTACAGTATTGTAGTGGTTTTTGTCATACACTGACGTGAGTCAGCCATGGAGTTACATGTGTCCCCATCCCACACACTGACATGAGTTAGCCATGGAGTTACGTGTGTCCCATCCCATACACTGACGTGAGTCAGCCATGGATTTACATGTGTCCCCATCCCACACACTGACGTGAGTCAGCCATCAAGTTACGTGTGTCCCCATCCCATACACTGACTTGAGTCAGCCATGGAGTTACGTGTGTCCCCATCCCATACACTGACGTGAGTCAGCCGTGGAGTTACGTGTGTCCCATCCTGATCCCCCCTCCCTGTTGTGCTGCTTTCAATGTTTGGCTTTACTGTCGTTTCTTCTGTAAAAAAATTCAGACATAAGCCAGAAAAATAATTAATTTGGTCTGCAAAGGAAAAACAGAAACAGTGCATTTATAGTATCTCAAGGGAATAAATCATAATATACTTATTGTTTACCTGTAAAAGTGTTGATTTAAAAGTCTTCATATGTGTGCTTTGCTAAAGGTGTAATGTAAATCAAGCCTGTAATGTGATGTCTGACTCTCTCCTTTTTCCGTTCTAGAATGCATGACAACATGTCCACAATGGTGTACATGAAGGAAGACAAGCTGGAAAAGCTCACGCAGGATGAAATCATCTCCAAGACAAAGCAAGTGATCCAGGGGCTGGAAGCTCTGAAGAATGAGCATAATTCCATTTTGCAGAGTTTACTGGAGACACTGAAGTGTTTGAAGAAAGATGATGAAAGTAATCTGGTGGAGGAGAAATCAAACATGATCCGAAAGTCCCTGGAGATGCTGGAGCTTGGCCTGAGTGAGGCTCAGGTACGGTCTCATGACATGACCGTGAACTTGCCAGTCTGGGAAAACGGAGACTGTTTGGAATATGAGGTTTAAACTAGAGGGCAGATACAGAATAACCGAAGTCATCTTATATGCGGGTTACGTATGCTGTGCAAACGATGAGCGATTGGGGCATGCCTCAGGTTTAAAAAGTAGAGTGAAAACAGAGGTAAGCCTTGGTGTCCGTTGAGGTTTGATTCAGCTGCACAAAAGCAGAAGCGTCCGCTCAGGTGTCGGAGGTAGACTGCCTCACTGAGGTGGGCCGTCCCAGACAGCCCCACTGCCCTTTTCAGGAGAGGGAGGAGACGCCCCTCACTGACGGGGGGTGGGGGCTGCAGATGCGCTGCACTCACTCTCCAGCCGGCAGCTGGCCTCCGGTTTACTGCCTCTCCCCAGAAAGCCAGACACCTCTCCAGCACCTGCCCTGTCGCATCTGTACAGACCAACCCCGTCCAGCCCAGGCTCTCAGGCTGTTGGGTCCCTGCCCCTGCTGCCCTGCACCCCAGCCCGCCAGGGTCCAGCTGCTGCCACGTGACCCCGCCCTGGGACTGCGAAGGGCGCAGGGAGGTCGTGCCTCCCTCTACTTCCTTGAACTGTGCCCGGCACTCTGCTTGCGTTTCATTGGTTCCACGGGCACATCTAGTTGTGAGGGACACTGGAGAATGGTGCCTTGCCCCTTAAAGTTCCAGGTTCTTAAGCCTAAGGAAGCAGGGTGAATGAATGTTGGCCAGCAGCTCACTGTCTGTGAGTGTGAGCCTCCTTTGTCAGGCTGGCAGATATTGGAGTTAAAAGGAGGAGGAGGGAAGAGCCCCTTATCCTAGACATTCAGGTTTTAGACCTGGGAGGATAATAAGAAGGCAGGGCAGGTGCACGGATTGCCAAGAGGACAGACCGACCGAAGCCAGCCTTCCTCCGCAGCCCTTGTCCTCCCAGGAACTTGTCTCTGCCCCAGGCTGGCCCTTCCCCGAGGCCCATCAGTGTATCCCCGGCAGAGCCCGGCGGGGACCTCCGCCTGCGAGTGCATCAGGGCGTCCTGGCTCTCGCTGTTGGCCGCAGAGCCTCCCTCCCTCCCCTGCAGTGGCGAGGGCGACTTGCCCCATCTGCAGCCCACTCTGCACATGGATCTGTGTGTGTGCCTGGCGTTTGCTCATGGCAAAGAGTCTCTGAGAAATTCTCTTGGCACCACCTAGGTAAAAAATAAACGAACACAGCTTCGTCAGAACAGTCACTGCCTGTCCACCACTAGTCCTTTAGAGGTGCTTTCAGATAGAAAAAAATTGTAATTTTTTTAATAGATGTTCTGAGCAAGTCAATATTCTTTTTTTTTCCCCAAGAGAGAAGGAAGAGGCGTTTAATTTAGCTGTTGTCTCAGTCAGATCCAGCTGCTAGAATAGAATGCCGTCAGGTCAGGGCTTCAGCAGTGGACGTTTATTTTCCACAGTTCTGGAGGCTGGAAGTTCTAGGTCAGGGTATCAGCACGGCTGGGTTCTGGTGGGAGCCAGCTGGTTTGCCGATGGATGCCTCCTTGCTGTATTTTCACCAGGCTGGGGAGTGGGGTGGGCAGAGAGGCAGAGGCAGAGAGAGAGAGATGAGTGGGTAATATTCTTGATCATGCCCTGCATGTAGCTGGTGACTGAAGGGTGGAAATAGGAAAGAGCAAACTGCGCTTGTACGGACTCTGGAGCGTCCATCTGCGAGGGTCAGCTGGTGCTGCCGCCCCAGGGCGCTTGTGGAGGCGGAAGGTGGCGTTTGGTAGGCTGAGTGCTGCAGTGCCATCAGCGTCTCTGTTGGTCCAGGTCATGATGGCGCTGTCAAACCACCTGAACGCCGTGGAGTCGGAGAAGCAGAAGCTGCGTGCGCAGGTCCGGCGTCTGTGCCAGGAGAACCAGTGGCTGCGGGACGAGCTGGCCAACACTCAGCAGAAGCTGCAGAAGAGCGAGCAGTCCGTGGCTCAGCTGGAGGAAGAGAAGAAGCACCTGGAGTTCATGAACCAGCTGAAAAAGTATGATGACGACATCTCGCCTTCGGTGAGTGGCTCCGCGGGAGTGAGGGCTCGAGGCGCGCCGTCCCCGCGGGGGGCTCCGTGGGTGGCCCCACAGGAGTCAGGGCTTGCGGAGCACTGTCCCTGGCAGGGGGCTCAGGGGGGCCAGCCATGCTTTCCTTGCCCCCCCCCCCCCCCCCAGCCTGCCTTTAACGTGGCCAGAGATTAGCGGTGCTGGGCGGAGTCCCTGGGTGAGTCATATACATTCTCTTTGGAGTACTTTTCTCATATTTGTTTTTTTTTGAACAATAGTCAGAAAATGTAAAAGTGTTTGGTAAATACAAAATAAATGCGTGAGGTCTATCCCAGCTTGAGATCTGCGGGGTGCCCTTGGTGCTTCCTGTCAGCTCCCCGCCCAGCCCGCCGCTGGATGCACTGTCAGCGGTGCCCGTCCAGTCCCCTGTTGTTGGGGCTCGGGATGCCTCTGTGGTCTGTGGTGGATCTTGGCTTTGTCTTTTTTTTTTTTAAATAAAAAGTTTTATTGGAGAAAAATAGAACCACCATGTACACAGGGAAAAGAGCACAAAAATTCAACTGATACAGAACTGAAAGTCACAACTACCCAATGTTGTTTTCGATTTTTTCAATTTCTTAAGTGGCTTCCATCAATTTTTTAAATAGCCTTGCCAATTTTCAGCTGAAATAGAATCAAGTTTTCAAAAAATTAAGAGCCTCAGCGAAGGGACCAGCTTTTAAGCTAACAAAGGTGACACCAAGAGTCTCCTAATAGGACCAATTCTACCGAAAAACTCCTGAAGCACATAACTACCGAGTCTGGTAGAACAGTAGCTCAGAGACCATCAGGGATGAGTTAGAACACTGACGCAGACGGTCCAGTATGCAGAGAGGGCAAACAAAAAGGCTGCATTTCCCTGTCAGGAGTCCACGTAAGAAAACCAAGGAGGTGCTAAGAAAATACAGGCAATGGCTGCTCAAAATAATTAAGAAGGCATTCTAAATACCACATGTTATTAGACAACAGTGTGTAAAGTGATGCAATTAGAAAACAGGCAACTTTAAAAAAATATGGTCACAGGTCTTTGAGAACTCAAGAAAACAATCAATAGCAAACACAAGAGCTGAAAGTCTTCTCAGCTGAGGGTTGAAAGTGAAAGTGAAGTCGCTCAGTCATATCCAACTCTTTGCGGCCCCGTGTCCTGTAGCCCACCAGGCTCCTCCGTCCATGGGATTCTCCAGGCAAGAATACTGGAGTGGGTTGCCATTTCCTTCTTCATTGGCTTTGTCTTTGAGACCACCTCCGCGCCCCAGGGCATCGCTTGGTCCTTCTGCTCCCTCGCTCGTATGTCTGCCTTGGCTTCTCTTGGGGTTCCTGGAATGTTGGGGCTCCCTGGGGTCTTGGTCCTTTTCTCCTTCTTTTGGTGCTCTCTGGATTTTCATCCTAGTCTCTATTACTATTGTTTCTGATTCAGTTAACTTTTTAGAAAAGTAACCTTTTTCATTTTGGAATGATTTTAGATTCACAGAAAAGTTGAAATGGTACTGTGAAGAGAATCCCCATATGCCCTTTACTCAGTCCCCGGGTCGGGAAGGTCCCCTGGAGAAGGACATGGCACCCCACTCCGGTGCTCTTGCCTGGAGAATCCCATGGACGGAGGAGCCTGCTGGGCTACAGGACACGGGGCCACAGAGTCGGACACGACCGAGTGACTTTCTTTTCACTTTCAGTCTCCCTAGTGCTGCATCTTGTGTCTCCACAGCATGTGTCTGAGCTAACCCAGGCCATGTCTGTCTCCAGAGAACGGCAGGCTGCACGGCTCAGACAGCAGACACTTGTTTCTCCTGCTTCTGGAAGCTGGAAATCTGAGCCTGAGCAGGGTGACAGCTTTGTTGCAGTCTTGGTGAGGGCCTTCCTACTGATGTGTGCCGTCACACGGCCTCTCGGACCTGGTGTCTGCTCCTGGTGCTGTCACGGCACTGATGCGTCACGGCGGCCCCACCCTCAGCGCTGCGTCTGACCCACGTTACCCCCAGATAGCATCGCATTGGACTTTAGGGCTTCAGCATGTGGATTTGAGGGGGCTGGCGGGGGCAGACTTTCAGTCTGCAGCAGCGCGTGTGTTAGCAGTGGGAAAGCACCGCTGCCGCATTGCTGTGAACAAAACCACAGCCCCAGTCCTTCTGTAGTGCCCCTTCTCCTCTCCAGGGTCCAGTCCAGGGTTTCACACTCTGTGTGGGTCTAAGGGTTGTTTACTGTCTCTATAGTTCTAGGTGTGATCACTACGTAATCTGTATGCTGTTGAGATCTGTGTTTGTGTCTCCCGTCTGAGTCCGCATCCCGTCTGTTAGAATAGTTTGTGCATTGCACCAGCAGACCTGCACTTACTCTGTCTTAGCTTGGGCTGCCGTGCAAAATACCATGGACCAGGTGGCTTAAACCAGAGACCATGAGTTTTGTCGTAGGTCTGGAAGTGGGGAGTCAGAGATGAGGGTGCCAGCAGGCCTGGTTTCTGGGGAGGACTCGTCCCCGCTTTCAGACAGCTGCCCTCTCACTGTGCTCTCACACCGTGGGGTGGGGGCGCGGCGCGGGGGGAGCTCGCTCTGGTGTCTGAGGGCCCGCGCTAGGGCCTCAGCCTCGTGATGTTTCTAACCGGTTCCCTTCCAGAGCCCCGTCTCCAGATGCCGTCACGTGGGGTTGTGGCTTCGGCATGATTTGGGGCCCGGTTAGTCCAAAGTGCCCTGTTTCATTAGACTTGCTGTACTTCTTTCTTGCATCTCTAAATCAGGAGCAGCTGATGTTTTGAAATAAAAGACACTCCTGTAGGCTGCTGTGGGAATAAGAATAGTTGATTCACCTGGAAAACAAGGTAACACTGAGCTGCGGAAAGCTGCTCTCTCAGATTCAGAGCCGTTTAAAACTTAGTGTTTTGGAAACATGTCTGGCTTGGAGCAGAGATGCAGTGAGCCGGCCTGCCTCCCCGCTCAGGGTGCTCCTGCCCTGTCCTGCCCCTCCTCGCGCTGCCGGTGTCTCGCCAGCCCGAGGGGTCTTCTGTGGGGGCCAGGAGACTCGGGAGGCTGAACGGGGTGCCGTGTCCCCTCTCCTGCAGCCCAGAGTCCACGTTCGCTCCTGATCTCTGCAGAGTCGTTGGTGGCGCTTCCCACTCATCCAGGATCCCGCTCAGGACCACACTGCACATGGTGGTCACGCCCCTTCAGTCATCTTTCATCTGGGACAGGTCCTTTCACAGGGAGAAGAAAGTCTGTCTTTGTCTTCCACGACATTGGTATTCTTGAAGAGTACAGGCCAGTTACGTCACGAGTTGTCCCTCCGTTTGGATTTGTCTAGTGTTTCCTCATGAGTGTACTTGGATCTTGCGTCCTAAACGGGCGTGTTGGAAAAGTGGTGTGTGCCTCTCGGTGTCCTCTCCAGCGGAGCCTGGTGTCCGTCTGTGCCAGGATGACGCCGAGTTCTCACCGGGTTGAGCTGCTGTCTGTCCACCCCGTCGTCTGATCACTGTCTCTACTTGTGGGCTCATCTCGGGGGGACATAGCCACAGGCTGTCGCACTGCTCTTGGGGGTCCCGTGTGGTGCTGGGTGGGGAGGGGATGTCCAGCCCGCCAGTCCCACAGTCCTTGGAGATTGGCCAGTTACTTCCTTCCTTCCAAGCACGGTGAGAAAGCGTTCCCTGCTCCTTGCACTTCCTGGGGCCCGGGTGGCGGCTCAGGCTCAGAGGCGCTTTCGTGGGCTGTTTGCGGCTCCAGCCTGTACAGGTACTTTGAGTTCAGGCCAGCAGGCGTTCCACTCACTGCTCCTTCCTAAGCCGATGGATAAAGCAAATTGTGGCTAATCCTAGATTTGATCTGGAAAGGGAACTGTCTTTTCTCTTTTTAATTAAAATGAAATTTATGTCAAAGATATCCAGTGCAGCTTTTATAATATTTGTGAAACTAATACTGTCCTGGGTTGGTTTCATAGGAGGACAAAGACGCTGATTCCACCAAGGAACCTTTGGATGACCTCTTCCCAAATGATGACGACGAACCGGGTCAAGGAAGTGAGTTGGGGGTGGCGTGTGAGCGGCGGCCGGTGGGTGGGAGGTGGCCTCTCCTCTTGGGGGTAGTTGCTGTTATTGGTAGGTGCTGGCGTGCTTGCAGCCCACTCCGCGAGAGCGCGAACATACACACAGACTGCCTCGCAGGTCGCCTTCTCTGAGAGAGAGTCGCGTGTTCAGCGGGCCCCTCTAAAGGGTGTGCACCACCAGTTCCCCCGCGGTCTGGGTTCTCAGCGCGTGGTGGGGGGGGTCCTCCTGGGGGCGCGGCAGCCTGGCTGTGCGGTGGGGCGGGCGGCAGCCCCCGCCCGCCACGCCAGGCTGGGGCGGACGCGTGGCTGCAGCGCCCCGCCGGGCTGGGGCGGACGCGTGGCTGCGGTGCCCGCCGGGGGCCGCGTCTGAACTGGCCTCTCCCCACAGTGCAGCAGCAGCACAGCAGTGCGGCGGCGGCCGCGCAGCAGGGCGGCTACGAGATCCCCGCGCGGCTGCGCACCCTGCACAACCTGGTCATCCAGTACGCCTCGCAGGGCCGCTACGAGGTGGCCGTGCCCCTCTGCAAGCAGGCCCTGGAGGACCTGGAGAAGACCTCGGGCCACGACCACCCCGACGTGGCCACCATGCTGAACATCCTGGCCTTGGTGTACAGGCGAGTGCTCCCGTTCTCTTCTCTGCACCTAGATGACGCTTCGATGAACTTGCCCCAGGAGTGTGTTTCTGGAGACTGTAGTGAGCTGCTCCTCCCGCCTCACCACCCATTTGTCTTCAGAACAGCCGGGGGCTCAGTTCAGAGCGCGGAGCCGCCCTCTGGCAGGAGCACCGCCCTGTAGAGTGGACGCTGCCTGGGACCCCCAGGCCGGCCGCCTCCCCTCGGGCTGCACCAGACTGTGGGCGCTCCTTGGTGTACCGGGCTCCCTGTGCCCAGAATAGCCCCCCGCGCCTCCTGCTGTCTCCCCGCCTCTCTCATAGCTCCTGCTCTGTGCTTGGCATGCTTGTTTGAATTTTGTCATCTCTTCTGGAATCCGGATTCCTTGAGGTTGAGGACCAGGTTGTCCCGTCTCTGCCTTGAGTTACATCCTTGAGCATGTTTCCTAACTCAGAAACTCTTGATGAACTTACTGAATGGAGTTGAGTAGTTTGCCTGCGGCCTGGGGCAGCGGTCCACCAGAGCCCTTTGCTGAGCTGAGCTGAAATGGAGCAGGCCGGATGAGAGGGGACCTGAGCAGGGGCCGTCACTCCCAGGACAGGACTGGTTTGACGCGGCCACTCTGGCGTGGTGGGTTTCAGGGAGCTGCATCTTGTTTCTTCACTAGCTTGATTGTTTACAGCTCAGCAGACATTTTTGAGACCCAAGTGTATGTAAAACTTTGGGCTGGTTCCTGTGAGGCTGTGCAGATGAACACATAACACGTGTTCTCAAGGAGAAACCAGGATACTGAATTGGAAGTCAGGAGAAGTCAGTTTGTATCTCTGCTAAGTGGCCACTAAACTGAAGGTGTTGTCCGGAGCCCTTAGGTTTTCTGAGCCTCAGAAGGGTTGCAGGGGTTGTTAAATGGGAAGTTATGTGGCAGTGTGAAATAGATAGCATCACCTAAATGTATCTAAAGGAACTTAGAACCTTGTTTAGAGAATAGGCTGGTTATGTTCATCTGTAGTTATAGAAGCGAGGAGACTGTCGTTAATAAAATAACACGGACGTCGGGATTCCATGGCAGTCCAGTGTTTAGTTCTCAGTGCTTTCACTGCCAGGGCCCAAGTTCAATCCTTGGTTGGGAAACTAAAATCTTGCAAGCCTTGCAGCATGGCCAATAAATAATAAAATCACACAGAAGTGTTGATGGAATGGAGAGATGCCTTCTAGTTGACAGGATTAGGGGAGGCCTAGTTGGAGGGGTGCGAGTGGTTTCTGGGACCTTGCAGGATGTGTTGGGGCCTTACTCCTGCTTCCCACGGGGCAGAGCAGTGGCGGTGTGGTGGGAGGTGATGGAGCTGCAGGGCATGTGCTGAAACATGGCTGTGCCCAGCGGCCGGCTCTCAGAGGAGAGTTGTGGGGGAGTGGAGCTCAGAGCGGGCCGGGGGCCGGGCTGCAGGGTCTGCTGGGGCTGGAGCTGGGCACCTGAGCGGGGTGCAGACAGGAGCCAGAGGGTCTGTGAAGAGACAGCAGTGAACCATTGAGAGAGAGAGTGTTTATGGCTCATCCTAGATATTTTTATTGTGAATGAGTTAGGTGAAAAACGCGTGTAGAACGTGACTGGGATTCGTTGTACGCAGAACGCATGGTCACATAGATGTGCTAGGAATTCGATGGCCTCTCCTCTTTTTTCTTGGTACTGTGAGAGTTTACTCATGTCAGCAAAATGTTTGGAAACAGCAGCTGTGTCTCTGTTCATATTGTATTCAATACTGAGTCCTAAAGCTGAACTGTAACTCACTATTTCAGCTTTCTTCTATTAAGAGACATCTAATTTTAAGCTTTTTGGGGGAGGGGTATTAATATTATACTCATGAACATCTTTTGCTCAAGTTTTGCACAAAAGATTTTGAATTTTTTTCAGTGTCAATTCCTGAGCGGTACGAGTCTATACCTTACACGCTTCTTGATACAGATTGCCCAGGTGCTCAGGAAGGTGGCGCCAGCCTAGGGCGGGGCTGGTCATCTCCTGCTCTTTATTACAGAGACAGACAGCTTTGTGTGTTAATCTGTGTTCTGCGATTCATGTTTTTAGTCATTTGGGCCTTTGTGAAAGTTCTGTGATCTTGCCCACTTCTGTATTGGGATTTATTTTAATGCTGGCAAGGTGTGCATTGGTTTTCATTTGAGTTTGAATTTTTGGATGGGCTTGTGGAATGCGTGCTGAGCCCCACCCCACCCCAAGAGTTTCTGATTCAGCGGGTGTGGGGAAGGGCCAGGTTTCTAACTGGTTCCAGCTGTGGCTTGGGGCTCTTGCTCTTGGTATGACCGCCCTCTTGGCTGATTGATAGTCCCTGACATTTTATGACAGGTCATAGTCTTAGAGCAGCTCTCAGTATACCTTCTTCATCCCATTTCACTCTCACAACTGGGAGATGGGTGTGCTGTTATATTTAACTGGGTCTGCTAGTTTTTGAAACACTGTTTCATACCTGCTGCCTTTCATAGAAAGTTTGAGTCAGTTTAATATAAGATGTTAATAATATAACACAGTATAAGATGATAATGTAAGTTGAATATAAAAGAAAAACTTTAGTTACTCAGAGGAGTCAGCACCCTGCGAGGACCCCGAAGCCTCCACCCACCCCTCCGCAGGGCGGCGCGGGCAGAGCCCCGCTGGGCGGCTGTCCTGGCGCTGGGGCGGCGTGTGTGCGCAGTCTCTCTCACACGGCGCGTGACCAGTGTGCAGCCCGTCGGTCGGGCGGTCACACTTAAGCCCCGGGGGCTGGGCTGGGCCCGAGCTGCTGCTGTCTCCTGGGCATCAGCAGGTGCCTCTGCCCCGCCCTGTGTCCGTGGGCACAGCCGTGTCTCTGCATGCGCATCATCCTGAGCTGCTGCTTTGGCGAATCATTGGCTTCTTAGGGCAGCTCTGCGAGTCCTGTCCTTCCTTGCAGTAGGCTGGTTGAGGAGGCCACGCGACACGCCAGGCCATGCGGCCAGCAGCCGGATCCATTTGTCTGCCTGCACTGTCTGCATGGCCACACTTACCTGTGCGGGGCAGCGGGCACGTGCAGACCCCTCAGCACAGGGGGCGGTATTGTCCTAGCAGTCTAGCTTAGCAGGCCCGATTCCCAGCTCTCCTTGCCAATGTGCTTGTTGAGGGAGTCTTTTCTCTCCTACATTAGGAGTGTTTTTAATAGTTTTAATAGTTAACTTTTAATTTTTTCTCATAACTGAAACTTAACTTTTATTTCCTTAGTTCCAGAATTGCATTTCAAAAAGATGTAGTGAGCTGCGTCTAAACATATAATTGTGTGTTTTTTAATTTAGAGACCAGAATAAATATAAAGATGCAGCTAACCTACTGAACGATGCCTTGGCCATCCGTGAGAAAACTCTGGGCAAAGATCATCCTGCGGTTTGTATACTGGTTCTTCCATCATTTTCAAATTTTACTTTCCCTAATACATTTTTTTTTTTACCCAACTCATTTCACTGTTAAACTCAACAGGGAAGATTTAAGAGCTGCCCTTTGACTGGACGGCACAGGTAGGACTTCCTCACTCAGAGCCAGTGATGAGCTCCGTGTGGGTGACTCACAGTTAGCAGGTTTCAGCGTGCACTTCTATTGATCACCCACCTCAAATGGATCACGTACGGTGTTTTTGATCCTGAATCAAATTGCATGTACTTCTGTAAATTTTTTCCTAAAGATTTTGTATTGTCTTTTTATTAAAATCTGGTCATATTTGCATATAGATCTATTTTTGTTGGTTTTGTGGCTTCCAAGTGAAATTTTAAAAAAGAATCAAGATCATAGTGATTTGTGTGGTGGCCTGTGGTGTTACTTTGTGGCCCACTGGACAGTGATGTTGCTCTCTTGCCTCTGAGTGAAGTCGGCTGGAGAGCACTTCCATCACGCACTGCGGATCGTGTGTGTGTGTGTGTGTGTGTGTGTGTGTGACGTCTGACGTCCCCTCCGCCTGGCGTTTACCGTTCTTCCTGGTTTCCTGTGTTGGTAGGTGGCAGCAACTCTGAACAACCTCGCAGTGCTTTACGGCAAAAGAGGGAAGTACAAAGAAGCCGAGCCTCTGTGTAAGAGAGCCCTGGAGATCAGAGAGAAGGTGCGCCCAGGATGGTCCTTGCTCCCGGAACGCCACGCTTTATACTTTTAAATAATTCACTCTATATTTTGAGATAGGACCATGGGGATACATCCTCACTGGCCATATACCAAAAATAAGCCCTTCATTCCGGTGTGCAGTCTGAGACACAGCCGACGGGCCCTGCCTGGGAGTCTCGGTGGGGTAGGGGTGCAGAGGGTGGAGCCTTGAGCTCTAGGCCCTCCCAGCCTGAGGCCTAGAGTGGCCTAAGATGACTCCTCTGAGGAAGGAATTTCTGAGGCCTGTGCCATGCTTGGGGCATTTCATTTACAGTGGGGCACGTGCCTGTCACGAAGAAAAATGTGAAAATTAAACAGTCACCAAATATGCTTATAAAACTTAATGCAATAGCTTTTCTTTTGAGAACTAAAAAAATAACCCAGAACTACAGATTCAGTCAGTGTCATGGATGTTTTCTGTGAGTTCGTACAGTCTATAATAATTAGGTATTTTAAAAATGGATCTTGTTAGTTTCCGCAGTACTCCATATAACTGTGTATTCAAGTGCTGCAGACGCTGGGCAGGTCCACGCCATGACACTCTAATCTGTGTGCATCATTGTTGTCGGATGTTACCGTGTTCTCAGATGTCAGCTGGGCAGGTCCACGCCATGACACTCTAATCTGTGTGCATCAATGTTGTCAGATGTTACCGTGTTCTCAGATGTCAGCTGGGCAGGTCCACGCCATGACACTCTAATCTGTGTGCACCATTGTTGTCGGATGTTACCGTGTTCTCAGATGTCAGCTGGGCAGGTCCACGCCATGACACTCTAATCTGTGTGCACCATTGTTGTCGGATGTTACCGTGTTCTCAGATGTCAGCTGGGCAGGTCCAAGCCATGACACTCTTAATCTGTGTGCACCATTGTTGTCGGATGTTACCGTGTTCTCAGATGTCAGCTGGGCAGGTCCACGCCATGACACTATAATCTGTGTGCATCATTGTTGTCGGATGTTACCGTGTTCTCAGATGTCATTCATCAACACCGAGAGGTTGCTCATCTAGTCCCCAGTCGTAATGGCAAGGACTTGGGGAAAAGAAAATGAGAAGCAGCTCGTTATCAAGCTGTACAGGCCAAGTTTTGTCCATGCTGTCATTTGCATGATATTTATTAAGAAATAAAATGATTTTTATTTTATTTTTTATTTATCCACTCAGGTTTTGAGTGGGCTGGGGTTAAAATTAGGGAGAACCACAAATGTATCACGTTGCAGATTATGAACTCTAGATGACGGTCTGTTAGGTTCTTTTGTGTTTATTTGCTCTCAGTCACTCATGTGGCAAACACTTATTGAGGACTTGGGGACCCTCACTTGGTTAGAGTTGATCGTTTAGAATCAGCCACAGCCTCTTCCCTGGGCGCACGTCCCGCCAGGCAGACGCTGGCTCCTGGCCGAGAGCTCAGGGAGAGCGCAGAGCAGCGGCTCCTCCAGGCCCAGGGCTGGGGCTGTGCGGACGTGGCCTTCCGCCGTCGCTCGGTCTGGAGCCAAGTCTTAGGGCTTCCCAGCCAGGGAGAAGAGGGCAGTGCAGAGGTCGGGAGAGGCGGCTGCACAGGTAAGGGCACAGCGCGAGGCGGAGGGCTTGTTCAGGTCCTAAGGGGGAGGTTCATGTTTATTCATCCACCTCGTGCCAGCACCTTTGTAGGTGCTGAGATAACATTACATCTAGACACTGAGACAAAGCACTCTGAGGCTTGCATTTTAATAGGGGACAGTCAGGCGATAAAGAACTAAATTGATAAATAAGAGTTTTGAGTAGTGATACTAGCAAAGAAAAAAACCCAAGTGATGTGCTTGTGAGTTAAGTGGGTGGGGACGGACTAACGGTTTCCTTAAATTGGATATAAGGAGGTCCCTTCTGAGGGGACCTGAGACCTGCAGGATGAGTTGTTGGTGGGAGTGGGGAGCTGGATAGGGCTGGGAGAAGTGTCGTGTGACTGGGACAGCACATTTGAGTTTGAAGTGTGAGGGGCCTGGTTTGTGGTCACAGAATCTGGTGTTAAAGAGGGGATGCGTAGGGTGTTAGTTGAGGAGCTGGGAGTTCCCTTTGAGGCTGTTCTTCCCAGGAATGAGTGTAATCCCGTTAGAGTCAGGAAGGGCTGAGTGTGAGTTTGGGCATGTTTAGAACTTGGCAGTCATATTAGATAGCCTTTATAAAATCCAGTTTCTTCATCTTCAGAATGTCCATAATATTACCTACCATGTAGGATTATTGTAAGGATTCAAGACTCCAAAGCTTGAGAAGGAAATCAGCACAGCTTCCTCCCTCCCCCGAGAAGACGACTCAACAAATGCTGGTTAAGTGATTTTTTACTGTGTGGGTGGCTGTTTAAGTACCATAAGCCTGGAAGCAAGGTGCAGTCCTCTTGATGTTTAGGAAGAGCCTTCTCGTGGTAGGGTAGGGAGTGGGTTGGATGGTACCCTGTGAAACAAATAACAAGTGTCTCTAATGCTATTTTTCATTCCTAGGTTTTGGGAAAGGATCACCCAGATGTTGCCAAGCAGTTAAATAACTTGGCTCTACTGTGCCAGAACCAGGGCAAGTACGAAGAAGTGGAATATTATTATCAGAGAGCCCTCGAGATCTACCAGACAAAACTGGGTCCTGATGACCCCAATGTGGCCAAAACAAAAAATAACCTGGTATGTTGACAGAAGGTCAGCTCTGTAGATAATCAGATTCCTTTCTTCCTGAAGCTTCAGTTCTGTAATAGTTTAACTGGTAGATGAGAATGTGTGCTTCCCTGATGTTTGAAGAGTAGTAAGTGCTTTTTTTATTTTAAGGCTTCCTGCTACCTGAAGCAAGGAAAATTCAAGCAAGCAGAAACCCTGTACAAAGAGATCCTCACTCGCGCACACGAAAGGGAGTTTGGTTCAGTGGATGGTAAGAGATGCACTTTTGTTTCTAAGCAGATGCAGCTGTAGAGTGCATTAAACATAGGGATTTCCACCTTAAAGCTCGGTAATACCCAGGTCATCACAGTCTTGGTGATGGCCCACCTGCCTCGTGTTTCCAGGTTGCCCTCACCCAGTCTGCGCTTGCCTCAGGTACAGCCTGGATGCAGTAACTCCAGAGCTCCTTCCAGGAGTCTTTGACTGCTTTCTTGGATTGTTCTGTGGTCCAGTGGCTCTGAGTGCCGGCAGGAACCCAGCAGCTCCAGCGCCACCTGGGGCCTGTCAGAAATGCAGACCCTCCACCCGTCCCAGTCCCGCTGGGCTGTCTGACGGCCGTAAGGAGCGGAGGCCTGTCTCCTTTATGGCCCTTAAAGTATTGTAGGTGCTTAATACACAGTTTTGAAATAAATGTTTTGTCAGACTTTTAACTGCTCAGTAAAACAGTATCTGTATGTTACGTGAGGCATCTTTCCCCCTTCGGTGGCTGTGACAAGAGGGGTTGAGAATGTGGACAGCTGTTACCAGTGTGTTAGAAACCTTAGGATTTGTGGGGAAGAGGTTACAGTTAATAAATACTTCCTTTTATGGAGAATTTCTGGAAAGCACTTTTGAAAACCTTTTGAGAAGTGTATTAGTTTTTCTCTGTCAGCAAGAGGAGCAGTAAGTCTGTTTTACTGTCAGAAGGTAGTAATGCCCTAGGCTTGTCATTGTGGAAATGGACTCTGGTCTGCCTTGGGCCCTTACTGGATCACAGCTCACCTCCCTGGACTGCACAGTCCATAGGGAGCTTCGTGTCCTCTCACTGCAGAAGCCTTGAAATCAGTCTGATTGCAATATTGACCTTCTGGTGATGTCCATGTGTAGAGTTGTCTCTTGTGTTGTTGGAAGAGGGTTTTTGCTATGACCAGTGCGTTCTCTTGGCAAAACTGTTCACCTTTGCCCTGCTTCATTTTGTACTCCAAGGCCAAACTTGCCTGTTACTCCAGGTATCTCTTAACTTTCTACTTTTGCATTCCAGTCCCCTGTGATGAAAAGGGCATCTTTTTTTGGTGTTAGTTCTAGAAAGTCTTGTAGGTCTTCATAGACTTGTTCAACTTCAAGTTCGGCGTTAGGCACTATCTCTTCATTCTTTCTGGAGTTATTTCTCCACTGATCTCCTGTAGCATATTGGGCACCTACCGAGATGGGGAGTTCATCTTTCAGTGTCATATCTTGTTGCCTTTTTATACTGTTTATGGGTTTCTTAAGGCAAGAATACTGCTGTGTCAGTAAGTTTTAAATACTGTTCAGTCTTTTTTTTTTTAAATTGATATTTAAAATATTTTTTCAAATATTTAAACAGTTTTTGTGCCAGCACCCCTAACTGAATAATCCATCTATTCCCACCACTAAGTCTTAAGGTCATAATGGTCATATTCTAAATTCTTTATCAAGTCAGGGGTTTTATTGCTGTTGTTAATGGTGGGGGTGGTTTTTGTGTTGAACTGTTTTCTTTCCACTGATGCAGATACTGATTCTTGTGCCAGTTACACATCTTCTTGGCTGTTGTGGTTTGAAGTGAGGCAGGCATGGGAGGGGGTGAAGGTAGAATATGTAATGTGTCAAGGGCTCTCTGATTAATCTTCGCTTTCAAAATTTCCTGGGCTAGTCTCACTTTCTTTTTTTGCTTAATTTTTTAAATTGAAGTATAGATTTAAAATGTTAATTACTGCTTTACAACAAAATGATTCAGTTATGAACATACATACATTCTTCTTAAAGTATCTTTTCCACTGTGGTTTATCATAAGATCCTTCAGCCTCCTTGCAGTTCGTCCATCCTCTCTATGATCGTTTACGCCTGCTGGCCCTGGCCTCCCTCTCCACTTTCCCCAAGCCCGTCAGCAGCTCCCAGTCTGTCCTGTCTGTGAGTCTTGTTTCTGTTTCATAGATAGGTTCGTTTGTGTCATAAATTAGATTCTGAGTGGTATCGTATGGTATTTGTCTCTCTCTTTCTGACTTATTTCACTCAGTACGATCCGCTCTGGTTGCACCCGTGTTGCTGCAAATGGCATCATTTCATTCTTTATTTCTCTAATGACAGCAGTGTTCCTCTGTATATGTGTTATCATTCTTTATTTCTCTAATGACAGAGCGGTGCTCCACTGTATATATGTTATCATTCTTTAGTTCTCTAATGACAGAGCAGTGTCCCACTGTGTATATGTCATCCATCCATTTGTTGGTGGGCATCAGGTTTGTTTCCAGGTTTTGGCTACTGTGAAAAGTGCTGCTCCGAACATAGGGGTGCATGTATCTGTTTGAAATAGAGTTTTCTCTGGGTATATGGTGCGGGGTGGAATTGCAGGATCGTATGGTGACTCTTCTTAGTTTTCTGAGAAACCTGCATACTGTTTTCTGTAGCCGCTGCACCAACTTACATTCACACCAGCAGTGTTGGAGGGTTCCTTTTCTCCTCATCCTCTCCAACACTTACTTTTGTAAACTTTAATGATGGCCATTCTGACAGGTGTGAGGTGGTACCTCATTGTAGTTTTGATTTGCACAGCTCTAATAATTAGTGACGTTGAACATCTTCTCATGTGCCTGTTGCTCATCTCTATGTCGTCTTTGGAGAAATGTCTGTTTAGGTCTTCTGACCATTTTTTGATGTTGTTCTTTTTTGTGTTGCTGAATTGTGAGAGCTGTTTTTATATTTTGGAGATTAATCCCTTGTCAGTTGCAGCCTTTGCAAATATTTTCTTCCATTCTGTAGATTGTCTTTAATGTTGTTTATGGTTTCCTTTTCTGTGCAAGTATTCACTCTTTTAAAACCAGTATTTAAAACTAGCTTTACTCTTCTCCTATGACATGCCAAATAATCATGATAGTAGTTAACGATGTACACTAGTCTTTCAATGAAAAAAAGTTGAAATTTGTAATGTTACTTTTCTTAGCAGTTCTGTGAAGTGGGTCACACCTTACTCCAGTTTAGGAGCGAGGACCCTGCAGGCTAAGTGCTTCTCCCAGATCAGGAAGTTATGAGTGGTTGGATTGGGTGGGGACACAGGTCTCCAGAGCCTGAAATATGTCCTCATTGCAGGAAACCTCAAAAATAAGTGCAGAGACGGGAACAGGAGAATCACTGTCATTTCATTACCCAGATACGTCTTTTAATGTTTTTAGTGTCTCTCCTTCCTTTTTTCTTATTGATTTGTATAGTTGAAGCAACACTTTACATATAATCACATCTACTGATTATTTTCCTTTATAGTAGCTTAAGCATGTTTCATAACCTTCACTTGTAAGACTGCTTGCCTGCCGTGTTGTGGTACATTAGTTGTTTGGAAGTTTTGGGGGAACGGTATGTGTCAGCATTCTCAAAAGTTAAGAAAAATTTAAAGGAATTTAAGGAATTTAAAGGAATAAATCAATATTTTTTTCACTTTTTCTCTCAACATCTTACTACTTGGACTTTGTTTAATGTTAGGTTCCTCAGATTCTAAATGGTCCAAGTGTTATGTGAAGATTCTAGCATTGAAAATTTTCTTATAGGGTTTTTTACCTAAGCTCCACGGGGACACTGGCCTACAAAGAAACATACCTTCTCTCTGCTAAAAACTCTGTGCATTGGAGCCTGAGCAGAGGAGCTGTACAACCCCAGACGTGCTAGGGTCAGGATCGCTGTAGACACTCGGCTGGGCTTGTGCTGAGGGAGCTCTCATAGCTTCTGCAGCTCGCTAGGAGCACGGTTTTGGCCCTGCTGGGAAAGAGGCTAGAAAACAAAACACACATCATCAAATAGCCCACAGTAGACAATGTCACTCTCGTGCCTCCCAGTTAGGTGCTGGAGAACTGAGGTCATTTCTTTTTTATCTGTGAATCCCCAGCTCTCAGAAAATAGTAGGCATTCAGTAAATGTTTGGAGAAACAAGTCAGTGAAAAACAGGAAGTTTCCTTATAAGGACGTGAGCATTTGTCTGTGTTTTTGAATGCTTCCTCCCTGTCTAGATAGGCACCTTTGATTCCGTGCCTTCTGTTCACAGAATGGCGAGTAAATGGTCATTTCCTTCTTGTTTCTTGGGTCTGGTTCTGCCGTCGGAGTCCTTTTTCTCCAGTGCGATGCCTAGTCTGTTCTTGTTGTGAACAGTAGTATCTGAGAAGGATCATGTGGAAAACAAAACAGAAGCCTTGCAGACGCTGGAACTTGACAACGTGTACGTAGTGGACTCTGTTATGCCTCGATTCATAGCGTGTTATTTTTTCTTCCATAGATGAAAATAAACCCATTTGGATGCATGCTGAGGAGAGAGAAGAATGTAAAGTAAGAACACATTATTTTGTGAATTTTCTGAACTGAATATATTGCTTGATAATTATCTACTTGAAATTCTTTGTTGCAATTTAGGGAAAGCAGAAGGATGGGACGTCTTTTGGAGAGTACGGTGGCTGGTACAAGGCCTGTAAAGTTGACAGGTGCGTCTGCTTGCCTGGGAAACAGACACTCAGCTGTGGGAGGCACTGATGCTTCAAAGGCAGCCTGTCAACCACGTCATGTGTAAAGTTCCTCAAGGTGATGTGGCTGCACAGGCCCTTATTTTCCCCCAGGTTCCAATAGAACTCCGTAACTTTGTAAGTGAGATAATTTACGTATACAAAACCCACCTTAATATGATGCCATGGGCAAAAGCATGGGCCCTGTTCATTAATGCTGAGTCTTAACGCTAGCTCCCAGGTTGCAGGAGGAGAGATGGCTAAGCAGAGACACAGCCTTTAAGGCCATAGGGCAGACTTGCAGGAGCAGGCCGGCAGCCCTGCGAAGCCAGCACTTTGCAGCTGTGTCCAGGCGCACACCCCGTCTCCCACAGCCTCAGGGCCTCCTGTCTCCAGAGCGCAGTGTGGCTCCTCCAGCAGCAGCCCACCAGCCTGGCCCAGCGCTGTTTCCTCTGACTGGGACACTTTTCTTGTCAGTAGTCTCTTCCTGTTTTAACTTTCACGTATTCTCTAAGACTCAGTTTACTAGTCTTCTGTTACTATTTCAGGAAAACTCTTTTTATTCTGAATCCCTAGTTTGGAATAAATATACCTCCTCTGACTCCCCATAGCACTTACCATAATTTCTGAATTTCACATGCTTTCTCCCAGTACGTGTAAACTGTCTGAAAACATGGAGTATAGCTGCTTTATCATTTATTTAAAACTATTTATTGTATCCTTTTTGCTGCATTGGGTCTTAGTTGCAGCACACATGGGATCTTTTTGTATCTGCAGTGTCTTTTTGCGGCACACAGATTCTCTAGTTGTGGCCCTCCGACCTAGTTGCAATGAAGCATGTGGGATCTAGTTCCCTAACCAAGGATTGAACCCAGACCCCGTGCACTGGAGGTGCAGAGTCCTGGCCTCTGGACCACCAGGGAGTTCCCAGCTTACTTCTAAAGCTCCTGTCATCAGTAAGAGAACAGTCCCCTGGAGTATATCTGTAGTAAAATGAGCTAGATTTATTTCTCATCTGTTAACGAGACTGCTCTGTCAGCAGCACAGAAACACACCGTCTGTGTCCACGCTGCTTGGTCTTCTTTTGCACACACAGCCGTCATTCTCTGACTCTGGTCCTGCTGGTGATGAGTTTTGGATTCGCGCTGTTTCCCCTCTCCTCGCAGCGGGAAAGGAGAAGGTGGAGAGCAGCGTTGGAACGTGTGTCCTCTGTACTGCCTGGCACAGTCAACTTCCAGGGGACGCCTGATGGTCACTGGACAGACCCAGCACAGACCTTCCTGTTGAGACTGCCCAGTAGGCTGTGTGAGCGGAAGGAGCACCGGGGTGGCCGCGGGGTCAGTGCTGTAGGCAGGGCATGCTTGAGTTAGAAGAGCCTTTTAGAATTTTACAGGTAAAAAGTATCGTAGAAATTTAACTTTAGCCAGACGATACGTATGTTTGTCCTTTAGATTAAGTGCTATTGATCGTGGCTGCTCTGAAACTTATATTGAATCAGTTTGTGTATTGTATGCTTTCTTACAGTCCAACTGTCACAACTACTTTAAAAAACCTTGGGGCACTTTACAGACGTCAAGGTAAATTTGAAGCTGCAGAAACACTGGAAGAAGCAGCCATGAGGTCTCGCAAACAGGTCAGTCAGCAGCCTTCTGCTTACAGCTTTGCGTTTGATTCTGTTTTATGAGACTTGTTGAAATACTGATTTGGAGAGAGGAAACACTTCCTGTTTTAGTTTGTACAAATGAAACTGGGTTTTGCTCAAGTGACACCACAGGCACCAGCTGCAGAGGCAGGAGTCAGAACTGCCAGAATCAGCAGCATCTGTGCCTCCGGGGACGTTGTCAAGAAGACAAATGGCGTCACAGAGTGGGTGGGCGTGTTTGCAGACCACGTCTCTGATGCGCTGCAGCAGCCAGAGTGTAGAACACAACGACCAGCTCATGAGGAAATGAACACAGGCCCTCACCCGACATTTCTCTGAAGATGCCGCACAGCCGCCACCAGCACATGGAAGGGTGCTCCAGGTCGTCGGGCATCAGGGGAGGCACGTGCAGACGCAGCGAGGCACCGCTGCGCAGCCTCTCGGGTGGCTGGCGGGAGAAGCCCAGCAGAAGCAGCGGGTGTTGCGGAGGAGCTGTGGGGGCTGCATCCCTGCTCACGGCGGGCGGGCACGTGGACGGCCCAGCTGCCGGAGGGGACGGTTGGGAGGGCCCTCCAGGAGTGAGGCCTGGGGCTCCTGTCTGGCCCTGCGCGCCCGCTCCTGGCGCCTGCCCGAGAGGGCAGCCGGGGGCCGAGGCAGATGCTGCTGGCTCCGCTTCCTCCGCGCTGTGTTCCGTGCAGCTGCCCTGAGTCAGCGAGTGAACCCCTGCTCCTGGGAGGCACAGTCAGGCTCCTGCAAGTCTCTGGTCATACTTAGTCACCAGATCAGCTCAGAGCTTGTCTGCACTGCTTCTGTTCAAGTGTATGTTGTTGACTCATTAGTGTTGACCTCATGGCCGGCAGCATAACTCCTGCCTGAAGGGAGCTCATCTCCACAAGGCACGTGCCAGCCTTCTCGCGTAAGCTCAGGTCTCCAGAGGACTCCTGAGCACCACTCGAGAGGCCACCGACCAAAATGTGGACAGCACGGTTCTGAGTAACTCAGACTGGGGGAAGGGTGTTGTCCGCAGCATGAGATGAGGCAGGAAAGCAGTGTCGCCATGTCCCGTCTCAGTGGGGTGTGCATGCCAGCTGGCCTGAATTTTCCTCCACTCACTGTGTGTCTGTGAACACCCGTGGAGGCACTGAGAGTGCTGATTTGGGATGACAGATCCATTTTGGCCGGTCGGTGAATTGGCAGGTATGGCCTCCGTGAGTGATGAGGAAATACGTTCATGGCAGTGTTGGTTTCAGTAGGTTGAATGTCCAGACAGCGGCACGTTCATCGATGGATGAATGGATACACCGTGTGGTATATCTATGCGATGGAATGTTATTTGGAAATAAAAAGGACTACTGAAGCACTTTGCTTCATCATCTGAGGTGTTTTAGTTACGCTGAAACACGGTTTGTAGGGAACTTAACAAGGAGAAGGCTTGCTTACTGCCCTTTAGTTACCAGTTTTCAGAGTTAAGAGGGTAATATGTTACTATATACGTGTACAGGTATAAAGATGGCAGGTTTTGTTTTCTGTTTTTAGGACTGGAGGGGCTGATGTGGTTTTTCCCCCAGAATGGTGTATGTGTAGGCTGTCATGCAGTTGTTGGTTTATGGCGACTTTCTGGCTGGGGTTAAAGTTACCCTTCGAGATTCTGTGCAGAGGGATTAGGGAAGGCCCAGCCGAGGGCCTGGCCATGATCCTCTCCCTGCCCGTGCCCCCGCGGGAGCCCCTCTGTCACCCTTCCTGGGTCTCTGACTGAGGGGCTGCTGTTCTGGGGAAGGGGGTTCTGAGCACGCGCCCTGGGTGTGTGCGGCGTGGGCTTCTGGCTCTTGGTCTGTGATGCCCCTTCATCGTCGGGCCTTGCTGTGAGCCAGCACCGCGTAGTGTCACCAGCCAGCAGCATCTGGAGTCTGGAGCTGAGCTGCAGACGTTTGAAGAAGGGGTTGCAGGTGCTTTGCTGAGAACGGCCTCTCCTGACAGGAGGGCCAGGGTCCACTTCCCTGTGGACGTCACCGCAGTGTGTGGTCTGTTTGCGGTTGTGCCCCTTGAGGAGGAAACCGTGAGGGTCAGCGAAGGGACGGTGTTGGCGTGCGCCGTCTGGGTGGGAGCTCCATCTGGAACTTCAGACGGGCTGTGCCTGCTCATCTGGTGGCTCTGCGGTGCACGTGGGAAGCCCGCTGCCAGGCGCTGATGCAGGGACCTGCACTCAGCTGTGCGCGGGTGATCCTGAGGGTAAGGTGCGTGGCCTCCGCTTCCCGTCTCAGGAGCAGGAGTTTGCCCTGAAAATGCTGTTCGTAAGCCAGGGGCTAATTTCTTAAAATGTTGTACTGAGAACAATGTAATCCATGAGTCTTCACCCTGTACTTACTTTGGAGGTGCGGAACACCGAGCCCTTGGCGTTACAGTGTTAGAAACTGGGCATTTCCCCAACATCTCACGATGAAACTTCCCAGACGTGGAGGAGAGACGTCCCCGTGTGCTCACCAGCTAGACCGAGTCAGGAGTGTCTCTCCCCCATCTGTCCTTCAGTCCTTTTGTTGGGATGCCTTTCAAAGTTGTATACCTCAGTACATTTCCTTCTGAATACTTCAGCATGCACCTCACTGCCTGGAGTTCAGTATTCGTTCATAGTGTTTTAAAATTTGAGGTAAAAATCTATATATGGTGGAATGTACAAGTCTGTATGTTCTTAAGAACCCCTGTTCTTTCTTACCTCCAGTGTTTCAGAGCTTTTCCCCCCTAGTCATCCCAGAAATCCACAGTAGGCTCAAAACTAGAGTCAGAGGTCAGCGTGGCAGAGTCCCGGGATGCGTGGAGGACAGAGAAGGCTGATGCAGCAGTTCGGTGAGAGGAAAATTGCCTTTCCCCACACCGGCCTCTGAAGCTGGTGGCCATCTTCCCCGAGAATGCACAGACAAAACCCACAGCACAGTGTTGGTGGGAGGAGAGGAGATTGACAGAAATCAAGCCCTGAGCGTTTGGAGTGGGGCACTGACTCCAAGAGCCTAGACCACCAGAGAACTCACCGTGGGGCGTATCAGGTAGTGAGAACTCACACAAAGGAAACCACTTGAATACATCACCGGGATCACCCAAACACCAGTAGCGCCCTGTGCAGGACGCCTCATCTAAACAGCAAACAAAACAAAAATGCAAGCTGAGTCATCAGCAGACAGGATTACCACCTCATGCAACCTTGCCCAGCAGAGGAAAAACAGACAAAAAACTCAGCACAAATCTCACCCTGTACGAAGCTTACACAAACCAGGGCACCAACCGTATGAGGGCAGAAACCGAGGAAGAAAGAGCTCAGCTCTGAAGCCTGGGAAAAGGAGACCTCAAATACAGTAAGTTAAACAAAACAAAAAGAATGTAAAGGCAGAGAACTACTACACAAATGAATGAACAAACAAACACAGAAATCGAAATAAATGAAGAGGAAATAGGCAAACTCCCTGAAAAAGAATTCAGAGTAATGATAGTAAAGATGATCAAAAACCTTGAAAACAAAATGGAGAAAAATGCAAGAATCAATTAACAAAAACCTCGAAGAATTAAAGAATAAATATACAGAGACAAACTGCACAATTACTGAAATTAAAAATATTCTAGAAGGAATCAATAGTAGAATATTGTAGAATATTAGTAGAATATTGTAGAATAATAGTAGAAGCAGAAGAACGAATCAGTGAGCTCAAAGATAAAATGGTGGAAATAACTTCTGAAGAGCAGAATAAAGTAAAAAGAAGGAAAAGAACTGAGGATAGTTTCAGAGACCTCTGGGACAGTATCAAACGCACTAACATTTGAATTATAGGGGTCCCAGAAGAAGAAGAGAAAAAGAAAGGGAATGAGAAAATTTTTGAAGAGATTATAGTTGAATATTTCCCCAACATGGAAAAGGAAATAGTCAGTTAGGTCTTAAGAGGTGCAGAGAGTCCCATACAGGATAAACCCAAGGAGAAACACACCAAGACACATACTAATCAAACAAAGACTAAACACCAGGAAAGAATGTTAAAAACTGCAAGGGAAAAGCAACAAGTGACATACCAAGGGAAACCCCATACGCTGAACAGTGGATCTTTCAGCAGAAGCTGCAGGCCAGAGGGGAATGTCAGGGTATATTTAACGTACTGAAAGGGGAATATCAAGAACCAAGATTACTGTACCTGGCATGGATCTCATTCAGAATTGATGGAGAAATAAAAAGCTTCTCAGACAAGCAAAAGTTAAGAGAATTCAATATCAGCAAACCAGCTTTGCAGTAAATGTTAAAGGGACTTACATAGTCAAGAAGTACAGAGAAGGAAAAGATCTACAAAATCAACCCCAAACAATTAGAAAGTGGCGATAGGAGCATACATATCCATAACTACTTTAGATGTAGGTTGATTAAATGCTCCAACCAAAAGACACAGACTGGCTGAGTGGATGCAGAAACAAGACCCATATATATGCTGTTGACTAGAAGCCCACTTCAGACCTAAAGACACATACAGACTGAAAGTGAGAAGATGGAAAAATATATTCCATGCAAATGGGAGGCAAAAGAAAGCTGGAGTAGCAATCCTCATATCAGACAAAGTAGACCGTAAAATAAAGAAGACTACAAGAGATAGGAAGGACACTGCATAATGATCGAGGCATAAATCCAGGAGGAAGACGTGACAATTGTAAATATTTATGCACCCAACATAGGAGCACCTCAGTACATAAGACAGACACTAACAGACACAGGAGGAGACACTGATAGTAACACAGTAATAGTAGGAGACTTTAACCACCCCGCTCACACCAGTAGACGGATCATCCAAACAAAATTCATAAGGAAACACAGGTCTTAAATGATACATTAGATGAGATGGATCTCATTGATATCTTTTGGACATTCCATCCAAATGCAGAAGAATACACCTTCTCAAGTGCACATGGATATTCTCCAGGATACACCACATCTTGGGTCACAAATCAAACATCAGTAAATTTAAGAAAATTGCCCTAAAAAGGAACACATTTGAGCAAGTTTTAATGAGGTGGATGAATCTAGAACCTATTATATACAGTGAAATAAGTCAGAAAGAGAAAGATAAATATCGTATTCTAACGCATATATATGTAATCTAGAAAAATGGTACTGAAGAATTTATTTACAGGGCAGAAGGCAATGGCACCCCACTCCAGTCCTCTCGCCTGGAAAATCCCACGGACAGAGGAGCCTGGTGGGCTGCAGCCCGTGGGGTCGCTAAGAGTCTGACACGACTGAGCGACTTCGCTTTCGTGCGTTGGAGAAGGAAATGGCAGCCCACTCCAGTGTTGCTGCCTGAGAATCCCAGGGACGGGGGAGCCTGGCGGGCTGCCGTCTATGGGGCCGCACCGAGGCGGACGCGACTGAAGACTTAGCAGTGGAGAGACGGACATAGAGAATAGACTTAGGAACGTGGGGAGAGGGTGAGAGAGTGACATGGAAACTCCCGGCACCCCGTGTAACGCAGAGAGCCACGGGGATTCGCTGTGCGGCTCGGGAAGCCCAGACGGGGGCTCTGTATCCGCCTGGGGGTGGGGCGGGCAGGAGATCCATGCATGCCTGTGGCTGATTCATGGCGAGGGTTGACAGAAACCAACAATTCCGTAAAGCAATTATCCTTCAATAAAAAATAAACACCAGGAGTCCGAGCACAGCGTGAGCGCTAACGGCTGAAACCCCGTCCCCCGCCCGGCTCGCAGGGCCTCGACCACGTCCACAAGCAGAGAGTGGCGGAAGTGCTGGGTGACGCCGAGAGCGCGGAGAAGCGGCGGAGCCGGGAGAGCCTCGGCGCGGACGCGGTCAAGTACGAGAGCGGCCCCGACGGCGGCGAGGAAGTGAGTATGAGCGTAGAGTGGAACGGGGTAAGTACAGCGCACAGCGCGCCCGCCGGGCCGCCCCGCTCCCCGTAGGCTGCCTGCTTCTCTCCACCTAAGTTCAGTTTAAGCCTTTTGTAAGTTCGAACCTTCTGCTAATGCTGCGGTCTGTTACTTGTTTGAAGAGATTGTCTTCTCTTTAGGAATCTGTGAGAGCTGTTGGCTTTCCTCTGAGCACGTAATGCTGATTGAGTGTCCTGGTTGTTTAAAGCATACTCCATCATCTGGTTTGATTTTAATGTTAGGATTAGTGCGGCAGAGAACTAACTCGCTTTTTTAACTTAACCCATTTTCATTGCTAACTTCAGTGCTCCTAATTTCACTGACGAGGCTGCTGTAGATTTTGTTAGAATTAATCAGTCCTTCACAGGAAGATGACGATCCAAATAGAACTTTTTTATAGACGAGAACAGGGCAGGGCCTCCCACGTGGCACCAGTGGTGAAGAACCCACCTGCCCATGCAGGAGACGTAAGACACACAGGCTCAGTCCCTGGATTGGAAGATCCCCTCGGGGAGGGCACGGCAGCCCACTCCAGTGCTCTTGCCTGGAGAATCCCGTGGACAGAGGAGCCTGGCGGGCCACGGTCCATGGAGTCACAAAAAGTCGGACTGGGTGACTCAGCACATGTGCACACTCTTCCTATCCCGGCTCAGTCCACGGAGGGCCTTTGGGTTGCAAGCTTGTGCTTGCATCAGACACTTTTCACCTCCCTGGCAGACTCCCTCCGAGGAACGTCTTCCCATTGCTGTTCCCCAGGGTTGCCAGAGAGCACGTGGCCTTCTGCATGTTTTCCAGTGCGCTTTTGTAACGCTGAGCCGGTGTCTTTGAAAGTCCGCCTTCATAGGCGAGGGTTGGATGCAGTTCACCTTTAGTACAGTCAGGTCTACCGTTCTTTTGTTTTTTTAAGTCACGTTACGCAATTTGATGAGGGTTTCCCAAGTTGCTCAGTGGTAAGAATCTGCCTGCAATGCCAGAGACCTGGGTTCTATTCCTGGGTCGGGAAGAGTCCCTGGAGAAGGGAATGGCAACCCACTCCAGTCCTCTCGCCTGGAGAATTCCAGGGACATAGGACCCTGGTGGGCTACAGTCCATGGAGTTGGAAAGAGTCGGACTAAACAACAATAAAAAGTACAATCTGACCAGTTACAACTGTGCAGATGTTTTGCCAAATAGTTTAGGGTCTTTCTTACAGCCTGTCTTTTTGAATCTGTCCTTTGGGATTTTCTATGGCTATTGCAGTTGGGCACGGGTCAGCATTCTGGGCTGATGTTTCGCACAGAACTCTGTCGGCCAGCCTTTGAGGGAGCGCCTGTTTCTGTCTTTATCCGGCGGCTTCCCGGCTTTGATCTTCTGTGCCAAGACAACCAATCAGCATGTGCTTCGACCACGCGCCCGTCGGGCAGGCGCCCAGGGCGCGGCGGCGACGCAGCTCTGCCGCGTCCGCGTCCAGCCCGCACTGTGTACTGTGCTCCCCGTGGTGGCTGCCGTCCGCATGCTTCGTGTGGAGGGCCCGCCCGCCGCTAGTCCTGAGAAGCCAGGGGGCAGGGTTTGAGCCTTCAGAGTGAAGTTCTGGGGGAGCTTTCTCTTGAGACAGTATTTCTAGGTCATTCTTTGAGTGACATCATGGGATAATAAAATCATTGACACCTCAGGGTTCTCTTGGAGTCTTCACGACTGAAACCCCGGGGTGAGGAGAGCTGCTCTCATCCCCCGTGGAGGGGTGGGCCGTGGAGTCGTGGGTGCAGAGGGTGGAGGCCCCACCTCCCTCCCCCAGTGCCTGCCTGCTCCCGCTCTCGTCTCACGCCCTCTCCCCGGGACAGGCTGTCACTTAGGACGTGCACATGGTGGGCACGGGGTGCCTCTTTACTTAACTCTTGGACACCAGCAGCTCTGCGTCTTTGACAAAATCCGCTCCAGGGCATTTGGCGTGGCAGTAGCTTCATTGGCTGAAAAGAATCTAGATTTTAGGTCATTCAGTGCAGCGCCTAAAATCACTTTGGGCAGCATAAGGAACCCCCCCCTTCAAATGGGGTCTTTCGTGCAGCAGCAAGTAAGCAGAGAGCTCCTGGGGCTCACTGGGCAGGGACAGCGAGAGCCGGCTCAGACCACCCCGCCCCGCGGGCCTTGCTCTCAGACCAGCGTCCCTGGAAGCGTGGACATTCGGGGGCCACGCTGCAGTTGACTCGTTTTATTTCCACTGCATAGGTTTTAAGAAGAGGCAGGAAAGCTGTATGCACCCTTAGGTGTTGTTTAAATTCAGCTTTGCTGAATCAGAGGAGCCCATTGTAAGCGTCACCTGGGTCTGGGGTTCACACAACGCTGTCCCCACTGTCTCTGCCCAGGTGTGAGGTTAAGTGCCTGATGCCATCTCGGCGTGTGTGCAGGCTTCCCTGGGGCTCCAAGGAAGACAGATGGAGAATTGTTGCTGTTGGCAGCCACTTTCCTGTGGGCATTAAGATCTTCTCAGTGTTACGTGGTCAGGATAAAAGATAGAAATAAACTGAGAGTTGAGGCGGGCGCTGAGGCTGGACCTGTCTGTAACTTCACATTTCAGATCACAGGTTCTGCGAGGCAGCCGCCTTGTTCTTTACTATCATAAGGACTTGGTACACACTCACAGTGAGAAAATGCTATTTAGGTTTTATTTTATATTGGGGTTCTATGTTAGAATTTAATTTTTTAAAAAAGGATTTCATGGGTAAAGAATTTGTCCCTCATAAATAAATGTGAGCCAAGTGGACAAAAACACAAAAGGGTTTCAGTGCTCCTTAAAAAGTTTGGGAGCCTCTGGAGGGAGAGCTCGGAGTGAGCAGCCCTCACTTGGGTTTTCACAGGACCCCCGGTGCAGGCCTTCTCAACACTCAGGAGGAACACTGACCACGAAGGGCAGGCAAAGCCCGGGCCGGTGGGCTATGATCTTGACCCCTGCCGGTGCTGCACGGCTGGCTCAGCACCCAGCTGAACTGCATGCTGTTAAAATGCAAGGGCAGTAAGCCTGCTGGGCATATTCTAAAAATACAGGGCAGTAAGCCTGCTGGACCTATTCTAATAATTCAGGTGAAGTTTCTGGATCAGATTCTCAACATGGTAGATAACTTCTTTAGAGAGGTACCATTCTCTTCTTTTTTAATGTACCATAAAGACCATAATTGAAGTACCTGAAAGTGTAACTTCATCAAGCGTTGTTTTTAGGTAGACTCTTCAGGTCTAAACGTCACTGTCAGGATACGTCTCTAATGGTCCTGCCTGTAAAGACACGGATGCCCCATGCACACTAACCCTCTCTGGGCGACACTGGCCCTGTGGCCCGCGGCCCACGCGTGTCCGCCGTGGGCTCTGCAGGGCCGCAGGCTGCACTGTGGTGAAGGAACTGCATTGGCAGTGGCCCCCGCAGGCCACCAGGAAACGCCGCACATCTCCCGTTCTGAGTGGAGTGTCAGCCTGGAGTGCCGGGCTCTCTGCTGGGGTCCTTCTGAAGGAGCCCCGCTCCACATGCGCATTCTTGGCAGGCTGCCCCCCGTGTTAATGATTCCGAAAGCTATCTCACACAGTACGCTCTTCCCCAGGATTACTGGGAATGAGATATACTGTTAATGACAAATAGTTTAATTTTTATTTTTAAAAAATGACATTAGGAAGTCAGCGAGAACATACCAAAGGGAGAGAATTTAAAAGTACCAAGTCTCCTGAGTCTGTAGCTAACACGCACTGCTGTGCAGCTCTTCACCCGAGCCTTGCACCGTCAGTGTCTGTTCAGAAGCCCACTCTGCGATGCAGGTGTTCTTCCGTGGCAGGATAGTGATGTAGACTGTTTTCCAAGTTGAATGCTGGGACTCTTCCCACCCCTCAAGTCTGTGCTGAGTAGAAATCCACCCAGTTTGGGTAGGTTTGTGCTGTCCTTCCGCTGGTTCTCTCAGGGGAGGGTCCCAGGGGGTGAGAGCAGGGGGGTGGGCACCCCTCCCCGGGTTTGCTCCCCCTCCAGCTTACCCCGTGGGGGGGCGGGAGAGCGTGAGTGTGTGCGTGTGTGTGAGAGGTACTTCTGGAACCTGCGTGAACTGACTCTTCCGTACCCCGAGTGTCTAGGACAGGAATATGATAAATGGCACTCCTATAGTGTAGCACTGAATTTTGAAGTGAACGGAAGTTGTACTATTTACAGAATTATATTAACATTTTAATAACATTCTTTTTCTGAAGAGCAGCAAGAACTTATGTTTTCTTGTCCTCCCAGCACTGATGGGGAGTTGGTAACAAGTTTTATTTTTCCATTTTAAAGATGAGAAAGATGAAGCTCGGGCTGGTTAAATGACTTGCTCAGCATCGCATGGTGAGTCAGCGCGGGCGGGTGGGCGCAGGTCCCCGCGGGCGGGCTCCCTGCTGGCCAGGACCAGGATGCGTGCCGCCGCGGAGATCTGCGTCCTTAGTTACTTTTACTTTGGATTATCAACTGCATGTTTAAAATGTGCTGTACTTTGGAAGCCAGTGTTTCTTAAAATTTCTGAAATGTCTGAAATGTCAGTGTATGTTAGGGGAAGCCCTGTCTGAGTTGAGAGGCCCGCGTGGCTCGGGCTGTGGGCCTCCTGGGCGCAGGCTGACGTGATCGCACTCCTCGCCGAGTGTGGACTCGCCCGTGGCCACTCTGCTTCGTTCCGGAATCTCCTTGTGCTCAGTGGCTCGAAAGACGTGTCCTGGCTGTCTGTCACGGAGACCTCTGCCACGGTGCCAGTCCACGTTCTAAACTGTTGGATTTTATTCAGACGACGATTTGGCATGATGGGTAGATGAAGTAAAGGTTAGCTTACATAAGGCCCAGGACCTGTTTCATCCGGGGCTGACAGGAGCAGGCAGGAGGTCATCCCAAATACCGAAGCAGTTAAAACGCCGCCAAGGTGTTGTGACCTAGAAATACTGTGGGCCGGGCCGCGCTGTGGGGGCGCGGTCCGGCCCGCTCACCGGCGCTCTCTCGTTTCTGTCCGACAGGCCTAGCCGCCCCGCGCGACACCCGCTGTCTCCTGCATGACGGCTCCTCTCTCCAGTGCTGACCGCTGTCTGTAGCATCCCTAGGATTCTCTCTGACTGGCCACTCCTGGTGCTGCTGTCCTGTCGGGGGCTCCTTATCTCTGTATACGTGTAGTTTTGCCAGATATGTACTCAGTGATACAGGCCATGTTAATACGCCACCCGCTGTGTAACGCGAGTCAGGCGGCGCCGCGCGGTTAGCCGCCCCCTTTGTGAGAGGTAGTGGTAGTCCCCCATGTCCCTGCCATGGCATGATGGTGCCCGTGACCCTCCTAGCTGTCAGAGCAGGGCATGTGCTCTCCCGGGCGCCCAGCGTCCTGGCGGGCCCTCCCCTTGGGATCGTGCTCACATAGGACCTGCTGTGTAGTCTTCATGTGGAATTTTGACGATTCTGCTTTCCTCTGCTAATCTTTAAGTGTGGAGTGATTTGTGTACTTGTGTCTTTCTAACTTCTAATAAACTCACCCCAACTGACCTGTGTCTTGGTGTCTGTCTGCCTCGTAGAACTTCTCACGCTTTCCATGGAATGCGGCCTTGCCGGAGCTTCTACAGGGGGAGGGGTGGGGCTCCTGCTTATCTAACCAGGTGGTTCCTTCTGAATAAAATCTGCTCTGTACACTTTTTCACTTTTAAGTGTTTGATTTTCACGTCCAGATCCTGCCACGGGTTTCAGTTATTAATGTCTGAGTCAAGAACGGGAGAGCTGGGGGCACTTTACTTGTTTCCTACCGGGGTCTAAGGGCTTTTAGTTATGTGTATAGGATGAATGTTTTGTTTACCTTCCCCACTACTTTTATAATCAGCATGTAATAAAACAGTCTAAAACTGAGCGAAGCAGCAGTGTATCTGTCGCACGTAGATGGAACTGTTAAAAGGCAGCTGCCTGTGTCAGATCTGCGTGGTTCGGGTCCTGTACCGTTATGTGGACCCAGCGCCTCCATATAGAGTTTGATTTTTGTGCTATTTCTAGAAGCTGCCTCAATTTCCTTGAGACTTTCTGTGTATCTTTTGTTTCAAAACAGTAATGTAATTAATTTTCCTTCGGGGATTTTATTACTTTTATTTGAATAAGCTTTTTCATGTTCAAACGTTTTCATATTCTTTGGGTTATCTTTAATGAAATTTAAAAAAGGAAGACTTCTGTTTGAAGTGTATTTGCATACATGGTAAATTGGTAATTTCCATAGGACTCATATAACCAGCAAGTCGCAGACCAGCAGGTCGACCATGGTGTGGATTCTTGGAAGGAGAACCCCCTGCAGCTTCACATTTGTTCACGTTTCTTTCAGGATGGCACTGGATCTTTAAAACGCAGTGGTTCCTTTAGCAAACTCCGGGCTTCAATTAGACGCAGCAGTGAGAAGCTGGTTAGGAAGCTGAAGGGAGGAAGTTCACGAGACAGTGAACCAAAGAACCCCGGGTAACTATCTCCAGCCCGCGCGCCCCCTGCCCCGCCCACGCCCGCCTCACCCACTGGCTTCGGCACACATTCCAGCCTGCGCCCCACGTGGTAGCCATGGAAAGGTTTAGTAGTTGCAGTCTAATTATTTGCCAGGACAAGTTGAGAAATAATTGTGAAATTTCCTGTTTAGAAGCTAAAAGAGCTGAAGGCTTTAAAAAATGTATGGAGTTCTTTAGTTTTGTTTCGTTACATGTTCAAAGAAAGCCTTAGCAGTGAAAATTAAGAATTTACTATTAAAATACTGAGTATACTAACTTTTCTCTTAACATGCGTTATTCATTTTTAAAGCCAGTTTTAATCTTTTGAAATCAAATGCCAGCTGAGTATATTAAATCCCATCATACAGGTATTATAGGAAGAAGATGGTTTGACAAGACTTTTTGTTAATGAGTTTCTTTTGGAGATTTAAAAAACCTTAGCTTTTGCCATGTGTTTAGAAAAGGGTCTCAGTGATGAATCTTTTAGGGTCTTTGGAACAAAAGCTTTTAAGTTGTCAGAGGAGTTTGGTTCTGAGATGCTCCTTGTCGTTTATGAGGGTCCTCAGAGGGGGGGTCTTTGCCCTTCTCTGTTAGGCGCTCACAAGTCGCCTGGTTTCTGGGTTACTTGGTGTAAACGGCTTCCTCTTTCTGGGCATTTCTTCCAGAAGCACTGTGCTGTGCTGACAGCTGGGCTGTGAAACTCAGTCTCCCTAAAACGGTACCTGCCTTTCAAATGTCGCTTCTTTAATGACTCAGTGTGCAGCATTTCGCGCTAAGCGCTGCCCGTTACCCCTTCGGGTGATGTGTGGGGATGTGAAGCTGTGTCCCTCTGCTGCCGGGCATGTCCCGTCTCGTCCCTCCGTCCTCGGGGAGGGTCCGAGTCCCGAGACCCCTGGTGTCGCCCAGCCCCGCCCTTGGGCCCGAGCCTTGCTGGTGGGGAGAGGGGCCCGCCTCCGCTCTGCCCGCACCGTGGTCTGGCTGGTGGCGGACTTGCTTTGGAGGCCAGAGGGACGGCTGGATTTCTGCACGCTGCCGTCGCCCTGCTGCCCTGCAGTGTCTGCAGCCGCGTCTGCCCAGGGAGCCGTGTGCGAGCCACCGCCGTCTGCTGTGAAGCCGCTGTAGGGCTTGGACGCGGCGCTGTCGCGCTGGTGGCGGTCTGGCCTGCAGGAGACAGGCGCGGCTAGGGAAGGAGGTCCTGAGGGGCCCCTGTTTGATTTCCAGAACTAAAACGATGGGGTGCTGCCTGCCCCTCCGACGTTTGGAAGATTGAACCTCTTGTTCCCAACGCTGGGAGGGCCGAGTCCGCTCCTTGCGCAGCTGGCTCTGAGGCGTGCAGGGACCGCCCAGCATGCCGTCGGTGTCCACAGGCCGCCCCTGGGCGCACACGTCGGCCGGCTGAGGGTCTGGGCGTCTTGCGGCCCGCCTGTAATGCGGAGCCCATGGCTTGTCTCTGCTGTGGCGTGTGTGGCCACTCCCTGGCGCTCAGTGCTGGGCCAGCCCGAGGGAGGGCCTGGTGAGGATGGACCCCATGGAGCAGACTGACAGTCTTCACATATAATGAAACTTGGGATGGCATCTCATGGAACTTTTTGAAAAGTAAATAATTTGTGTTTATTCCATCAAATGCATAAGAGAAAGTAATCTTTCCAGATAAGAGGAACGATCCAGTTCACTGGATGGGTGGCTCTCCAACCCGAGCGGGCCGCAGTGTTTCCTGGGCCGGGGCCCGTCCTTGCGTTTCTGATGGGCGGGGGGCACACGAGGGGGGCTTGCCCTTCCAACACGGGCAAGCACTGGTCGTGCCAGTGCCGCTGACCGGGCCACATTTGACAGAGAGGCACTGAGCTGGGGTTGTGGGAGCGGGGTCTTTGGCCTGCGGTGGGCACAGTCCAGGAGGCCCTGGATGCCTTGGCGTTGCAGACCCTGAGGGTTTAGGTCAGGGTGAGGACGTGGTTCAGAGGTGTTGACAGGCATCAAGTTATTGTTTCATCTCATCTTGTAAAGAGAAGTTTGAGCACAAAGGTGGTGTATCTTTCTTAGAAAACGCTAGCTGGCCAGTTACATCAGAGAATCGTGAAGCGTGCCCAGATGTCCGTGCTTGAGATCGGGGTTGATTCTGCGCTGCGCCTTGCTCCTGAGAGGTTCTGGACAGAGGAAAAGCCGTGCAGGGCTCCGGGTTCCTGGGATGTTTCTGTCCTGTCCTGGGGGGAGTTTGGGGAGCGAGTTTTACTTGGCGATCAGTCAGTTAAGGCTTTGTTTTCGGTGTAGTTTGTTCTGTAAGACCCCAGGACGTGCCTGCCGTGTGCCTGGCACTCTGCCTGCGGCACTGGCGGCCACGCGGCCAGTTCCTGGGCCCCTGGTCCCTGCAGCTGGAGCGCCTGTGTGTGCGTGTACGCGTCTGGGTGTGCTCAGCCGCCACACCTGTGCTTCAGCCTCACGGCCACGCACTCAGCATAGTGGTCACTGTCGACGTCAACAGTTCAGATGCAGAATTACTGATCCTAATAAAAACAATTAAAAATCACCCTTCATGTTGGTCCTTTTAGCTTTTAAAGCTAAGGTGACTTTTTGTTTGAGGTCATCCATAGTGGCAGTAAGCAATACAGTATCTTATAACTATCCATATTTTAAGTTTAGATTGTAGGTAATTTGCAGGATATATTAAGTATTTTAAAGGTGTCAAATTGAAGAAAAAAGTAAATATATGTATAAATCACTATTTTGTGTAAATCCAAAGCCATGAAATTTGTTTTAAATTTTGGTTTCTGGGCAGAGAAACCCAAGCCTCAAAGTTTTACTAATAAAAGGTTATTTGTTTTTTCTTAGATTTAATATGGAAAAATCTATGAAATACATACTGCGTGCATGCATTTGATCTCAGTAGTGAGCTTTGCGGGGCCCTCTTTGGCGAGGCCGCTCAGGGCTGCGTTTATGGGCCCGCGGGCAGCACTGGCAGGGCCTCTCGGCTCCGGAAGGAGCCAGGCTTCAGAAAGGGAAGCTCTGAGGACCTTGAGGTTTATCCGCGGCATTCCGAGACAGGCTTTTTGACGAGGAAGGCGCAGAGAATCTGCAGTTTTTGTCTAACGGGTGCGGAATACAGTGTATCTGGGGCATCCACGTTGGGAACTGGGTGGGCCTCCCAGACGAGGCGAGCTGCAGGCCTGCTCCCGGTCAGGGATGGCCCAGGCCCCCGTGGTGATAGGCCGTGGAGGGGTGGCTTGGCTGCGCTCCCCACTCCTGGTGACTCACGTGCTGATGGTTTGTCCTTGCATGTCCGCCGGGCCGGTGCAGCATGAAGCGAGCCAGTTCTCTGAATGTCCTTAACGTGGGTGGCAAGGCGGCCGAAGACCATTTCCAAGTAAGGAGCCCCACCCCGCTGTAGCATCCATCACCTTCCGGACCGTGCTGGCGGGGCCTTGGCTCCGCACCACCGCAGCCTCGGCACAGCCTGTCCGTGTATAGCCTTCCTGATCCCAGACGAGCAGACATCATGATGTCGTTTTCACAGTCGGCACGGACTTAACCATCGAATGGTGGGAGTGCTCGCTTTGGGAACATTCTTTGCATATAAATGGTCTTCAAAATGTTGATTGACAATTAAAAGCTAAATGATAAAGTAATAACAAAATTTGACCAGCTGTTACTGTGTATTATTAGTTTCTGATTTTAGCCTCCAGCGGTGCCGGCGTGCGAAACTGATACATCTGGCTAAGCTCTTCCATGTTTTTAAATGACCTGAAACTTAACTAAGATGAACACAGTCACTTTGTCACCTGGTCTTACACGAACTGGCCATCTTTGCATTTAAGACCGTTGGCATCCCCCTCTCCATCAGACGTGGCCTGTCTTCCATGTGTGGCCGAGCCGGGCAGCTGTCCCCTGGACCAGGCATCCTGGGCACTGCACCTGGCTCCCAGTTGCCTCAGTCCCCCTGGTGACTGTGATGTCCTTAGGCGGTGGCAGGCCAGCTGGCGTGCTGACCCCCGCTTCCCCCAGCACCCGGGGTGACTGCACAGGCCTCTGGTCAGGGGTGTGACCCCCGATCTGTCTGTCAGGGGCTGCCTGGGGCCTGGAGGATGCGTTCCTGGTGAGGACGGTGAAGGAAAGCCCCTCTGTTTTCAGAAGGTCGGGAGCTGATACAGTCCTTCTGTCTGATTGTTGTTTCTTGCACATGCACGTCTGAGCGTCAGGGCTCTTTTGTGACGTGAGTCAGCGCCAAGACCACGGGAGGCTGGTGTCTGTGAGGCGCTGGGGGAGAATGACCTCTCCGTTTGTTCTCTCGTGCAGGAACGAAGGCGTTGTCTGGCAGACTCGAGGGCTCCGAGTGCCGGCCCCCGGGGGAGGCAGAGCTAAATTAAGCCCCGAGGCTAATGTGCAGAGACCCTCAGAGCCTGGCCAGGGCCCTCCCCCTTCAGGGGCCACCGCCTCTGCTGAGTTCCGTCAAGTTCTGCAGCCCTGGTGCCCAGGGGCTGCCACAGCCGACAGTGAGGCCGCTCCTGCCGACTCCGCCCAGCTCTGAAACCTGCTTTCACTTGTGCTGTGTTAAGGCTGCTCGCGGAGACCGGCACCTTAACCACGTCCTTGGAGAACGGGAATCGGGGCCGGGGGCTGTGGGCAGGCCCCGCCCCAGGTTGCAGCCCCTTCGCACATGGAGATGCGTGTGTTCCTTTTAACAGCTCTTCTTTGTAGGGTTAAGTAACCCAGGGTGATTCTGACAGAGGCATTTGCAGATCAGCCCTGAGGTTGCTGAAGGGAATCCTGACACACCAGCTGGTTCGCTGAGGGTGACTCCAGATGACGCCCGCTGAGCACGGGGCGCGTGCTCGCTGAGGGGCTGGGGGTGCGGGCGTCCTGGTGCCGTGGAGCCCAGGTTTAGTGCTCTTCCTGTTGATCCGGTGGGAGATGTCCCAGCAAAGGCGCTTCCAGCTGCCTTTCCCGCCGGAGCTGCGCTGGGTCAGGCGGTGGGGCTCCCCGGGGCTCCCTCTGGGGGTGCCCTAGCTGCACCTGTCCTTCACCCCAGCAGGGGGCAGGGCGGAGGCAGCAGCCCCCTGGGGTCGTCGTGGCAAGGTGGGGCTTCAACTTCGGGGGTTTCTCTAATCGAGGAACGGGCCACCCCTGCACAGGAGCCTGCTTGTGAGCGCCATGGCCCCGGAGGCGGGGGGCCGCCAGCCTGGGGCTCCTGACACCGCCGCTCAGCAGCCAGGACATTTCTGAGTGCTCCCCGGAGGTGCGTTAAAGGAAGGGGAGAGGAAGGCAGAGCCGTGTCCCCACGCGGGCACTGTGGCCCCTTCAGGTGCCCGTTGAGGTGGGGGCAATGTGTCTGTCACCTCACCGCCCGGGGCAGGGCCACGGCGTGGTCCCAGCTCCTGCCTTCTTGTGTTCATGTGTTCTCCCAGCCGCGGAGCTGGTACAGGACGTGTGAAACCACCCAGGTTCCCTTCATGACCGTTGTCTCTGGAAAAACAAAGGGCATTCAGAAAGAGCGAATGGTGGGGCCGAGGCCAGAATGCTCCCAGCTGGTGGAAACTGACCTCCCCCGCAGGGCCCTTGGTTGGCCCTGGCGTGGAGCCTGCTGGCCCACTTTCCTGGGGGTGTGGTGGCTTCTGCAAGGCCGCCTAGAGGTAGTGTTTCGGTGAGCGGGGCCAGGCTGCCAAGAGCTGGCCTGTTCAGCGGGGAGGTGCCCTGTTCTGGTCTTTGAGGGAAGCCCAGTGTAATCTCAGAGAGCAGCTGGGGGTCCAGCCCCCGTTTCTCCATTGTTTCTGACGAGTCAGACTCACCGCAGCCAGAGGACCCAGGCTGTGGATGGTCTGAGCATCCGCAGGAATGTGAGGGTAGGGCTGTGTCAGGGCAGAGGTCGGGAGGACTCCAGCCTTCTCAGCCTCCTGCCCCTCCCCTGGGTGCTGCCGGGATTCACCTAGTTATTTTCTGAAAGTTACAAGTATTCCTTTGTCTGGTCAGAAGACGGCTGGGAATAGCACGTACCAGTCAACATCCTCAGGGAAGTAGCAGCCTCCCGAGGAGTCGGTTTACGGAGTGCGGCTCTCGTCGGTAGACTTTATACGAGATCCTGGGAAGGCCTGCTATGTCTGTGTGGGGCCAGCTTCTGATGGGTTTCTGTTTGCGCTTGTGTTTGAGTCGCCGGGCACACACTCTCCATGGAATCCCCAACACAGATGCGTGTGTTTTCACGCAGCTTGCCAGCACGGCAGGGGACACGGGCAGTTCACAGTGTGGAGCCAACCCTCGGGGTCGCGGGCCTGCGAGGGTTAGGGTGTGGGCTGGGGACAGGCAGGCGGGCTCCTTCCTGAGACACGGAGGGGAAGCCCCACTGCAGAGTCCCGGGGCCTGCGGCAGCGCGCGTGCTGGGCGGCACCTCCGGCGTGGGTCAGCCTGCCTTCTGACGGGGGCGGCCATTCTCAATCTCTCTTCTCACTGTGGGTGTGACTTGACTAGGAAATCATTTGGAACTGTCCATAGTTAATTACAAAAATAAACTTTTATTTCCTGTTGTAAAGTCCCTGTACTTTGCAGAAAGGCTCTTCTGTAAAACTCCAAGCCTGAAAGAAGCTTTTCCTATTTAACACTAGCCACTCGGTCTTTTAGGGTCACAGGCTACTTTGAAAACATGATGAAAGCTGGAAATGGATCACCCTGTCCTAGGAAAACACACACACAACAGAGTGCCGATGGCCAGGGCTGGCGGGCCCGGGGCGCGGTGGGGGTCGGCCTGCACCCCGCCAGCAGAGTGGCCGTGGGGGGGTGGACGTCCGGCGGGGGAGGCCCAGCACAGAGCCAGAGCCGCTGAGGGCCCGGGGCGGCGGGCCCCTTCCCTCGGCGCATTTGTCCACAGCTGCTGGGCCGGCCGCCTGGCGGAGGTGGGCGGGGGCGTGGCGAGGGTGACTCAGCCCTTCTGGAACTGGGCCTGCATGTCCTCGGTGCTTCCACATGGGATGGTCATGGCCAGGCTGAGCAGAGGGCCCGTGTTCTGTGCAGAAGCGCCGGCCGTGGTGGGGAGCTGGGTCTGGGCAGCAGTTCCTGCCATATTGAATCCCCCCTTTCCCCCAACAAGGCCAGGACCGAGGTCCCAGCCGCCGCAGCACACCGGGAGCTGCTGCCCTTGTAGACGAGTCCTCATGGGCCCAGAAGGGCTTTCTGCAGACGGGCTGAGCTGCCTCCTCCAGCAGGGGCAGCTCAGCACCCCGAGGGGGGTCCTGGACCCCGCGGTCAGCCGCACATAGTCCCAGGCGTCCCCCGCACGCCCTCGGAGGTGATGGTGTAGGAGCAGGACGAGGGTGGCAGGTGGGGGGCAAACACCACCCTGAGGGTGCGGCCAGGCGGGCCTAGTGCAGCCTCCTCGGGGCGCTGCCGGTCGGCCAGCAGCCTCACGAGCAGCTGGTTGGCCCAGGTTATTCCCAGGGCTGGGGACATCCTGGGACGGGAAACACCGCCACGCGTCACCTGTGGAACCAGCGCCTCCCTCCCACCCCCGCCCCCAGGGCTCCCAAAGCCCTCCGTCCTTAGGGCGTCACTCACCCTGGCAGCCCGGCCAATGAGTCCTGCTCCTCCACGGCCTCTGTCACCTGGAGGGTGCAGAGCTGTCAGCGATGGGACCTGCTGGCCCGGCCCCGCGGGGGCTGGGGGAGGCCCACCTGGTTGACACACAGCACGGGGCTCCGGAAGGCGCAGCTCAGCCGCCGCAGCTCGGCTCCCAGCGCCAGCAGACGCTGGGCCCTGAGGGCCAGGGCCGCTCCGTCGAACTCGCAGCGGAAGGGGGCTGCCACGGAGTCGACGACCACCAGCCGGGCCATGCCCCGCGCCAGCAGCACTGACACCTTCTCACTCACGCAGTGCAGCAGGGTGTCCTGGGGGCCAGGGAGCCCGTCAGCGCCTGCTCAGAGCCCCCATCCACCCTGCGCACCCCCGCCCCCCCCACCATGGCCCCGAGCCAGGCGCTGCTGCCTGCACCCAGCGATATCGCCAAGGCTGACCTGTCGCCACCCCGGCTACCTATACCCAGCCGGGGGGCGCGGCGCGGGGCCTGAGCCATCCTGTGTCCGGCGTGCAGACCCCCGGGCTGGCCCAGGCTGCACGCCACGCCGCCAAGCGGGGCCCTTAGCACTGTCGGGAGCAGCTGTCTTCGGGGACCACCCGCGCCGGGACTCCGGGCGCTGCCCGTGCCCGCGTCCCCGCCCTGAGTGAGGATTTGCTGTGCTTCACCCGCAGGGCGCCACCGGCAGAGCTCCTCTCTGTGGACAACGACAGCAGCAGCAGCGGCCTGGAGGACGCCAGCCTGAGCGTGAGTCCCGTCACCCAGGGCGGGGGGCTGCAAGGGCGGCCGGGCTTGAGGCCCCGCCCCCGGGAGGCCTGGGCCCCGAGGCCGGTGCACAGGGGCGGGGCTCTGCGAGGGGCTCCAGGACCCCGGCCCTGACCCGCCGCCCTCTCTGCAGTGAGGCGGCCGCGGAGGAGTCTAGCCTGAGCTGTGTGCGCGCCCCGAGGGCCCGGTGACGCCGTGAAGGTCGCGAAGCTGGAGGGCCTGGGGCGGTGACTGCAGTGCTGACCAGCGCCCCCATCCCAGCGCCCTGACCCCCCACGCCTCACGCCGCGAAGCCCCAGGACGGCACGCGTGCCCCCAACCAGCCCAGCCCAGGCCGCTGCTCGGCCCGTCCCGGGCCATGTGTGATCATGTACTTTACTGTAAATTTCTAAAATTAAAACTTTATACATCTTAGCCTTTAAATTCTTTGTACAGTAACCCGTAAGCGGGGAAGGGCCCAGGTCGGGGTGCGCTGCTCTGCTCTCCGCAGCCCGGCTCCCTTCTGAGCCCCCCGCCCCCTTATTCAGCCACAGACGACCCCAGCGGCCGCCTCCCCCTCCGCGGGCATGGCTTCCACACGTGGCGTTGTCCTGGCAGACCGCCAGCGGCCAGCAGTCTGAGCGGTCGGTCCAGCTGGGGCCCTGGGGCTGTGACGGGGGCCTTCCCCTCCTCCAGAGGCAGACGGGAAGCGCGCTGGACGCCCACCGGGCAGCGGCCCCGTTCTGCGGGCAGTGGGTGTCTCTGTGGCCGGTAAACGGGGCTGGCCTGGTGGGGCCTGCTCCAGGGGGCGTGGGGGCTGGCCTCGGGGCAGGAGGGGGTATGTCCAGTGCCTTCCTGGCCTCTCTTTCCTCGGGCCATGGTTGGCAGAAACATACAAGACGGCCAGTTCACCCCAAGTTCAGGCACTGCGTAACGCTGGCCTAAGCAGGACCATGGCCCTGTGGATGCGACCCCCACCAGCAGGCGCACGCTATCCTCCCCTCAGACACTCACCACGTCAGCTGCGTGCTCGATGAAGATCTGGTGGCCGAACTTGATCTTCGAGATCACGTCTGCTGGGACGTCTGCCCGCAGGCACTGCTGCTGGGCGATGAGCTGCTGCAGACGGCGGCTGGGGAAGGCGTCCTCTGTGCACACGTACACGGCCCCTGGGAGGCCGCCGCGCGGTCAGTGGCTGGCACACGCCCCCTTGCTGCGCTGCCCCGTGGGTCTTCCCTCTGGCCCAGGATGGGGCTGGCCGGCGCCTGCCTCCCACCTCACCAACGGGACGTCACCCTGGGGGTCTGCCCCTAGGCCGTCTCGGGTGGGAGAGGGTGGTGTTCTCAGGGGCTCTGTGCTTTCAGAAGCACCCCCTCCTGCAGACACGGGTGTGCCCATCCCAGGCCCCGTGGAGTAGAGGTTCCTGGACCCCACTGTCAGGGCTCCCCCCATGGCTCTGGGCTACATGGAGGGAACAGTCTTTGCTGCGCCTGGAAAAGCCAGTCAACAAAATGCCGGCGATACATCGCCGGGGCCTGAACCGCCTCCAGAAGATCAGCCCGAGTCCTGCCGCTGGAAAGAACCAGGGCCCACGGCAGGCTCACAGAGGTCCCGGGATAGTCCGGTGGGAAACAGGAGTCTTTAAAAACGGCACCGGGACAGACAGACAAACACACCCACATACAAAAGGGCGAAATCAGACTTGTACCTCACACCACATAGGAAAACTGAATCACAATGGATTAACTACGAGAGCCCAAACCACAGCACCCTTAAAAGGCAAGCATAAATCTTAGGACCAAGCATAAATCTTAGGCAGTGGGTCTTTACATACGACATGAAAAGTGTAAGCAAGGAAGGCCAGATAAGCTGGACATTATGAAAGTGAAAAACAGCTTCAAAAGCCCATCAAGAAAGTGAGGAGACAACTTACAGAAAGAGAAAATACTGCGAGCTGTGTATCTGATACTAGTCTAGTGTCCGGATGACACAAAGATCACTTAGATCAGTTCCGTCACAGACAGATAACCCAAGGGTTTAAATGGGCAGAAGATGGGAAGAGACATTTCTCCAAAGACACACGGATGAGTGGCAGCTCGCAGCAAGATGCTCAGCACCACTGCTCATGAGGGGAACGTGGCTGGAGCCACAGTGAGGGCACACCCACGCTGGGTCAGAGGGACGAGGGCCAGCTCGGACGCAGGGGCCGGGCACCTCCTCCAGGCTTCCTGGGAAGGGAGCCAGTGCAGCGGCTGCTGAGAACAGTCTCTGGAACCTCGGAGCTACCCCGAGACCCTGCATCACTCCTGGGTGTGCGCCCAGAGCCACGTGCCCGTCAGCGGGTGGAAGGGTGGTAAGTCAGCTGGGGGCTTCGCTGGTGGGGCAGTGGGTCAGAGCCCATCTGCCAGCGCCGGGGACACGGGTTCAAGCCGTGGTCCAGGAGGGCCCCACGTGCCCGGAGCAGCTAAGCCTGGGTCCCTGAGCTGCCGCTGCCGCGCCCGAGAACCACAGCTGAGGAAGCCCTGCACCCCGAGGCCCGAGCCTGAGTGCCGTGTGCCCACGGCCCGCGCTCCAGGCAAGATGCCACCGCGGCCAGAGGCCCCGCGCCACAGTGAAGACTGGCCCCTGCTCGCCACAACTTGAGAAAGCCTGTGTGCAACACGAAGACTCGGCACAGCCAAAGACAGATGAACGTTTTAAAACAAGGACACAGGAAGTCCTGGTGTTCAGCCCTAGGAAGGACGGCCTGACGCGCCACCGTGGGTAAGCCCTGAAGACATTACACTGGGAGAAAGGGCACCTTCCACGATCCCTTTTATTTGCAACATGCAGAACAGGCGAGTCTGCAGAAAGTGGATGGAGGGCCCCCGGGCAGGGGGGCGAGCAGCGGGTGCCCACTCACGGGGCAGGGTGCCGCTCTGCAGAGAGGCTCCGTCCAGAGCTGGAGGGGTGCCATGGGTGTGCAGCTGAGCAGGAGAACCGACCCCACTTCAGGAAGGAATTTCCCAGTGAGTGGATCACGTCTTGCCATCAGTAAGGAAGCAGGGCATGTGACCTGGCCGAGCGCTGGCTGAACCCCCGTGTCAGTCACCAGAACCCCCGCACCCGTCTGTGAGCGTGCGAGTCCCTCTGTGACCTGGTCCTGCTCCCACAGAACTTCAGACATGGGGGGTAAGGAGCCAGGAGAGCTGCCCTGAGCGGTCAGGGCTGCCCACGTCCCGGGCAGATGGTCTGCGCACCCCCCACGCGGCCGAGCCCCTGGTCCCCACACGGCGCCTACACACATCCAGAGAGGAGTACCACGCCTTTCAAAGTTAGGGCTTTCAGGTCTGATTCGAGGAAGTCGCTTTCTCATCAAGACGTCCAGCAGACCCACGTTTAACGCGGTCACAGCGGCTGTGGGCCAGGCCCTTGTGGGGGACGCCCATTTACAGGCACCCCAGGCCAGCTCGTCCCTGCGGGCAGGCCCCGGGTTCTGCGCTCAGCCGGCAGGGGGCCCCTCTGGGCGTGAAGAGATGGGAAACGTGGGAAACGGACCCCAGGGCCAGCAGGCCGAGACTCCTGCCCCTGGCACTCACCAGCCCCCAGGCCTCCATGGCGCTGCGGCAGCTGCACGGCCAGGCAGAGCTGAAGCGCCAGCTGGGTCTTCCCGGCCGAGCTGCGTCCAGCCAGTTCGGTGACGCCGTCCAGGGGCAGCCCGCCGCGGAGCAGCGCATCCAGCACGGGGCAGCCCAGGCTCAGGCGCTGGTGCTGCTCCGGGAACAGCCCCTCTTGCCGGAGCAGGTGCAGCGCTGGGAGCAGCGAGGGTGGGAGGTGACAGGTGAGCCCAGCCCTGCCCAGGCCCCCCACGCCCCACGCCAGGGCCCTAGCCCCGCGGGCATCCTGCCCAGGCCCCTCGCGCCCCACGCCAGGGCCCAGCACCTGTGTAAACGCCATGTCCCTGCAGGAGTGAGGCGGCTGCCCTCAGCAGGAGCCGCACGTCAGGGCTGGAAAGGCGGGTCAGTCTCTGCAGATCTGGTCCAGAAAGATGCAGGACCTCCTTCACTGACCTCAGTTTGGCTGAAATCACAGAACCAGTCACAGGATGCAGTCAGATGCGCTGTTCACGGTGACAGTGACGCAGAGACAGTGGGTGACCACCAGCTCTGGGGGCGCAGTGGGCAGCGGCCAGCCCACCTGCTCCCTGAAGCTGCACGGACCCCTGGATGACAGGTCAGAGAGGAAGGGGCCTGTCCCCAGGGCAGGGAGCAGCGGCCCCAGACACATCTCCTGAGACAGGCCTGCGCGTGCATCGCCAGGGAGGGGTCACGGGAAGGGACCCAGCCCGCGGACGGCCAGGGGGGTGAAGAGGGAGAGTCAGCTTGCTGGCGGCACCACAGGGGGGTTTTGGGGTGAGGGGCCCGAGAGCTGGTGTTTGGGAGGAAAGGAAGTAATTTTGAGCTTAGATCAGTGTATTATTTTTAAACTAGTGGGGGATAAAAAGGCTAACAATACATCAAGTCAATCCAAAAAAAGGCAAAAATGAGCATGCACACACAAATAACACAACATAAGGGAGCGTGAAAGCCAGCTTTCCCGGGAGCAGCCTTAAATACACACGCGGAAGGCTTCAGTTAGAGGTGCGCGCTGGGGTCAAAGGGACACTCAAGGCCTCAGGGGGGAGGAGCCAGCCCCGCACACTCGGGGCTTCCGCCCACCAATGCTGAGCACCTGACCTCACAGCATCCTCACGACCACCCAGGGACGGGGAGATGGAGCGGGTGTGGGGACCAGGGCGGGGGGATGGGGGGATGGAGGGGGTGGGGGACCAGGCGTGCAATAGAGGAGCTGGTACAGCCTGGGGATGGATGTGCCCAGACGCCAGCAGACTCCTCGAGCATTTAGAAAAGATCACTGGGCCTGACAGACACCTGCGAAGTGTGGGACTAATTGGAAGGCAGAGGAAACGCGCCCATGAACAGGGAGATGAGCACTAACTTTGGGGAAAACCAGAGATCGTCAAGAAAGGAAACAGTCACGCGCCCAGGTTCTGTCACAGCTGTGATGTCCCGGTGACAACTCTGATGTCTGACGTGGCCCAAACTGTGTTCCGACTGGGGCGGGGGGTGGACCAAGGAGGGGCATGGGGCGGCGAGGAAGCCAGCTCCCGCCCCCGAAACGGAGGCCTGTGAGGAGGCGTAAGTCAGAGAAGCACAGCGTTAGAAACCCAGATGTAAATACAGACACACAGCTGAAAGACTCGCAGGGAGTAAGGAGTCCCGTCTCACTGCAGACACTGTATGTACGGCTTCATGAAAAGTCAGTTACACACACACCCGGCACAGGCCAGCATCAGGGCGTCTCCGGGCCAGGAGGCAGAGGGTTCCCAAGGCTCAGACAGGCCACCCTGTAAACTGTTCTCCATAAAGTGCGCAGAAGTGCACGGTCACCCCACCATCACGTCACATAAACATCAGCAAACACACCTTTCTTAACTGCAGCGATGATTCTGGGGTGCAGGTCGAGCCGATCCAAACCCATTTCTTCAGCGGGGCAGCCAGAGGCGGACGAGTGCCCTGGGACACGGGTTCCGACGTGCCAGCCGCCCCTCGAGCGGCCCGCGAGGTGCGCGCCGCGGAGTGACCGAGCCGAGGGGCGCCAGGCGACTGTGGGGCCCGGGGCTCGGGACGCCCCCGTCCCCGGGACAGTGCTGAGATCGCCCCAGGCTGATCACCAGCAACTCAGAGGCCTGGGCTCAGCCCAGCCTGGCATGCGTTCCAGGAACCCCCGAGCACCCCCCGAAGGTCACCCTGCTTCATCCGCTTCAGGTAGGTGAGAGGCGGCCCGGTGTCCCTGCCCTGGCCCTCCGTGACCCACCTCTCTGGGGCGCAGGTTCCAGGCTCGCCCGAGTGGGGCCCACGCTGCACTCTCTGGCGTACGCTCCTGAGCGCGTCTCCGTGGGGATCTGGAAAGAGTGGGAGGGCGAGTGGTGGATCCCGCGGGCGCCCGGGAGGTCGGAACCGCTGTGACCGCCGAGCCGCTCCAACAAAGGGCAGCGGACACCTTGCCCACCTGGCCTGCAGCTCGCCCTGGCCACCGGCCCGGGGCAACGTGGCGGGCGGGGTGGCCGTGCCAGGCCGTGGCCACTCGGCTGAGGCCGGGCCCGGCGGCCAGCAGCAGGAAAGCCCGTGGCCCGGGGCTCCCAACGCCGAGGGGGCGGCACAGTGTGGATTTGGCCTTCTGCATGGACGCTGCCTACCCTGTGTCAGGCTGTCCCCGATGCTTCGAGACAGGTCACCCGCCCCCTCATCCAGTCTGGTCAGGAGCGAGGGCCTGGCTACCCATCGGTCATCTTGGGGTGGCTCTGGGCCCTCAGAGGCAGCTCCGGGAGCAGGAGGTCGGGATTCTGAATGACCGTGGGAGGGAAGCCTGTGCAGGGACTCAGCCGGGAGTTGCCTGGATGCAAAACTTGGTCCTGAGAGCAGCTGGACACACGGAGGAGACCAACTGCAGGGCCTCGGGCCCAAGTAGAGTGGGTGCTGACAGAGCACCTGCTGGTACCCGACACGGGCCCGGGAGCCCCACCAAGAGCCCTGGGAGGGGCCCGGGTGAAACCGCCAGGAGCAAGTGTGTGCCCCGCAGCACTCAGCATGGGCAGGCCTGGGCCGCTCCCGGGAGCGTCACGTGCAGGGGTCTCAGGGGATAATTAACAGCAGGTGCTGCTGCTGAGCCAGCGTGAAGGCATGTGAGCTCCTGGGCCAAACACGAGACTCCTCCCCAGGTGGAATCACTCTTGTGTGTCTCTGGGGCTCTAAGGGGGCCCAAGGACTTCTGTGCCACCAAAACAGGCTGGGATGGGCCCAACCCCACTCTGGAGACAATACTCGGCCTCCTGGCGGCTTTACTTGATTCACACTGAGGACTCAACGGGAGAAGGAGGGAAGATCTTTCTGAACTGATGCACTCAGCGCCTCTCCCACTCGACCGGGTACCAGACAGGAGGAGGCAGCAAGGAGCCCTGGGGGAGGCAGCCGGCCAAATCCCCACAAACTGAAACTTATTCCTTCTCTGAATTCAGGCAAAGAGTCAATACACACAGCTCCAGGCTGTTGCTCTAAAATCATCGAAGGTCGAGGGCTGACATTTACCAAAGTCTCTTCCAAGTGTGTGACAAGCATGAATGTCACCCCAGAAGTATTACAACCCCTGTATAAGCACAGATTGGTTAAGCAACAAGCTTCAGGTCACACAGCAAGTGGGTGGCCTGGGATGCAGGTCCAGCCCTGGGCTCTAAGCCCCTGACCCCACGTTTAAATCGCCCATCTGTTAACAGCTCCAAAGGGAACTGTTTGGACCACAGAACTCGGTCATCCAGAGGCTGACCCGCCTGAGGGTGTCCAGCTCCCTCTCATAGACGTTTCCTTTCTTTTCCCGCTCCCCTCCCAGAAAGGGCGCCAATAAGCACGCCTTCATCCCAGGGCTGCTGGATGGAGGTTTCACCGGACCCCTTGGGCGGCCACACAGGTCCTCCCCCGCCTAGACCAGCACTGTGGTTTCTCCAGAGCCGACCAGCCTGGACTTCTGGCCCCGCTCCCTTCGCAGGACCCTCTTACTCTTCTGAGGACCTTTCCTCTTTTCAGGCCCTGCGGCTTTAAGCACTCACTCCCCAGTCCCCCGGGCCTGCGTGTCCAGCAGGCCCCCGCCTGGGCCGTCCTGACGGACCAGGGGACGCTGCAGCCGCACCCTGCCACCCACGCACACCTGCGCTTCCCACCTGGCTAGCTCTGAGCCCGACTCCACCCTCCGCGCCCCACCCCGCGGCGCCGGCGCGGCCGCACAGCCTGAGCAGGCTCTACAGCTGCGCGGGCTCACCGCCCCGGGACCGAGGCCCTCCGTCCCAGCCCTGCCCAGCATCCGCCCGGCCCCCTCCCACCCCCGGGACCTGCGGGGGCCCTCGCTCTGCAGTCCCTCCTGCCCGTCCGCGGCTACGCACCGCCGATCCGGGTACTGGGGAAGCGCCAGCCGGCCCCCGCCGCGACCCCCAGCAGCAGGGCCGCGCGGGCGCCCAGCCGGGCCCTGACCGCGCCCCAGGGGCCTCGGTGCCCAAGGCCTCCTCGGCTTCCGGCCGCCCGGGACCGCAGTGGCGGTGGCCACCCCGCGTCCTCACCTCGCGCGCTCTCCGCACGCTCTTTCGCGCCGCCCCACCCCTTACTGCCTCTTCCTCCAATGAGCGCAGGGCGCCCCTCGCCGGATGCACCAATCAGAAGAGAAGCGGGGCCCACGTCGCCGATTGATTGGCCAATCCTAAGTCTCAGTCGCCCCGAGGGGGCGGGGCGTGCTCGGGCGGGTCCTCGCTGACCATTGGTGACTGGCCGCAGGGGGGCGGGGGAGGCGCCCTTACCTCGATTGGAGCACGCTGCGGCGGGGCGGATCCCGGGCGCCGATTGGTCCGCGTTCTGGACCTGGCGTGACGACTGGACGCGGGCTCTGTCAGCCACGCTGGCGGGGCGGGGCGGGGCGGGGCTCCCGGGGGGCTTGGGCCCGGCTGCGGGCGGCGGGCAGCGGGCGAGCGCTCGGGCGGCGTCATGTCCTCCGAGGTGGCTGCGCGCCGCGACGCCAAGAAGCTGGTGCGCTCCCCCAGCGGCCTGCGCATGGTGCCTGAGCACCGCGCCTACGGTAGCCCCTTCGGCTTGGAGGAGCCGCCGTGGGTCCCGGACAAGGAGGTAGGTCGCGGCCGCCCGCCAGCCCCGGGACCCCGGCCGCTCCCCCGGCCCTCCTTCCGTCCGCGCCGGCTCCCCGGGCCCGCCCGGCCTGCCCGCGCGGTGCGCCCCGCCCTCGGCTCCCCGCGCCCCCGGCCCCGGCGGTCCTTACTGGCGGACCCCCGGCTCCACCCTCGCCCGGGCGCTCCGCCTGACCCTTTTCGCTGATGCGCGGGCCCCCCCCCCCCCGCCCGCCCCGACCTCTCTCCGTGATTCCGCCCGCGCCCTGCCCCCTGCGCCGTCGTCTGTGGACCGGCCGCCTCCCGCGGTCGAGCTGTTGAGCTGGAACTTTTCTGACAGTTGCCTCCCCCTCCCCGCGCGGGGACCGGGAGTTGCGGGGGGGGCAGCGTTTCTTTGCGATCGGCGCTCGGGCAGGGCCCTCGAGGTGCGCTGCGGTGCTGGGGGCTCCTGGGTGCGAGCGGGCGTCGCCAGGCGGGGCGTCTGCAGGGCGGCCTGCCTGGGGAGTCTCACCTGCTCCCGGTGGGGCGGGGCGGCCCCTCTGTGCCCTTGTGTGCTGCGCTCAGGAGTTTGGACCGGATCCCTAAGCCAGTGGCTCTCAGTTGTGCGAAGGCTGGTGGAGAAGCCTGGTGCGTTCCTGTCAATCTCGAGCGTCTAAGAGACGGGAAAAGACCACGCTTTGGGAACAAGCTTTAAGTTACAGCCACTCGTGTTCTAGCTGACCGCTTTTCCTCTCTGCCCCGGGAATCGCGGTGGCAGGTTTTCCGCAGGGAAGGGTGGGGAGGTACGGGAGGAATGCGATCGGGTGTTTTCCAGGCACCGGAGCGCTCAGAAGCTGGGGAGGGGCGGTTGGCCCGCGGGCAGGACGAGGGGAGGGTTCATTCCCTCCGCCCCCTGGTCACCTAGCCCCCCCGCGGTGCTCCAAGGCGGCAGGACGTTTGGAGTGGGCCGCGGGGGTCCCTGGGCCGGGCTCTCCCCTCCTCTTGGCCTTCTTGTCGCCCTGCGTTTGTCCTCCGGGTGCTTGTAGTTTCCGAACTCAGGGAATGTACTTTTCCTCACACGATCTCCTTGGTTAGTGTTGTTGAAGGGTGGTTAAAGAAAGAAAAAGGTAACATCACAGCTCTCATTCTCTAAGCCAGCGCGTGTCCAGGAGCTCGTTTACCTGAATCAGTGAGGGAGCCTGGCAGGTGTCATCAGGGCTGAGGGAAGTCCCAGCAGCACCGCCTGGCCTGGGAGGCGGCAGGGGAAGGGGCCAGGTCCAGGCGGATTGATCGGCTCCACCGTGGGGGGCGGAGTCAGGCCGGGCCAGCGCCGCTGCCCTCAGCCTCTCCACCCCCTCAGCCCAGGCCAGCGTGTCAGCCGTTTCTGGTGTCCCCGAGGGCCATTTTAGACATTTCTTCCCCCGACTGATCCCCGTGCAATGCTCACAGCAGGAGCCGCGTGTGAGTGGAAGCCGCCCGGACGCCCTGCCGTTCGCTCTGGGGCCCCTCTGTCCGTCTTCGGGGCCCTTTGTCCTTTCCTGAAATGACCGCCTTGCTGTTTCCCTGCCTCGGGTGTCCTCTCTGACCAGTGGGGCGTCCAGCCCGGCCTGGGGTCTGCGGGCTCCGGGGGAAAGGCAGGCGTCAGGCGGAGGTGCTGTCCCCCTTGGCGCTCCCTCCCCAGTGGAAGTTTCTCGTGCTGGAAGGCTGGCGGGGTGCCCTCCAGAAACACACCCCAGTTTGCCGTCTCAGCAGCCAAAGAAGGCGGAGGGAGCTTTGAGGAGGGGAGGAGGCCTCCCAGTGGCCGTGACCCGAGTTTGAGGAAGTGCATGTTGACATGTACTGGGCAGGGGCCGCGTCTGCAGTGACCGAGGGGAGTGTTCTGGAGGAGAGCAGCCTGGGGTGGGGCAGCTCAGGCTGGGAGTCAGGTGGAGTCTGCCTTCTATCTGGGGCAGCTCAGGGGGGAGGGGGGGGTTCCCCTGCTGCCCGCCCGGCTCTGCAGCGCCACGATCCCGGGGTGTGTGTGGTTTGGAACAGGCAGGGGGAGGGTGTAGGGAGAGTGGGGGCAGGCGGGGAACATGCCTTCACCCGCGCCCACTCGGCTGTGCGGGGACGAGTGTCGATCGTGTCTGGAGCCGTCCGCACCCATCATTCCTCGGGGGTCTGTCGACTGTTGACTCGGCGCTTGGCCCTGTGCCACCTCGGTGCCTCGGGCCCACGGGGACGTCCCTCACAGATGCTGGGAAACGGGGGTGTGCGTTATCTGTGACTCTTGGCTTCTCAGAGGGGTTCCTGCTGCCAGAAATAACAGATTCGCTTTTCTGTGTGCCTCCAAGAGCTTGTGAGGTTGGGGGGAGCAGTGGTGGGACACGGGGGGCCTGGCGGAGACCTGGGCCCAGCTTGGGCCTCATGTGACTGCATCCACATGTCCCCCGGCGAGGAGCACACGCTCCAGGGTGCAGCCGTCGGAGACTGCAGTGACCCGTGCACATGCACCCGTTCCTGCCGTCCTGGGTGTGACAGCGGGGACGGCGGCTCTGCGCTGTTGTCTCGATGTCAGTTCAGTTCAGTCGCTCAATCGTGTCTGACTCTTTGCAACCCCATGGACTGCAGCACGCCAGGCCTCCCTGTCCATCACCAACTCCCAGAGCTTGCTCAAATTCATGTCCATCAAGTCGGTGATGCCGTCCAACCACCTCATCCTCTGTCATCCCCTTCTCCTCCTGCCCTCAATCTTTCTCACCATCAGGGTCTTTTCCAATGGCTCAGTTCTTCACATCAGGTGGCCAAAGTATTGGAGTGTCAGCTTCAGCATCAGTCCTTCCAGTGAACACCCAGGCCTGATCTCCTTCAGGATGGACTGGTTGGATCTCCTTGCAGTCCAGGGGACTCTCAAGAGTCTCCAACACCGCAGTTCAAAAGCATCAATTCTTTGGTGCTCAGCCTTGTTTATGGTCCATTTCTCACATCCATACATGACTACTGGAAAAACCATAGCTTTGACTAAACGAACCTTTGTCGGCAAAGTAATGTCTTTGCTTTTTAATATGCTGTCTAGGTTTGTCATAACATTTCTTTCAAGGAACAAGCATCTTTTAATTTCATGGCTGCAGTCACCATCTGCAGTGATTTTGGAGCCAAAAATAAAGTCTGTCATGTTTCCATTGTTTCCCTATCTATTTGCCAGGAAGTGATGGGACCAGAAGATGCCGTGATCTTCGTTTTTTGAATGTTGAGTTTTAAGCCAACTTTTTCACTCTCCTATTTTCATCAAGAGGCTCTTCTTCACTTTCTTCACTTTCTTCTTCACTTTCTTCTTCACTTTCTGCCATAAGGGTGGTGTCATCTGCATATCTGAGGCTATTGATATTTCTCCTGGCAATCTGGATTCCAGCTTCTGCTTCACCCAACCTGGCATTTCGCATGATGTACTCTGCATGTAAGTTAAATAAGCAGGGTGACAATATACAGCCTTGACATACTCCTTTTCCTATTTGGAACCAGTCCATTGTTCCATGTCCATATCTAACTGTTGCTTCTTGACCTGCATACAGATTTCTCAGGAGGTAGGTCAGGTTGTCTGGTATTCCCATCTCTTGAAGAATTTTCCACAGTTTGTTGTGATCCACACAGTCAGAGGCTTTGACATAGTCAATAAAGCAGAGTAGATGTTTTTCTGGAACTCTCTTGCTTTTTCTGTGATCCAGCGGATGTTGGCAATTTGATCCCTGGTTCCTCTGCCTTCTCTAAATCCATCTTGAACATCTGGAAGTTCACGGTTCATGTACTGTTGAAGCCTGGCTTGGAGAATTTGGGGCATTACTTTGCTAACGTGTGAGATGAGTGCAGTTGTGCAGTAGTTTGAACAGATAGTAGTAGTCTTGACGTCAAATGCTCTGCAGAGGCAAACGGGGGACACAGGTGTGTCAAACAAGAAGCAAAGGTGGACTTGGGTGGAGAGAGATTATGTTTCAGAGGGTCATGGTGGGGTGGTTCCGACCAAGGGATCCACAGGCTGTCCAGGGGCAGGCGGCAGGGGGCTTCTCCATGGGGGGCGCGGCCCGGGCTGCGGCGAGCAGGGTGGGAGGGGCAGGTGGGAGGCGGATGGTGTGATCTGATAGCGGGTCGGATGCATCACCCCTGGACTGTCTCAGGCGAAGAGGTGGGTCAGAGTTCAAGGGCCTGAAGGAAGGAGAGATTAATGAACGCTGCATTAAGTAAGGTTCGTGCACTCGTCGCTTCGGTCCATGAGGGGACAGGCAGGTCTGTGGGTCCCGCCTGCGGCCCCCGTCTGGCTTGTGGAAGATGGCTGGGGTGTCTGTGCGTCTCCTCCAGGGCATGTGAGGAGGGGGCTCTTTGCATGATGCCTGCGGGGTCCCTGTCTTGGGCCTCCGGGATCCCAGGTGGGTCCCTCGTGGTGGGGCCCAGGGGCCCCGCAGGCCCGCCCGCTCGCTCGGGAGCTGCCCACAGCCCCCGTGGCCAGTGGGGCGCCTCCTGCGGGAGGTGGTGTCCACGCCCCGGGGGCTCTGCAGGAGAGGCAGGCCTGTCCTGGGAGGCGCCCCTGCCCCATATTGTCAGATTCAGCTGGTCCCTGGGCTGCTGGGGGTCTGCTCCTCAGATTTGCCCATGAGCTTGTTTTTTTAACATTTCATTGCTTCCCTGAGTTAATTGAGTTAAATCTTTGACATGGATTCATTTTATATTTGTAGGAGTTACACTTTTACTCTTTAAAAATGGTTGCTTTTCAACAGATGCCTTAACGCATGTAGCTGGGAAACGTATCTTTATGACTGACTTCTTTTCAAGGAGCCTGAGAAACACTCCCGTGGGAGCCTGGAGTCTCGGAGGACAGTGCCGGGGCGTCGGGCCCCTGTTGCTCCAGCCTCAGAGGGCGGGCGGGCAGGCGGATGTCCCAAAGCTCCATTCTTTCTAAAGGCGCTTCTCTTTAAACATTGCTTTAACCTCTCCAGTCTGTGTTCTGACTGTTGTGCTTTGAAGGAGCTGCCTGAGCACCCCCAGGGCTCCCGGGCAGCTGGTCGGCAGAGACCACCGTCTCTGAGCAGGCCTCCAGGGCTCCTGCGCTGGGCTGCCGAGGGTGGCCCCCAGTCCCCGGGGGCCTCTGTTCCGGCCCGGCTTCCTGTGGCCCTTTCTGGTTTCTTCCGTCATCGCTGCTCGCCTCCCCCCTCATCGTCGGCAGTCTCCTGCCGCTGTCAGCTGCTGGCTTCCTGGAGCAGCGAGGGGACGGGTCGGGGCTGCCAGGCTCGGACCCCCGGCTCCCCTGCCCTCTCGTGGGGACCCGTGGAGACCCCCCCAGCACCGGCTCCCTCCCCTGTCTGTGGGTGAGAGTCCTGGGGGCAGCGCAGGGGCCCCGCAGGTGGCTGGCGGCTCGTTGCTGACCTGGTCAGGGTGGGCGGGCAGCCCGGGAGGACCCGGCAGTGGTCTGTGTGCAGGTCCAGCTTCTCCCCTGTGAGGCCCCAGCCCCCGCCCCCCCCGGGGGCGCCGTGGGGACCGGCCTGGGTGCCTGTGGCTTCAGGGGCGGGCGTTGCCGGGGCCTTAGGCCTCACGGGGAACTGCTGGCTCCTGGTTTCCGGACCGTCTCCCCAGCAGCGGCCCCCCGCCCCGGGCCTCTCCTCTGGGTTCAGCCAGCAGCTCGGGGCACAGCCCTGGGCCCCCGCCTGGGCTGGCGTTGTAGCTGGTCTCAGACCAGGCGTGAATTCTTGACTCTCAAGTCTTCACCCGCTGCTCTCGTTTCTTTAATTCTATTTTCATGTCAAATCGTTCTCTTGATCATTTTAAAAGCTTCTTTTCTCTTATATAGTCCCTAGGAAAATTACCTTGTTTAAAAATCTGCTCTGAATAACCTCGTTGGTTATTACCTTATTTAGATTAATGCAAAATGTCTAGCTCACTGATATTTTTCAGGGAGTGTGGTGTGGTCTGAGTTTAGAGCTTGGTCTCGGTTGCTTAGATGTGAGCCTCCCGGCAGGGGGGACAGGGTCCATCTCCACGACCACACCCTCACCCAGGGGACTCTGCGGTGGGTGGACGTGCGAGGTCACGGGAGAGTGTGGCACACAGAGGCCCCGCCCCATGTGGAGGTCTGAGTACCACACATGGAACGTTCCAGAAGTGACAGAGGCAGTGGCAGGGCTGGTAGGGATAGCTGGGATTGGCCAGCTCGGGCCTGAGGCGGGCAGACCCTGCAGGTGATTCTGGAGGGCCAGGCCCAGGGTCCCGGCGGGAAAGCTGCTGAACAAAGAGAAACAAGAAAGCATCAGTCACGGGTCACATAAAGCTTAGACGGCTGCTCAGTGCGGGGCCATGGCTGCCAGGTGCGGGTGGGGCTGGGGGCCGGCCTGCGGCAGGGGGCATCTGCAGACTGGCCTTGCCGACCACCCTCCCCTGGAGAAGGGCGCTGGCCCCGGCTTTAGACCGACTTGGAAGGTGGGCCTGGCCCTGCCCTGAGCTGGGCCTGGGGGGAGGGGAGGGGGTCAAGGCCAAGCCCTGTGCTGGGAGCAGGAGCAGCCCCTGCCTGGGTTCTGGCTGCCCGGAGTGAAGCCAGGCAGAGGGCGGCCCTGCTGACCAGGACCCACCGGGGCGGGCAGGTCCGGTGAGAGTCACGGCCAGGGCGCCTGGCCCCCTGCCTGGTGGCGGCATTTCACCGGCCCCGTCGGAGTGCGCGGCTTTCTCGCCACGTGGGGACAGCGCGTCCCCGCTGTCCGGTGACAGGTCGGGGCGCTCCTGTGGTGGTGGCCGGGTGACGACGTGGCCGTCTCCAGGCTGGTCCCTGGCGGTCCCGGGAGCACTGTCCCCAGCCTTTCCTCCCGAACCCCGGGCGCCCGGGCCTGGCACCACCGCCGGCTGGCCGCTGCCCCAGCTGCGGCGTCTCCGGGCCGCGCGGCCTGACCCCCTGTCACCTTGCCTCCTAGTGCCCGAGGTGCATGCAGTGTGACACCAAGTTTGACTTTCTCACCAGGAAGGTGAGCTGGCGGGGCAGGAGGGCGGCCCAGGTGGGGTACGGGGGCGGGGCCCCTCGAGCCCGCGCTGTGCGGGGCGCTCACGCCCGTGCCGCCTCGCCAGCATCACTGCCGCCGCTGCGGGAAGTGCTTCTGCGACAAGTGCTGCGGCCAGAAGGTGGCGCTGCGGCGCATGTGCTTCGTGGACCCCGTGCGGCAGTGCGCCGGGTGCGCGCCGGTGTCGCGGCGCGAGGCTGACTTCTACGACCGGCAGCTCAAGCTACTGCTGAGCGGTGAGAGCCGGGCGGGCGGGTGGGGGTCGGGGGGTCGGTGGGTGGGACTCTGTCGGGTGTGGCCCCAGCCGCCGGGCGGGCGGAGCCCCCAGGACCTGGCAGCCCTCTCCCCCACCCCCTCCACCTCCTGGCAGCATCGGGCCGGGCTGCCCTGGGGGTCCCTTGGGGGCGGGTCGGCGCCCTGTGATTCGGGGGAGCCCCAGGCGGCGTCTCTGGCCTCCGGCATTGCACCCCGACCCCGTCACGCCCTTCCCGCCGCCACCTCGCCTCCTTCTGTCCTCCACACGTCTCTCGCCTGGAGGGGGCGGCGCGGGGGCTGCCGCGTGCTCACGTCTGGGCTCCTCCGCAGGAGCCACCTTCCTCGTGACTTTCGGGAACTCCGAGAAGCCGGACACGATGGTCTGCCGTCTTTCCAGCAACCAGAGGTGAGGACGGGTGCTCTTCACCTGGCACTGGGCGCCCAGAGCCTCGGAGGGCCGCGGCACGGACGCCTCTGTCTGCCGCAGGTTCCTGCTTCTGGACGGGGACGGGGACGATCACCGCGAGATAGAGGTGGCGCGCATCGCCGCCGTGCAGATGCTCACGGAGGGCCTCCCTCCCGGAGGTAGGCGCCGCGGGCCGGGGGGCTCCGGGGCTCCGCTCGCGGGCGTGTGAGGCGGAGAGGAGGTTCCGTGGAAGTGGTCTCCGCGCTCTCCCGTCTCTCGCGGCTGGCATCACCCGGTTCCCCAGGGCCTGTGGTGGGGCCCCCAGCTCCGCCGCCCCCCAAGGTCTGCGGGGACGACCCGGCCCTCTCCCCTGAAGCCCGCTCCTGGGCCTCGGGTCCGAGCGCGGAGGCTGATGCGGCCCCTCTGTCTCATTTCTGACCGGCCTTGCTGTCCTCTTCTGGCTGCCTGCCTGACGCAAAGACAGTCTCACTCACACCAGCCTCGCCGCCAGCCGGCCCATCGCTGAAGGTCAGCGTGCTTGCGGGGCGGGGGTGGGTGTGGCGGGGCTCCCTGTGAGACACTCGGGCCTGAGGCGGCCAAACCGTGAAGCCGCCTGTCCCCTGGGCTCGGCTGTTCTCTCCTGAGGGGGAGCTCTGCTCTGCGGCCAGTGTCCGCCGGCCCGGGGCCCGGCCGGGGGAGGAATGGGAAGCGGGTGGCGGCCTGCGAGCGCGTGCTGCGGCCGCTTGGTGGGGGGGCCGCTCCTTCCCGATGGGCGGGGCCAGGTGGGCGGGGCCGGGGCTGCTGGCGCAGCGCCCCCTTCTGGCGGCTCCTGGAGCGCAGGGAGCCCCCTCTGCCCGGCTTCCTGGAACCAGTCAGTGCCCAGAACCGTGTTTCGGAGCTGGGGTGCGGGGGGCGGTGGAGGGCAGGGAGGGTCACCGCGCGTGCGCTGTCCACAGCAGGGTCGCCCACTTTCTGTCGAGGGTCGGGCTGAACGTCGACTCAGCCCTGCCGGCCACAGGCTCTCAAAATGCAATTCAGGCACAGGAGTCAGGGAGGTGTGGTCATGGGCCTGTAACAGTCCAATAAAAGCCCCCTTCCAGGAGCAGGTGGTGGGCAGAGCGCAGCGGGCTGCCCCAGAGTAGGGTTGGGGGGTGGCGCCCCTTCAGAGAGTCCAGGGGATGAGCCGGCTGACACAGCTGGGACTGCTGCTTGTGAACGTCCTGGGAGCTTGGCACTTCTGGCCGGGCTCTGAGCTGCGGGGACCCCCCAAAGACAGCCTTCCAGGAGCCCGTGTCCTGGGGTGGCCTGTGGTTCCTCCGCTTTGACCCTGGCACCCGCAGTGGGGTGGGTGTGAGGCCAGCACGCGAGTGTAGCCTGGGGCGGGGCCTGCTTCCGCCACCGTGCCTCTAGCAGGGTCTCAGCCATGGGCTGCCAAGTGTTTGACCTGGGCCCTGGCCAGCGCTGTGAGCTCAGGATTGGCCACCAGGCAGCCGCTGCCCTGACACAGGCCCCACCAAGAGGCCAGCTGTGAGGCCAGCACCAGGGTCGGGGGGGGGTGCCCGGGCCGCTGCTTTGGGGCAGCCGGCACCCTGGTGCTCGAGGCCGCTTGGGCCATCCTTACCTTGTTCCCACTCCAGGAGGCAACGCAAGGGCCACAGGCATGACCCTGCAGTACACGGCCCCGGGGGCGGAGGGGCTGGCGCAGCTGACGCTGATGGCCAGCGAGGACGCCGACGGCAGCAGGAGGCAGGCGACAGCATGGCTGGCGGCCATGCACAAGGTACCTCTCCTGCTCTGCACTCTCCCACTCCCTGCCCAGCCGAGGCGCCTCCACCCACCTCAGCCAGGCACACGCCTTTCTTTCTGGTCCCCTTGCAGGCGGCCAAGCTCCTCCACGAGTCTCGGGACCAGTAACTCCACACGGGCTGGACGGTCCGCTCGGGGCAGCAGCACCTGCTCTCGGGCACACAGGCACGACTAACCCTACAAGTGCTGGAGACGCAGCCAAGCCCTCAGAGCCTGCCTAGTGCAGTATGTACACCGTTGGTTAACGCTGAGACCATTTGCGCTTTAGAACCTATCACTTGTTGATACCTAACTGCGGGGGGAGAGGCTGAGCTGCACCACTGCTAATACTCTCTACCTGTTTTTACGAGTGCCCACGTTTACTAGAAGGTTCTGGTCCCCTGATGTTCACTGGTTCTTCCACAGACGTGACCCGAGCAGTGGTCACCTGGCCTGATTTGTACTGGTGTGCTTCCACACTGCCCGCTCAGCGTGTCACTAACCCAGGGCCACGAGCAAACCTTTGATACTTCACTGGGGAAGGAGCATGCTTTATATTTTGTACTTTTCACTTACTATTTCACTTTAACTATACAACAATTTGTATATAAAGCTTACAATTAAAACTTATTTTGAAAGTAAGGATCAGGCCTTGCCTCTGTGTGTCCAGACAACCCAAGCTTCCCGCTCAGCTCTGGCTCCAGAGCACAAGACTCGAAGCCGCCCGTGAGAGACAGCGGTTTATTGCGTGCATGTACACGGCCTCAGCACAGGCTGCCCGCGCGTGCTCGCTTCTCGTGAGCACACTGTACAATCGGCGCTCCAAGGCTACACATGTCCACACGCAAATCACACACGAGACTCGCACATGGGAACAAAGCTCAGGGCCTGGACTTTAATGAGAAGAAAACATTTCCAACACGGGTCTGACAGTTTTCAGTGGTTTAGTCAAAAAATACTTCTGGTATATAAAAGCCGGTACGTATAGTTCAAGTCTCAGGGCACTGCCTCACTAAGTCTGGAACCAGGGCAGAGGGACCGGGGAGTCTGGGCGTCCCCCATCCACGCGCCCCCGGCCCGCACAGCGCCCTGGAGGGGCGGGGCAGCGGGAGGCTGCGGGAAGGCGTGCTGTGTGGAAACCTCTGGCCCAGCGGTGTCCCGTGGTCCTAGGTCCCTTGTGCCTGTGGGTGACCTAGACTGAGGCCTGGAGCGGGAAAGGAGCCCACACCTCAGACACCCCCGCTCCACACAGGGCTCCTGTGGTGATGAAAAGAAATGCACGTGAGGATGGACAAGGTGCCGGGTTTCTGACGTCCGGTGGACGGGAGGGCGGAACTCCAGCAAGGGGCACACCTCACGGCAGCGGCAGGCTCTCTGGGGGGCTGGGGCAATACCGGGGGTGGGGGGGCCTTGGGGCCCACGTTCTAAGAGCGTCGTCTTCACTGGCAACCAATCGGGGGTCAACGACAGGGATTCTTATTGGCAACAAGGGTGGTGGTTTAGAAAGCTGGGTATTTATTTGGATTTACAGTAATTGGCAAAATCCAGTCTCCTTGGAGGTGAAGACCTCTCTCTCAGCTGAGGGCAGACCCTCACCCAGGGATCCTCATGCCGTGGACACGGTCTGCTGCGGGAGGCCCTGAAGCTGCGTCCAGTGTCCACTTCCGGGAGAGCCCGAGCCGCTCCCCGCCGCTGGTGCTACGCGGTGCTGCAGGGGGCACTCAGGCCAGCGTCCGCTGTCGGGGTTTGATCCGTGGATACAACTGGGAGGCAATGGACAGGACTTAGGATGAGGGGACAACCGCTGGGCAAGAGCCCTGTGCAGAGGCCAGGCTGACACTCAGAGGCCACCCTCCCATGGAGACGCCTCCCAAACACCTAGAGGCTCCGTGCCTTTTTCTCTCAGGGCACTCGGGACCACTTAAGATACCGGTACTGTCTGTAAGGCCCCCAAAGGTGCCTGGCAGGTGTCCAGTGACTGCTGGATAAGAGCGGCTGCCAGCCCACTGGACGTGGAGCACCCGGGAGCAGAACACACCGTGAGCAGCCCTCATCAAGGGGCTATGGCCTCCCCACAGGCTCCCCCCCAGAGCAGATGTCCCCCGACCCCCTGGCCTCCCCCGGGGTCTGAGTCAGGCCCTGCCCCCCACTCCCCCCCAGGCAGTAGGAGGGCCCCAGCGCAGCCTTACCCCCAGCAGGTTCCTGGGCACGTAGCCCTCCCGGTCCCCAAGGCGAGCCCACCACCAGTCGGTCTCGACCTCGTCCTTGCGCCGCAGAATGGTGAGCGCGTCCCCTTCTCGGAAGGACAGCTCATCGCTGTTCTGGGCCTCATAGGCCCACAGGGCGTACACCACACCTTTGTTCATCACACCCAGCTTCTCCTGCACGCCTGGGACAGGAGAGCCGACAGTCAGTTCTGCAGGACAGGCTGCTGAGGGCCTGCGCCAGGCCCGGAGACGCCGCTGGCCTCGGAGCGCTTAGAGGCTGGGATGGCTGCTGCCCCCCGAGTGACGCCACCAGTCCCTTCCGTGTCCCAGCAAGAGGCCGCGGCAGAAGTGTCATGTCCAGAAGCAAAGGTGGGTTCATGCTAAGTTTCTCCAGTCATGTCTGACTCTGCAACCCTAAGTAACACAGCCCACCAGGCTCCCCTGTCTACGGGATTCTCCAGGCAAGAACACTGGAGTGGGTCGCCGTGCCCTTCTCCAGGGAGGAGAAAAGGTGTTATTTCTTAGGGTAAAACTTACAACCCACAAACCCATGACTGAAGTCCCGTGTGCCACTCTTGGCAGCGGGAAGCACGGTCCACCAGAGTGACAGGCCGCCGCCTCCCCCGCACAGCCTCTGTCCTGGGGCTGGGCCTGGAGCAATGCCCTTTCGGGTGTCTTTGCCCCCAGGGTCCCAGGCAGGCTGGGCCCCCGAGTGCTCCAGTGTGGCGTGGACAGCCTGTGGTTGTTTAGCCCACAGAATTGACGCTCCAGCCCTGCCAAAAACAGCTCAAAGCAGAGGAGTGCGGCCCTCACCTACAGGCCCCACGGGCCCCATGGGGTGGGGACAGGAGACCATCCAGGACACCGCCCTCAAGACCTCGCTCTGGGCCACTGTGTGCCCAGGGCATCCTGGCCTCCCTGTCCCCCTCCTCTGCCCAGAGAACACCTGGCAGAAAGGGGAAGACTTTCTTCTGAGCAACTCGGCATGGAATCCTGACCATGAGAATGTAACAGGTCTTCAGGGATAAGCCCAAGGGCCGGGGTGACCTCTGTTCCCAGGACACAGACTGGGCTTCCCCAAGGGTGCACTTGGGGCTTCTCTTGGCCCAGGCAGCAGCATGGCCCGCGCCCAGCGCGGCCCAGGAACGGCACCCAAGGGCCCGTGCCCACTCCCCTACCGTAAAGAAACTGGGAGCACTGGATGTAGCCCTCCTCCATCTCCTCGCACTTGTCCGCGGCCGTCTCGATGTCGCTGATGGTGGAGGCGAAGATGGCGGCGCCGCTCTCCACCAGCTGTTTGCAGAGGTGGACGCTGTTGCAGGAGGCGGCGCAGTGCAGAGGCGTCCTGGGGGGACACAGGGAGGTCTCACGTCCCGCCGGCGGCCCGCAGCGCACGCTCAGCGTCCAGCCAGCTGCTCTGCTGCTGCCTCTGCAGGGCCGGACTCTACTCCCACTTTTAGAGCGGACACACAGACCGTGCATACACACACACTGCCCCACACACACCACACCCACACCCACTTCTGAAAAGGGCCTCAAAAGGCTGGGTGGTGAGCGCACCGAGAAGCAACCTGTAACCTGGGTGTTCGTGGTGTGACATGAACGTGTCCTCACTCCGGGGACACGGCCCTCAGAGCAGCTGTGATGGTAACGGCTGTACATTACCACGACATAAAGAAACAGATGTTGACTGGCGGCAGCGCAGACCGTGGCCTGAGGCTCACAGTCAACGGCGCAGGTTCCTCACCATAGACTTTCTGGCCACTTGAAAACAAATGGATCAGCAGAGGCTTAGCCTGCGTTCTGTGGTCAGCCGTGTGACAGGCGTGATCACAGCGGAGCCTCTAGCAAAACCAGTGCGAGAACGGAGGCCGGGCGGCCCGGGACGCGGGCCATCTGTCCCCTCTCCTCCTCTGCCGCCATGCACCCTGGGGCCTCACCAGCCGTCACTGTCGGCAGCGTTCACGTTAACCCCGAAGTCCAGCAGGAACCGCACGATATGGTGGTGCCCGGCGCAGACGGCGTTGTGGAGGGGGGTGATGCCCTCGTCATTGGGCTTGCTGGGGTCCTCCACCTACGACACGGGACATGGCACGTGAGCCCCGCCGGGCGCCGTCAGGGCTGCTGACCCACACAGGCACGCGCTCACCTCATAGATAACCCTCTGCACCAGGTCAAACTCCCCCTCCAGAGACGCGTCCAGAAGCAGCGCCAGTGGGTTGAAGCGGACCCGCAAGCCGTGCCCCGTCCGCTCCGAGTTGGGCTTCTTCAGGTTGGTCCGCTTGTTCTATGGGGAGGAAGCGTGCTTTGGATTTCAAAGTGACCCCACGCAAGCAGGCTGGGAGCGGAGGAGAGGAGGCAAGAGGGCGGGTCCTAGAGCCCGAGGCGGAGCTCCACCCGCAGAGCCTCCACCTGCAGCCCCCCGTGATCGAGAAGGGGGCACTGCACACCAGCCTGAGCCTGGCTCCCAGGGCATCCCTGTAGGCGCCCGAGGAAGGGGGCGAGGGGAACCCCTGAGCTGAACTGCTCCTGCCCTGCGAAGGGGCACAGGCGAGGGGCCCCCGCCTCCCTCTGCTACTTCAGCACCGCTCTCCCCCAGCGCTCTGTTTAGAAGGGTCTCCTCCCCTTGCTGCCTGCCCAGATCCCAGTGGTGGCCCCCTTACTCAGGAACCCTTGGGCCCCCAGGGCGAGGCTGGCCCCACTGCCCGGCACCACCCGACCCAGGTGTGTCCCCGACAAGCTCTGGCTGGCTGGCCAGCAAGCCGGTGCTCTGGTCTAGGTCTACACCCACCGTGGAGGCCGAGGGCAGCGGCACGGCGAGTGATGGGGGCACTTGCTCCTCCCCTGGAGAGGGGGCCTCAGCCCCAGGGCTGGGGACCTGCTCGGTGGACGGGGCTGTGGCCACGTTGTTGTTGTCGTCCTCGGCCGGCTCAGCCGTCTGGTGGGTGTTCGGGGGACAGAGCAGGCCCTCGGGTTCGGGGGAAGGGAGCCGGTTGTCATTGGCATCGGAGGCGGGGGCAGGCTCGGCAGGGAGTGGGGCCGTGGGCGGGGCGGGGCCAGCCTCGCCCAGGTTCCCGTTGGCAGTGGCGTTCCCATTGTCCACGTCGGCCAAGGAGCCCAGGAAGTCCTGCGAGGGGCTGGGCTGGTAGAAGGGGGCACCCTCCATGCCGCCAGCCAGCGTGTTGAAGCGCTGGTACAGCAGCTTCTGGATGTTTGGCCCACCGGGGCCCTCGGGCTCCGTGATGGAGCTGCGCTTCTTCAGGGGCCGCGGCGCGTTGGCCAGCTTCCTGCGCAGGGCCTCCAGGTCGGCGTCGCTCTGGTAGCGCAGCGGCGAGTGCACGATGGGTGTCAGCTTGGTGGGGCTGAGTGGCCGCGGCAGGCTCTCCACGGCGGCCCCGTCCCCAGGTGGCGCAGGGCTCTCGGGCTCTGGCTCCTTCTCGGCGCTCTCGGCGGGAGGCGGGGGCTGCGTGGCGCCCGGGGCCAGCGAGCCGTGGAGGAAGGGCAGCGGGGACGGGGACGTGGAGCCAGACGGCAGAACCGGCTTCCCATACACTGGGGAGACAGGCCCAGCACTCAACATCTGCCCACCAGAGGCCGCTGCTGTGGGAACCCGCCAACCCCTCCCTGGGGAGGGAGACTCTACTTGATCTGTGTGTATGGAATCAGGGCTTTTTCAGATGAAAAAAAGAAAAAGGTTGCAAACCGGCCTACCCACACTAAACAGGCACTCGCTGTTTGCTGGCCAAGGAGAACCACATGACCCTGGGACTGTACCAAATGGCGAAGACCACAGGCCGCCTCAGGAAGGAAGGGCCCCCTTTGGCCCTGGCGCACCTCGCCCCCAAGGTCAGAACCTGCCACAGGTCAGGGCTGGCATGTCCACCTAGGACCCCCTGGGCCCCTGTGGGGAGCCTAGAGATTCTCAAACTAGATTCTGGAACCTGCAGCCCACACGGAAGAACTCTGAGGAGACCCCAGACGCCCTGAGGCCCAGATCCCGCTGCCCAGGAGGAACCACCATCAGCCTCTGCACGCAGGAGCCGAGTTCTGTTCTCACACCTGCCTCCCCAGGAGACCGGGGCGGACTTCCCCGCACCCAAACCGGGGCTCTTCGTCCGTGTGGGCACTGCAAGAGGATCCCAAAGCAGCAAAACCCTTCCCTCACATCACTCCCAGGGGCCCGGCCAAGCGACTGCTAGGGGCCAAGGGATCAGGTCCGGGCAGACCCCACGCCGCCAGCTCCCAGGTAAGTCCTGCACAAAGCACTACAGAGCAGGGGAAGAGAGAGCAAGTCCTGAGGTGTCAGCCTTCTACGGCCTGGATTTCCTGAGTAATGTGGGCAGGTGGGTTCTCAGACAGGAGGTCTACCGGCAGAACCACTCTGTGTATGTCCTCTTTATCCCCCTCTCACACAGACGCCCACAGCCACACCTCACTAGGAATCAAATCTAACCCTAGACAGCCTGTGGCCCGGAACTCATGGTACAGACTGGCATTTTCTATAGTAGGATTTCCCAGCCCCAGGAGAAGGAGTACATGCCCACCGTACCTGCTTTAACCGACTTATTCACGGTGCTGTGCGCTGCTGGCTGGTAATTCTTAGGTGGTGTGGCTTGCTGGAGGTACATGGAATATATGGAACTTGAATTCACCGTCTGGGGTCCTTTTCTGGGGGACTGTGGCCTCGACCCTTTATCAGCCAGGAAGGGCCTAATGGCCACAGTCAGTGGGAGTTCGGGTTTGCTGTCTCCGGCTGGAAAGGCAGGCAGCCCTGCCGGCGGGTATGTGGGACTTGGGGGCACAGAAATCCTCTGCTGAATCTGCTGCGAGGAGCCCGGCTGGTGCGGGCCACCCGCAGAGGGCAGCGGGGCAGGTTTCTGCCGACCGGCAAGGCCTGCACTGGGCCTGGGCAAGCTGCCCTCCTTCCTCCTCTCCAGGGAGTTGGTCGAGCCCGGGCCCACAGGGGCAGGACTTGGGTACGTCCCGTAGCTTGGGGGCAGCGGCTTGCTGACACCAGGCAGGGGGGGCGGCACTTTACCGATCTCCATGCCCTGAATCAAGATGTTAGAGAGAAACATGAAGTCAGCTTTTGACAAGTTCAGCACGTTTTCACCCAGGGACTGTCCTCCTTCCAAGGGGCCTGTGAGCAGGCGGGGGCACGCCGAGGGGGGCACACAGCAGGGGGACAATCCTGACCACCAGCCTCCCACACACACCCAGCTCGGGTGCTCAGGGTCCTGAGCTCCTTCAGACTTGGGGACCACGTGGACACTAACAGGCTTAATTTGCCTCATGACACCTCCTACCCCTTAGACGAAGATGAAGAGGGGTGTGTTCAGCTACGGGCTTGTTTGTGTTCCGGACAAAGATGGATGGCCTACCAGCTTCTCCGGGGCACTCAGGGCCGACAGGGGCACGGGCTGGCTAGAGACAGCCCCCTGCTTGAGTGGCCCCTCGGCACTCGCATCCTTCCAGTCCACGCCGGTGATCTGCGGCGGTCTCACCGAAGAGCTAGAATTCTGTTTCAAGGTTGGCCAGTTTCCATCATTGGCTTGAAAAGAACACAGAATTTAAGTAAAACTTTTCTTGAAATTAGTTTAACCAACGTAAGAATAACCCTCTGCCAGAAGCTAAAGCAATCACCTCTGAGACACCACACTCTGAGGGAGCCGCACAGGCAGCTCTGCCAAGGGGCCTCACCAGCACCCACGTGGCTCTCGTGCGTGCAGAGACTCACGACCAAGCACATGGATGCTCCACCCCCGGCGAGGGGCCAGAGGGCTGGAGAAACACTCTCAGCTCCCACTGAAATACAGGTCAAACCCGTTACATCAACACCAATGAGTAAAATAAGCGCTGGCACTTGGTTTTCAAACACTATTTACATTTACAATTACACACAACAATAAAAAAAAATTTATCTTTTGACTTCGTAACAGGTTTGACTTGTACTGCTTCCGGGATTAAAAGAAAAATTTGACTTTAGTCTGTTAGAAATTTCCATCCTCTGAAAATAATTCATGATCACAGGAGAGAGGTACAGTTCCCAGTGATTGGAGGAGCAGGCCATCAATCTGCTGCAGTGATCAGAAAACCAGTGAACCCAGGTTTTCAGGAAAGTCACTGAGAAGGCACACTTTTTAACAGTGTTTTCCAAACTGAGAAAGGGTGCAGAAGCATCCCCTGGCAGCACGGGCTGGCCCTCAGGGAGTGAGGGTCAGGCCTCTCTGCAGTAGCAGGGGCTAGACTGGAGGGGAAAAGGGATGCCCAGGTCACCGTCCAGACCCTCCCGCCCCCTGCCGGCATGGCGGGGGTGGCTGAGGGGCGGCTGGGCCACCACCCTCCCAGACAGTGCTCTGTTGCAGCTCACACTGCGCCTGGTGAGAGGGGAGGCGCGGCCTCACAAAGCCTGCAGAGGGCCTGAGGGCGCCGGGCGGCGGCACCTCGAGGCAGACTCTGCCTGTGGCTGCAGCATTGCGCGCCCTGCCTCCCTGCCCAGCCTGGCTGCCAGCCCTGGTGAGCACTCCCCAGGCCTCAGGCCAAGCCAGCCCTTTGCTCTTGTGGGTCACGCCGCTCCCCGTCCGGAGGTGTGCGCTCTAACCCCCCTTGGTGTCATCAGGCTTGGCCATGTGGGCCACAGACGCGCAGTTTCACCAAGGATGCACCGAGGGCAGACCCCAGGCTAAGGGGCAATAAACAGAGCTGACTCAGGAGGGGGCGGCTGGCCTCGCTGAGGGTCACAGGGAACGGGGCTGCCAGCTGCTCCCGAAATGCCAGACCCACGGGAGGGTTTGTGGAAATCAGGCACAAAGGCACTGGAGAGGGACGAGGACTTCTCCTTCTTCAGCATAAGGCAGGAGGTACAGAAGGAAGACCCATTTATTTTTGTTATCAACGGTCAACTATCTGTAAGTGTGATGGGAGATTCCTGCATGAAGCGAAAACTAAAAGCCTCATAATGAACTCAGAAAATCATCTTAATTCTGTAAAAACAAAACCAGAACACCCCTGCTGGGCTGACACCTGTCAGGCCCCTCCTGAGGAGGTCTGGGTTCTGGTCCAGCCTAGACGCCACTCCTGCCCGGGAGGCAGGGACTGGCCACGTGCAGCGGCCTTTTGGTCAGGTCTGAACGGGGAGCAGCCTTTGTCAGTTTGGAAGAACTGCAGATTCAGCAGCATCACCAGAGCTCCCCAGCGGGCCTGCCGGCCAACATACGCTTTGCAAACAGGCTTGCGGGGCGCTGCGACGAGCCGCGGTCAGGCCCGACGTCGAGATCTGACACTGTCCACAAGCGGGTCACTCTGGGTTGACCACGGCCATCTATGCAACAGGGAACCAGAAGGACAGCCGACAACACATTAGAGTCCCCGGAACCTTCTCACTGCGGCTTTCCGCCTGGGCTGTGGGCTGGCACGGGGCCCCTGCACCCACTCGCCCTGCAGCAGTGGGGGCAGGGCCACAGCTAAACCCTGGGGACACAGCCTCCCGGCCCCATGGGGGGCTCCTCCAGGCAGCTCCGGCCAGGCGGACCAGCGCACGCCCACAAAGAGGAGGGAATCACGAGCCACCGGCAGCTCGGGCGGGCTGGCAACGTTTAAGCTGAGCAGGAGTTGGCTGTGCTAATTACCTGCCATTGGACCCAGTGATCATCTACTCTCACCATCGGGTGGGTCAAACTATAAATAACAGCTTATCAACGAAAGCTGCAACTCAAGTTTCATGCAGATTACGTGTGCCATGTGGCTTCTGAGGCATGGCCACGAAGGGACCTGTGCCAGGGCACGTGGCCCAGGAGGGCTGGGAACACCTCGTCCCACCAGGGTCAGGGTAAGCCCTGGGTCCTCCAGCGGTGCGGCTGCTCAGACCAGGTGCCAGGCAAGCAACCAGCAGCGCACAGACCAACTGACCGCCACCTGTGAAGACCCCAGAATGGAGGCCTGGCCCACTGGCGGTCCTGCTGTCACGAGTGACGAGCGGCGGCTGCACCTGCACTCGGTGACCTCCGTGACGGGTGGCCCCTGCCGTGATGTCTCACTGCCGCGGCACCGTATGCATCAGGGTCAAACATGCACTCTTACTGGGCTGTCTTCCTCTGAGAAAAGAGTGTGGACTCTCCATGGAGACCAGGGCTGTGCTCGGCTGGGAAGGCAGGGCGCTGCAGGGACCCCACGTCCTCAGGGAGTTTATGCACTGCACGGAGCCGGGGGCCTGAGTCCAGTCACACCATACGACTCAGGGTGTCGAGGGCCAAAGGGCTGGTGTGTGGAGTTTTTGATGGACAGAGCCCGTGCTAGTGGGGCAGGCAGAGCAGATTGGTGCGGCAGGTGCCGCAACCTCTGCGGCACCAGGGACCAGCATGTGGAAGACAATGTTTGCACAGACCAGGAGGTGAGGGATGGTTTCGAGATGGTTCAAGTGCATTACACTGATTGTGCACTTGTTTCTAATCTCATGTTGCCGCTGATCTGACAGGAAGTCCTAGCCCATGGCCCCGAGGTTGGGGACCCCTGAGCTACAGGGCTCTGCCCCTGGGAAGGCAGCTGGGTCAGGACGAGCAGCAGCCCGGCTGCAGGGAGGTGCCCCTGCCGGCCACCGAGTGCCCTCAAGGGAAAGAAAACCTGTGGTGGGAGAGGACCCAGGTCTTAACTAAGCTGTGTTTTGAGAAACCAGAGTAAGGACGCTGAGTCCAAGAAAGGGCCGGCTCTGGTCTCAGGATGGTCATCACCGTGGTGGTGCACAGCTCCTCGGGGACACTTAACTGGGGCTGGAGTGCGAGGTGGGGTCCCTCTGAGGTCCCTGCCCCCCTGCTCTCCCCAGAAGAGGGCCAGGGCCACTCACCGGATTTGGACCTTCCGTGGGCAGCGCTCGAGGCGACGGTGAGGGACTGGGGCTTCACTGGGTCTCCGGGGGCAGGGCAGCTGCCGGCGCTGGGCACCTGGATGTACGGCCCCACCGCCGCCACCCTGCCGGGCGCACTCAGGGGCGACTGGGGCGACGACGTGCCGTTCACACGGCTCAGCTGCAACATGGAGAGAAATGAGTCAGGAGAACTGTCAGCCTAGTGTGACGGACGGCTCAGACCTAAGCCACGCGTAGGAAGCTGCACCAGCCTGGGAGCCCAGTGCCTAGAAAGGGTGAGACCTCCGGAAAGGGCCCTGGCCCAGTCCTGCATGGGTGGTGCCCCGACAACACTGACTTGGGTGTGAGCGGAGACAGAGCAGCCCCCGGGTAGCCCCTCGCCTGGGCGGGCAGAGAGGCGTCATCAAAGCCTGAGCTCTGGGCCTGGCTTCAAACCCTGCTCTCCCGCTTAGTCACGTGCTGCCGGGGGCAAGTGACTGAACGTCTCTGAGCCTCTGTGGCCCTGTCCCAAAAGCTGGGGGGAGGGCTGTCATGAGGACTGAAGGAGACACCCAGGACATAGTAAGAGAGTCTGGACGGGTGAGACTCTGAGCAGCTCCCTGAAGGCAGCTCTGCCCTTCTCAGCAAGGACACTGGTCCCGGGACACTGCCCCACCACAAAAGTGTGCGGAAGAGATCTGACAGGAAGACACGGACCCTTAGAGTTCCTCAGACAGGCTCTAAGTGAGACTTCCATGACTTTCCTCCAACTGTTTGCAAAAGTCTGCATGCATGAGCATGTGTCACTCTGGAGAAAGGGTCTATGATTTTTTTTTATTATTATTATTTATTTTCGTTGCTGCGTGTGGGTCTTTACTTGTGGCATGCAGGATCTAGTTCCCTGATCAGGGATCAGACCCAGGTGCCCTGCACTGGGAGTGTGGAGTCCTAACCACTGGACCACCAGGGAAGTCCCAGGGTCCATGATTTTGACAGCTGCTCAAAGGTGCCAAAAACCTTTGGGTTGGAGACACATCTCTGCAGGACCACCAGCCTCTCCAGGGAGATGCCCTGACGTATTGGGTTCAGTAAGCAGTAATGTCTGTATAGCCGCTTGGGATGGTTAATTTTACCCATCAACATGGCGCGGCTGTGATGGTATTTTTAACATTTAAATCAACAGACTGTGAGTAAAGCAGACTGCCCTCCATAATGTGGCTGGGACACCCCATCAGCTGAAGGTCTTAAAGGCAAAGACTGAGGTCCTTGGAAGCAGAGGGAGTTCTGTGGGAAGATGGCCTCAGACCCAGGCTGCAACACCAGCAACTCCCTGGGTTCTTCAGGCCGTAGGCCAGCTGCGCAGAGCTGGGATGTGCCAGCCTTCACACCTGCCCAACAACTCCTTACAACGAACTGACTGACTGATCAATCTCCACGTAGGGTGCACAGCGGACTGACCCACCGTCAGCAAGACTGAAACGTAAGCAAGCGTGGAGCAAGGGCACGCCTCCTCGCCCACGGTCTCTGTGTTGTTAATTCAGAGAAACGGGAGCCATTATCTGAAATCAGGGCGTTACACAGATGAACCACTGACCTTTAAGCACCCTGGTTAAAAGACAACAGTGCAGATTTGTAACCCAGAGCCTCTTTAGCTAGGAGCACTGAGCGTGAGGCCCATGGGAGTGGTGGCACCCGTCCTCCTCTGGGCCTCCTCCCGCCACCCCACTAGGAGAGCCCCTGATGCCCAGCCCTCGCCCCCCGAGCTGCCCAGAGGATGCCGGTCCACCGCGAGAGCAGCACGCAGTGAGGATGAGGGGCTCCCGGAGCACCATCCCAGCTGCTGGGCTGCCCGCTCCCCTTCCACTGCCGAGGGGTGGGGCCGGTCAGCTCTGCACTGAGGCCCTGCTCCCCTGGAGCCCGCAGCACCGCTGGGGGAACACAGGGCCAGCCAGACACCACACAGAGCGGTGCCCACCCTCCCACGCGCCCCCTGTGATACAGACACTCGTGAAGCGCTGGGAGTGACACGCGCCCTGTGATACAGACGCTCCTGAAGCGCTGAGAGTGACAGCAGAACTCGGGGAGCACTGCTGACTACAGGGCTGGAAAACATGGACACAGGCCCTGGGGTGTGGAGAACCACCAGAAGTTACACAAGGAATGAAGCACTGACCGGAAACACACCCATGTTACAGTGAAACAGAAAAAGACTAGGTACAGAACAGTGTAAATGACGTTAAGTGAAAGTGACTCAGTCGTGTCCGACTCTTTGCGACCCCATAGAGTCCATGGAATTCTCCAGGCCAGAATACTGGAGTGGGTAGCCTTTGCCTTCCCCAGGGGATCTTCCCGACCCAGGGACAGAACCCACGTTTCCCGCATTGCAGGCGGATTCTTTACCAGCTGAGCCACAAGGGAAGCCCAAGAATACTGGAGTGGGTAGCCTGTCCCTTCTACAGTGGATCTTCCTGACCCAGGAATTGAACCGGGGTCTCCTGCATTGCAGGTGGATTCTTTACCAACTGAGCTATGATGTAATTCCTACAATTCCATTTTCAATTAAAAATTGAATACCTTTCTGTCTGTATTAAGCTAAAGACTGGCACCATTAGCAAGTATCATCCCTGGAGAATGAGGAGGACAGCAGGATATCCAAGTCTCCTTTAAACATTTCTGTTCTGTTTTAGGGGGCTTCCCAGGTGGCACTAGTGGTAAAGAACCTGCCTGCCAACGCAAGAAACATAACAGACACAGGGTCAATCCCTGGGTTTTGAAGATTCCCTGGAGGAGGGCATGGCAACCCACTTCGGTATTCTTGCCTGGAGAATCCCATGGACAGATGAGCCTGGTGGGCTACAGTCTACAGGGCTGTAAAGAGTCCGACACGACTGAAACGACTTAGCACATACTGTTTTAACTTTCTTCCAGTGAGTATTCATAAACTTTCAAAGCCAAAGTACTAAATAAAGATTTTAAAAAAGCACTAACCCCTTATACAGCACTTTGCTCAAGAGTTTACGAAGCCCACCCACATGGGTTACTTCCAAGAATCCTTACAGCCACTCTCGGTTCACAGTGAGTACATCAGGCTACACAAGGTCAAAGACTCTGCGCATAGCCAGAACCGGCACCGTGACTCCAGGGCCCAAAGCTCCCCAATGGAGGGGGGACAGAACCGCCTGGGGATGGTGCATGGTGAACAGCAGCAGTCTGGGGTGCGGACAGGATGCCTTGATTCCACACACCAGGAAACAACTGTGTCTTTGGGAACAAGAACTTGTGCTTGCTTTGGCAGCACATATACTAAAATTGGGAACAAGAACTTACTTCTACTGTCATTTTTTATGGTTTACGGCCAATTCGTATCCTATCAGCTATGGCAGTGGGGGGCAGCAGGATGGCCTTACGGCAAATATGTACACTCTGAGGATGAACCATTTTCAGTGTTTTATCTCACAGAAATGTTTTCTTTTTCACATGCCTGAATTTTCTTCCCGTAAAGACGTTCACGCAGTTCGTTGATCCGCTTGTCCATCATGGCCACCTCCATGTTGCGCTTATTCAAGAGTTCCTTCTGCTGCTGGAGCTTTGAATTCTGTTCCTGGTTGAGCTGATTACGAATCTGCAGAACAGAAAATACAATGTTTATGACTTGTATTCATTAAAAGGTCAAATTCTCATTGTTAGGGGGATTAAAAAAAGGAAGAAGAAAAAAAGCAACATTTGGTTCTTATGTGTATTTACATATAGGCATCATCCCAGGTGCTAATATTTTACAGGTACAGCATGGATGAAGCCGGAATGTAATTCTTATGGAACAAAAAGAGAAAATATCTGCAAATGTGTCTTCAAAGTGTACAGAAGGACTAGTACCTGTAATGACAGTGGGAAACACGCCTGTGATCCTAGGGAATTGGGGTGGGAGGGCCACTTCAGTGATCCCATCCTGGACATGTTGAGGGACCCAGGGAGAGGTGTCTGGTTCTGCCCCATGCATGAAACCCATGGATGGTCTGAACACCAAACTGAAAGTTCTTGTATCATTTTTTAAAAACTGCTGCACACAAACTCTTAATTGTGGCATGTGGGATCTAGTTCCCTGACCAGGGATCGAACCCAGGCCCTCTGCACTGGGAGCTTGGAGTCTCAGCCACTGGACCACCAGGGAAGTCCCTTTTATGTGACTTTAATGGGTTAACCAGTACTTTAAAAATATGAAATGGAGGACAGAACACATCGCAGTGCACTGTGCACAGGAGGTTAATAAGCACTGTTGTGTCAAACTCTCTCAGATGCATACAGGTACCAGCACACACATACTGCTACCAGACAGGAGGTAACATGTACTTTTTAAGCTTGACTGCAGTCAAAAAGTTGGAAATGTATATAAATAAATATAAAACATTCATCACATTTCACAAAAAAACTTCTTAAAAACTGTACTTTTTAACAATTGCTTAAAAACATAAAAAGTAATAAATTCTTATAACATTTTATTTCATGTCATTTTAATATTGTAATATTTATATTACAGAACTTAATGGCAGCCACCAGCCAGTTTACTCCCTGTGTTTAAAAGTCCCCATTTCGTAAAGTGATAGAATCCTTTTTCTAGCAAGTGCTAACAGAAGCACAAAACCTGCTTCTGGCTTGACAAACCACCTGCTGCACGATACCTTCTGAGGACCGCTAATGACTGTGTCCTCCCAAAATCCACCCTGGTCCCCAGTGTGACTGGATCGGTCATGAGGGTGGGGCCTCCATGGTGGGGTTGTAAAGAGGGGAGAGAAAGCAGAAAGGGTGAGGACGCAGCAAGAAGGTGGCCAGGAAGGGGACCCTCCCCGTGAGCTGAGTCTACCAGCACTCTGATTTGGACTTCCAGCCTCCAGAACTGTGAGACAGACCTGTCTGCAGTTTTAAGGCAGCCCAAGCTGACAAAGACAAGGATTTAACAATAGGCATCTATCGTGTCAAAATACAGTTTACACAAAGGCCTTAGGTATTATCTGAAGCTTAGTTCTTTACCAGTTCATTATACTGCCAATTAAATTCCTATCAAACCTCTGTACTGAAAACATGCTAAGTGAAAGAAGTCACTCACAAAGGCCTACAATTGCATGGCTCCACTCATATGTAGTTTTCAGAACAGGCAAGTCCATAGGGACGGAAAGCAGAGTCATGGCTGCTTAGGGCTGGAGGGGCAGGGGGTTGTGGGGTGACGGCGAAGAGGCGTGGGGTTTCTTTTACAAGTGGTGAAGATATTCTAAAATCGACTATGGTGGTGGATTTAGAACTCTGTGGAGATACTGAAAACCACTTACTTGTAAACTTTAAATGGGTGTATCATAAACTATGTGAATTATAGCTCAAAGCTGTTCAAAACATTCTTTTGTACTGAATACATTTGGTGCCTACTATTAAATGAGAATTCATTCATTTCCAATTTCTGAGGTTTACAGCCTATATCGGAAGGATGCCCAAGAGAAGGAAGTTTTAACAGAATCATTCCTCAAACTCAGGGGAGTTACCTGAAGCTCCTGGTACAGTCTTTTTAGCTCTACTGCTGCCGGTCCTGTCAGCTTGCCATTGTAAGGCTGGAACCCGTTCAATTTTCCCTTCTTTAAATCTTCCAATTGTTGACTGAGTTGATCAACTCTTAAAATCGCAGTCTGTACTTCTTGCTTCTTTTCCTGGAACATGGCACTGAACCTTTCTATTTCAGCAGCTATAATTTCCCATCAGTAAAGAAAAAAAACATAATTAGTTGACTTAGTTTTTTCATGGTATTTTGCTATTTTTTTGGTGATATTTCTTCATTCCTATACCTTTAACTCAACTCTAGAATTATCCTTGGAGAGAAAACTGTAAGGTGCATAATCCAAAACATATTTCAACAAGCCTTTGGAACACGTGTCTACTCAGAAGACAATTATTTGCACTATTTATTGAATATTTTAATTTTGAAGAAATTACTTATTTCATTGGCTGTGCTGGGTCTTAACTGTGGCATGTGGGATCCAGTTCCCTGACCAGAGCTTGAACCCAGGTTGCCTGCATTGGGAGTGAGGAGTCTCAGCCACTGGACCACCAGGGAAGTGCCTGCATGTTTTTAAATTAGGGCAAGCGTCCCAAAGCTATGCTGGTCAAGCCACTTAGGAAGCTCAGTGCACCACAGATACCACAATGTGAGGGCAGGACCACCCAAATCTCTCTCGCTTATCACTGTGGCATAAAGGAGGCACTGGGGCTTCTCCGGTAGCTCAGATGGTAAAGAATCTGCCTACAATGCAGGAGACCGAGGTTCCATTCCTGGGTTAGGAAGATACCCTGGAGAAGGGAATCGCTACCCACTCCAGTACTCTTGCCTGGAGAACCCCATGGAGTTGCAGAGTCGGACACAACTGAGCGACTAACACTACTACTAAAGCGGGTGCTAACTGAATTGAATAATAAAGTAACAATCCATGCACACAAAGTGAGCATTTGTATGCTTTATCGTAATACACAGATAAAACTTAGGCTGTTCAGTTAAAACAGAACCTCCCTCATGAGTTGAGTCTTCGGAGGACCCGAGACTTAATCTAAAGGGCGGCTGCAAGCGGGGTAACAGAAGGGTCTTCCTAATACACTGCTAAGGCTGCAGAAGGTCTTCTAGGACCCCTTAGTCTCACCACGCATCCCGGCAGCTGCCGATGGCAGAGCAAAGCTCCAGAGCTTCCCTACAGCGAGCTCTGGCACCACTTGTGACTGAGGCGCCTGGAAGCCAGCCTGTCTCACTTGGTCTATGCCTAGGGAGCGTGGGCGCCCTGGGCCATGGCACGTACACAGATTGCCATTCATGATTTTGCTGTAGTCTACTTGTCCTCTCATGGCACGGATCTTCTTTAGCTTATTTTCCTGGGCTTCAACTCGTTCTTTCAATTTCTGAAGCTTTTCATTTTCAGAAATAGACTGCTGCTGACGGCGCTCCTGTTGCTTTAGAAAATGTAAACGCTGTTCCTATCAAGAGAGGAGAATAGCTAGCTTTGAAAATTGAAATGCACGGTCACTTCTGTACACTGTAAAAACAGTTTAAGCTGATTCCACAGGATCTCCTGTCTTCATGAATATTATAGACACACTAGGCACCCCTCACTGCCCTCCTGTGTGAGGCCCAGCAGCCCAGGCTTCCTGCTGTTGGCACCAGGTCTCCTGCGCCCACAAAGCAGCGTCCACGGACCCCTTGTTTAACCTCCCAAAGGAAATAAGCACCGACCAGCAGAAGATTTTATACTGAAGAGAGACAGCTGATTAGTACGGAAATGAACCTCTAATCTGCTACGTGGCAGGGACATTGGAGGAAGTGCTTGTTTTCTTTAGGATTAGTTCCTTCAAAAGGAATCAAACATTTTATTATCAAACAAGAACAGGATGGTCCTACAGTAAAAGCATATGTAATATTCCTCAGTAGTTTTTTCCCCCCACTCACGTGAAGGCATACCTTCAGGATAACAGTTAGCACTACTTGTGGTCCTACCATATGCATGAATATACCTAAGGAGAGGTTTAAATGTGACTGTGTAGGCATAACACGTGCAACCTAAGGAAGGGAATATGCGCTTAAATATGGAATAACCTGCATTAACTTGAGTTACACTGCTGAAAATATCAAAGATTCCTTTCAATAGCAGTACCCCTGAATCAATATTTGGAGATAAGAAGAAAAGCAGAATTAGAAAAGCTTATGATGACGTAATACCATGTACATTTCATCTTAAAAACATTATTAATGGAATGAATATATCTTCCAATTTACTTAGCTTTTAATTGTTCTTTATTCTTGTATTATTAAAAAATCCAATAAACTTTGCAAGACTACTTTCAAAAACAAGTCCAACTTAAACTATTATTAACATGAACGTGGACAGAGTGCCATGGTCATTCAATAAGTTAAAATAAGTTAAATTGGACCATTGGTCACTAAGAATCTCTCTCTACAGAGAGATCAGTAAGAACCTGGGCAGCGACGTCTGCGAGTTCTGTGTAGCAGGGTCAGGACATTTAAGATCATTACATCAGGAATCATTCTCAGCAGGCATGCGAGACAGGTCTGATGTTTTAGTCCAAGGCTAAACCATTATTCAGAACAGTTTTGAAACCAAGCAGGAGCCTGTGGGGCCATCCTGGGTACAAAAGCCCTTCTATGTCCCCATTTCTGGTTTACAGGAAAAAAGCTTCAGTCTCCTACACCATCGCTGAGTCCAAAAGGCAGACCCAAACAGTCACTAACCAGGGAAGTGAGGGAATGCAGAAACAAAGCAGGAGCTTTCAGGAAACAGGGTCCTGGTCCCCCTCCATCGCCTTTCCGCCCCCCCGGGGACACACTTCACAAGGTATCTCGAGCTCCCCTGCAGAAATTTAGGCACCACCTGGGTGGAGGCTGGTAGCTCCAGGCTGAGAACAAGACCCCTGGACCCTAGCCTCTTCTCTTACCACCAACCAATCAGAAGACAGTCACACGCCCTACAGTCTTCACGCCAAATTTTGCTTATTAAAAAAAACACATTCCTGAGAACCATCAGTGAGTTTGGATTTTTTGAGCATGAGCCAACTGTTCTCCTTGCCTGGCCCTGCAATAAACCTTTCTCTTTTCTAAACTCCAACATTTCCATTTTGGTTTCTTTGGCCTCACTATGGGTGGGCAATAGTTTCAAGTCCTGTGACAGAGTTTCAGAGACAAATCTAGTCCTCAGTGTATATAATGAATGCCTACATGCCCCAAACAGATTCCGTGCAGGGTGGGGTACAGAGAAGCCACTGTCTTTGGGGCCCATGACCAGTGTCTTATCACGGATCTCTGGCTTCCTCTAGAACACTAATGCCAAACATGCCAGCTGAGACAATACCCAGAGGAAAAAGGAGGGGACGATGGAGAGCATCTTTTCTTTCCAAACTTTATCTACAACTGGGTTAAGTTCAACCGCTTCCTGTCCTGGAGGTCTGAGTGTGCAAGTCAAGGGTCAGATGCTCTTGCCCGATACTTCCCCAATGTCAAGAAGCCACGGTGTGCATTTATCATCACAGAAGAGATCATTAAGAGGGACACTGTGTTTACGCTGTGGTAGCACACTTCTACTTGCAAGGGTCAGCCATGGAATCTAAAATAACGCTGAAGAACACTCTTGCTGACCATTCCCCACTGCTGCTTAGTAACGTACCTTGGCGACCAGCATCTGTTGCTGGTTTTCAATCTGCTGTTGCTGCCGAGCGGCCATATCTTGGAGTTCTGAGAGGGTAAGTTCAACACGTGGATTCCCAACCTACAGAGAACAAAACACACTCAGACTGGAATGGATGCTTGCCTGTATCATCATTCTGCTCTAATGTCAGAATGCACACACATCAAGATTTTTAAACAGGTTCCCTAGAAGTTAGAGGAACATAAGTTAGTTTACTTTCTCCTAAGAACCTTTCCTCATTGTTGACCACTTCTATTAAATTTATTTGAGTAAGTAGGGATGTCAAATGTTTAAGAGTACACAAACTAAAAAATAAATGTGCAGGTGATACCTAAGGGCAAATGTCATTTCACTGCCACCTGGTCTCAAGAAGCTGAAATGCATCAAAGATTCTGAAATATAAGTATCTCATTAAAAACACCATAGGTATGGCCTACACCAAAGACTGACCCATGATTGACAGAGCATTATCCGCATCCGGAGGAGTGGCAATTGATGGAATCTGAAAGCATGTCCCCATCCTGTTAATGACAGGATGCATTTTTATTGTGTTCATCATGAACCTTGCTCTAAAGTAATTACTTTCCACTTATGAACTCATTTAAGCCTTAAAATGACACTCTCAGGCAGAGATCATTACAGCTCCATTCTACAGACAAGAAAATAAGCAGAGAGAAGTTCAAATAATGTGCCCCAGGTCAGTTGCACAGACAGAGAAGGATGCAGAGGCTTGTTCCTGCCCATCTCCTACAGCACCCCCTCTTAGCCTGGGCGTGTGACGTGCACTGTATCATACAATCTTCACAACAAACCTCTGCAGGCAGACGAGGAACCCCGGGGGAAAGGTAAAGGGACATGGCTAAGGACGCAGAGCTGACAAAGGGCCAGAGCTCCGAGTCCAGCCACGCCGGTCTTCCTTCGGCCTCCTCCGGCCCCGTGGGTCCCGCCATGCAGGTGCACAGCCCCTCCGTGGAGCTCACTGTCCACCTCTGGGCTCCTCAGTACTCGAGCCTCTTGGAGCGTTTCACAAGGGTGCCAAGCCCTGTTCCTCCGACTCTGCTGCTGCTAAGTCACTTCAGTCGTGTCCGACCCTGTCCGACCCCAGTCCTCCTCAGATCACATGGTGGTAAGCCCATTCTGGACTCTTAGAAAGTGGAATCAGGATTTAATTAACTGGAGCCCCCATTCTGGTTATATAAAGACCTGAGAAAGCAATGTGGACCAAGTCCCTTTTCTAAACCAGATACTGTAAACTGCCAAGTTACAGAAACTTCATTGGAGATTGGTTCATTCTATAAAACACCCCAACTATCACAATGCACTCAAATTTCTCCTTTACTATTAATAAAGTGTTCTAACTTCCACCTACTAGGATTTCTCCAATCACCACAACAAGAAATTTTTATATTACTTATTTATTTTTGGCTGTGCTTGGTCTTTGCCGCCGCGCATGTTCTTTCTAGTTCTGGCGAGCAGGGGCTGCCATCAGTCACACGCGTGGGTTCCTCTCTGCAGTGGCTGCTCTTGTTGCGGAGCGCGGGCTCTCGGCGCGTGGGCTGTAGGAGTTGAGGCTTTTGCGAGCCTAGTGTGTCCCGTGGCATGTGGAAGCTTCCAGAACCAGGGACTGAACACATGTCCCCTGCACTGGCAGGTGGATTCTTAATCAGGGAAGTTCAACAAAAGGTATTTTTGAAGCTTTCAGAAACATATTTTCGACTAGGGAAAAATGAAGTTCCTGTAACAAATCTTTCAATTTATATTAATTTCATAATTTTACAACTTAAAGAAAAAAAACCAAAAACTTAGTTCTTTGGTCTCCCCTCCCCACCAATGGCTTAAAATAACAATGAAAAGAAGATAGAGGAGAAATTGAACTGTTGCGTATTCTAATATTTATACTTCTGAACAAGAGCTCTTTGTATGCATTATTTATGTGTATCTCTAATTATGAAACTAAGATATATTCTATTGACATAAGTAATTCAGATATTATATCTTAGGTATATACTAATACATATTGTACTTTAATAGAAAATTTCCCTGGTGGCTCAGATGGTAAAGTGTCTGCCTACAATGCGGGAGAGACCCAGGTTCAATCCCTGGGTCAGGAAGATCCTCTGGAGAAGGAAATGGCAACCCACTCCAGTCCTCTTGCCTGGAATATCCCATGGACAGAGGAGCATGGTAGGCTACAGTCCATGGGGTCGCAAAGAGTTGGACACGACTGAGCCACTTGACTTTCAAAACATCTATATGTCACATGGGCTAGCCCAACACAAAGCTCTTAATCTGAAGTTGAACAGAAATTTTATTGATGTAGATATTACAAACAGAAAACTGTATACATCTGTGTTCAGCTCAGTGAATTATTTCAAAGTGAACACACCTGTGGAACTTATTTTAAATGGGTTATAAAAACACAAGCCACCATAAACTTGTAAGTCAATAGATAATGCAACATTTTACACTTTAGTACATATTCCCTAATTTGTTCAATGTGAAAATCTAGCAGAAAGTATCTTTTCAGGGTTTTTTAAAGAAAACAAAAACCTCTTATGCAAATTCTATCCGTTTATGACAGGCCTAACAGCATGTATTCTCTCCGTGTAAACTAAACCCCAGAGGAATAATTTTAAATTCTCCATATGAACTCAATTTATTCAGACAAACCTATGACCTAATTCCTCACTTATTTCTTTTCATTGCATCTAATGAGAAGAAATCAAATCCTGCTCCCTTGGGCACTTAGAGGTCCCTCATTATGGTAGTTATCTGATGAGTTCAACTCCAGGTTACAGAGAGGACAAGTCACTTCCACGACCAGTAAAATGAGTGGGAAAGTTCTCTCAGGACAGCTCGGCAGGCCCAGAGAAAGGACTCAGCTCCCCAGCCTTGACAAGGTGGAGGGGTCAGGAGAACTGAGTTGTTTTTTTGTTTGAGCACTAATACATGTTTGATATCACGGTAAGGCATTTACCCTTGATATGCCAGATATAATCCCAGACACTGTAAGTAATAAAAAAGTAAAATGCAGTTGCTCCCTGTTTCCAACGAGCGAGCCTCTCTTCTGCCGAATGAGGTAAGAATCTCATGTGGGAAGAAATCAGGTTACCCGTCAAGTTCAGCTGTGAGGGAGGAGCCCCGAGCTCAGTGCTTTACCCTTGTACCCTCGCTGTGAAACAAAGAGAGCATCTCCCAGCGCAGGGGCGAGGACCCCCACACCACCCTGCACTGTGGTGAAAAGCGCCCTGTTCGGCCAGCACCATCGTGGGACGCCTGCAAGCAGCTCGGAAAAGCGGGGCCACAGTCGGCTGCCCTGGTCCCCCTGAGACCTGCAGATCTGAGAACACACAGCACCTCGCAGAGCCTCCTACCCCAAAGCGATCAATCCAAACGAGAAGCCAAACCCTCTACATGACTGTTTCTGACTTCACAGAAATTCCACGTAAAAATATTATCTCATGGGCTTGAAAACAGATCCTCCAGCCCAGTCAAGCTCTGGATGACTGTGATCCTGGCCAACACCTTGATTACAATGTTGCAAGAGACCCTGAACCCAAGTCACCCAGCCAAGTCCTGATTTCCTGACCCCTAGAAACTATGTAGATACTACAATGTGCTGTTTAAATGTATATATATATAAAATTTCATAACACTCAATAAAAATCCCATGATTTTCTAATTTTTATGTTCCTAAATTTAAGATTAGCAACTTTAAAAAACTGATAAGCATATATTCTAACCCATTTCTGATACAAAACTTCAAAAACATCCATAATGGTAGTAAGTTAACTAAATGAAATGACAGGCTAGTATATTAAACACACAGTGAAATTTACTTTCACCGACGCATAATTTACAGACCATAATAAGCACACCATCTGAAGTATGCTGCTGCATTATCTGACCACTGCACATCGCAGTGTAACCACCACCCCAGTCAACACAACGCCTCCATCATCCCAGAAAGCTCCCCACTGCACTACCCGGTCAATTCTATCCCACCCATGGGGATGGGGGTGGTTGCGCCACAATCGCCAAGTCCTGTGTGCTGGAGAAGTTCACTCACAGGGCCGCTTCCTTGAGTTTGGCTTCTTTCCTCCACCACAATGTTTTAGAGACTCATCCATGCTGTTACTTATACCTATACCAGGTAACTACTGCTGGCAAGTAGTATTCACTTGTATGAACAGTTTTTATTTTCCTGTTCATTTGCTGATGAGCATTCAGGCTGTTTCCACTCCTTAGCTATAAGAAATAAAGCCATCTTGAACATTCATGTACCAGTATTTATGTGGACAAATGTTCTGGCTTCTCTTGGGTAACTGATGTCAAGAAGTGAAGGTGGGAACCGAGTGTTGTGTGGTTAAGTGTTGGTTTCACTTACACAAGCTGACAGACTGTTCTCCAGAGTGAAGCACCATTTTACACTTCCCCAGCAAAATACACAAGAGTTCTAGCATCACCTCACCCATGTTGACGTTTGGTGGTGTCAGGGTTTATACTTTAATTATCCTCTTTTTAAAATAAAATGTTAACCTCCTGGTGAAGAAAGAATGTCATATAATGGTATTTTATTTTTATAAGAATGAAAAAGGTAAGCATAAAAATGTTATTAAGCTATCAACCCCAAATGCACTCTAATCAGATTTCCAGTAAATAAGCTAGCTCAATTTGCTAAAAGTGAGACGTAAAGGGGGATTTATTGGCTAATGTCTCAATTGTGCTAATTATGTTGAATCACAACTAAGAAAGCTAACAAAATAAAGTATGCTTGACAAACAGGCTATCAGAACTAGATTTTTTTAGATATTAACTACAACTCACTTGATAATTATGGTTAAAAGCTTTAGATCACAAGTCAGTTGATAACATGGCTTTAGTCAAATGTGTTTTCATCTCCTCAAGTAATTTGTTTTATATATAATTTTGAAATTGGTATTGCAATAATTCATTTATTAAAAACATATAATATGGTTTCTCAACGCAAACCATTGTAGACAATTACGCAATACACTTGTCTTCCATCCTAAGCCTCTAATTATAGGTTTTTATAGATCTTTAGTCTTTCAAATATTAGTAAAAAAACTTAGCTTTATATCCCATTTATTGTACTATGAAAACATTCTGCCACCATGTGCTAAATGTATTTTTCCAATACGTGCCAAAAACTATCAAAGACTGCAAATTTGTCTATGAAAACAAAAGGATTCATCATCGCGCACACTATCTGTTCAGTTACTGACTCCCCACTCCCGTAGTTCCTAGGAAATGGCGCCATTTTCCAGGCAACTTTCCTTTGGTATAAGGACTCATCCAAACATACATTAATAAGTGCTGTGCTGTTGTTGTTCAGTTGCTAAGTGGCATCCAAATCTCTGCAGAAGAAGTAGTGATACTGTGACACTAGCTGCAAGCAAACAGTTGGTCTGAACGAAGCGCGCCCCGTGTAACTCTGTTGGGAGGGGGCCCTCGGGAGATAGGCAGGCTTCCCCAGACGCCACCCGCGCCCCCTCGGCCCCGCGCGCCCCCTCGGCCCCGCGCGCTCCTTCGGCCCCGCGCGCCTCTTCCCGTCTCCTGCGCTGCATCCTCTGGCTGGAGGACCCCACCGCCATGACTACGGCCACATGCTGAGTCCTGTGAGTCCTCCGAGCAAACTGCTGACCCTGGGGGTAGTCCTGGGACCCCCTGATACAGGCATACACAGTAAGGATAAATCAATTTGCCTTGACACCACAAAGTCAAACCATATCTTCAAAATTCTGTTGGGACAAGTGAGCTCCGAATGCTTGTGGCAGTGTGTACATCTAACCTGGAGGTTCCCAGACTCGCAGAGCAACAGTGTCACACGAGGGTCTTTCAGGCCCACTTCACACTTACTGAATGAAAAGTTCTGCCAGTGGGGCCTTTATTTCTTAAGACAGCTGACTTGGTGACCTGCACTTCGGGGAGAGCAGTTGCCTCAGCAGCTGCTAGCAGTCATGGGGTACACAGGCTCAGGTGCTGTTATTCTAGGTCCAGGGTGCACACAAAAACATTTTTGGAGAAGGATATTTTTAACATCTTATTAACTTTAAAAAATGCACATAAAAGTGCTTTGTAGACAATAAAGTGCTTCACAAAGGTAACGTATTATTAGGCTTAAAAGGCAGATGTGTGTGCCATAAACACAGTAACCTCTTAGATGTCATGCTTCCAGCACAAGTGTCATGCCTCCTCACCAGCTCTCAACCTTCCTCTAATTATAAGCTCCCATATAGGCTGCAAACACAGTTTTAATTTTGGTTTCAGGTTTCAGTTTTGTTGATCTTGACATGTAAACATCATCTCCATGTTAACAATAAACAACTTCATCCTGGAAAGATCAAGGACCCATCACATCAAAACTCACCATACTATGTTACTGGTCTCCTTTCCTCCTGAGTCCCTTCCGTTTATGATATATAGACACATACACAGTCCCCGCCTATTTGACATACTTATTTCACCTCCCCTGAAGTTCAGGCCACAGGAAATCTTAGAACACAAACGGGTCTTCAAGATTCTGTTCGACAGGTAAGTTCTGAATGCTTTAGACAGTGGGTACATGCACCCTGGAGGTTCTGAACCTGGCAGGGCAAGAGTCACATGAGTCTTTCAGGCCCATCCCAGCCTCAGAAGTTCTGCCTGTGGGGTCTGGGCCTTTATTCCTTCAGACATTCTGACACATATGCCTGCCAGAACCCCACAGAGGCTTCAGACTCAAGAGTCAGAACGCAGGAATAAGAAGAGGATCTATGGAATGATCTTTAGCAACTGGAGGGTAAGGAAGGAGAATTATTAATCCTGATGTGAGGAATGGTTCTCCCTGAGTGGCACTCAAAAGAAGATATAATCGAGTACAGCACTTGGCCCTACAGTGGTTAGTAACTGAAAAATCAAAACCCCATTAAATGCTTTTCTTCTTTATAACTAGTGTATAAACAAAGTGCAAAAAGTCTCTAATTACACTCAGATAAAAGTACACAAATATTATCAGCACTGACAACACAGAGGTACAGCTGAAAAAGCTGGAAGGCAGGAGGCAGAGCGAGATGGAGAAAAGGCAAGGGGGTGCTGAGAGCCTCCTCTTAGGAGAAGGGAGGCCCAGAGACATGGTTTCAAGTTGACTGTACAAAGAAACAGAGACATAAGTACACCATTTAAAGTAACAATGGTAACCAATAAAAGAAAGAAAATTGCAAGTCAGTAACATGAAGCTGGAAAGTGGAGGGGCAAAGGAACTCGGTCCAATTCAGCTAGTTAGAAAGTTCTTAAGCCAGTGTCTGAAGACGGGCCCTCCATACTCCAGACCCATGTCTCTCACCCATGTGTGACCGTGCCAAGCACTGTGCTAGGCAGTGACCTGCTGAAGCTACACATCCAGTAAGGACAGAGCCAGAAAAAGAAATATTCTTCAGCCTGAAAACTATTTGGAAAAGTTACTACGAAAATTTCCAGAAAAGACCATGATGAAAATTCCTCTCATTCTTCATTCTTCTCTCATTCACTCATTGTCATTCATTCATTTCTGCTCTTTCAACACAAATTTCTTAAAAAGAATCCATCTACTTGGACAAACTTCTTCCCCTATAATAGATGCTAGGCCTTTTCTCCAACTCTACACCAGATGACAAAGGAAGTCCTCTCTCCTGGAGACACCTATGAAGACTTCAACCCATCAGCCATCCTGTGTTTTAAAACCTGACAGAAGGATCAAGACATCAACATGGAAGCCACAAAGCAAGTCTGCACGGCCATCTCCTAGTCCAGAGACGAGCCACCTGCCTCCGGGCACCGAGGCATGCGGCTGCTATTCCAGGACCTGACGCGGCAGCAGCACACACAGGGCATGGAGGGCACGCAATGCATGGGCGCCGAAGGACGCCGTGAGGACGTGAGGACGATGAAACCATGAGCGCTCAGGACCGCTGCGTCACACCTTCATAGAAATGAGTGAAATGCGCGACGACTACAACTTCCACTGGGAAAACACACAGGGAAACCTGAGGAAGCGCTGGGAGGCCACAGCGGGGAGCTCTCACACACACAGAGCCAGACACCCACGCAGATCCCAACCCAACAGGAAGAGGCGTACTGTGTGTCCCCAGAGGAAGAACACCACTCACGGCCATCAGCAGAAGGAAGAACCACCTCCTCTTGCCTGGCAACAATGCAGCTAAGGAAAGGACACCAAACTTCAAACCCCTAATTTCCTCCAGAAGACTTTTTGTTGATAACAGCCCCTCCCAACCTCCCCTTCTCCTCTATAAAAGTGTTTCCTCTTGTTTCAGAGGACTTGCATGTGGCTGTCCATAGCTGCATGTCCTGAATTACAGTTCTTTGCTGTTCCCAAATAAACTAGTTTTGCTGGTAAATAATTGGTAGTTTTACTGTTTTAGGTTAGTACTACTCAAAAAATAATTCTTTAAAAATAAATTATACAGCTTCTCTGGTGGTCCAGTGGTTAAGAATCTGGCTTACAACGCAGGGGACACTATTTCCACCCCTGGTCCAGGAGGAGTCCACATGCCGCGGAGCAGCTGAGCCCGTGAGCCCCATCTTGGGCCCTAGTTCTAGAGTCCACGTGCCCCAGAGCCCATGCTCTGCAACAAGAAAAGCCACCTCAACGAGACACCTTCACACCGGAACGAGAAAGCAGCCCCCGACAACTGCAACTAGAGAGAGCCTGCACACAGCAATGAAGATTTAGCACAGTCAAAATAAACATTAACAATTAAATTATAACCAAAAACCATTAGTTTCAAACCTATAAAAAGCAATTAAACTTTTTCAATAAAATTCACTATCACTTACCCCATTTTCAGTGCGTTTTTCTCCAGGTACATTTGTTACATTTCTCTGAGTTCTTTGCTCCTGGGTCTGACGGCCACCTAGAGAAATAAGAGTGCCAAACTTAACAAAAGATAGCCTAGAGAAACAATATTTTATAATTTCTTCACTTATTCAAATATTTGTTGAGCACAAGTATAAAATACCAGGCTGGACAACTCAAAAATTAGTACAGTTGAAAAAATGTTTTATAATCAACCTGTATACATAAAGTTGTTTTAATGAATTTTTTTTCTATCTTCTATTACAGAGTCTTGAAACTGATTTATATAAAAAAGTTTAACACTTAAAAATGGTCAAGATGGTAAATTTTATGTTATGTGTACTTTACACATATTATCTATTTTTAAAAATTAAAGCTTTTATTATTTTAGGAGAGACTAAAATAATGACCTATATGGGAAAATAATCTAAAAAAGAATGGATATATGTATATATATATAACTGATTCACTTTACTGTAAATCTGAAACTACCACAGTGTTGTAAATCAACTATACTTCGATAAAAATTTTAAGAGAGAAAATATAACTTAAAATATCCAATAATTAAAGAACTGATACACAAAACCGATCTTCACTACTAGGGTTAAAACTGAGATGGGATACTATCTTCTGAATTCTCCTTTGTTCTATAAAAAATATATATATTTTTAATTTTAAGGGTTTCAAATTTAAACTGGCAAAATTCTCCTGTCATTTTTTTTTAAAACAAATAAAGTGTGCTGCACAATTTTGTACCAGGTGAATCTAAAGTCATATAAATGACTGTGTTGTGTTAAATGCCTGCTCCTACTTCACTCATCTCTCACCTGATGCTGTTTTGAGAATTATCACACCCCACAGCCTGCTTTATTACTAAGAAAACATAACTTCAAAGGATCATGAATGTAATGTTAAAATAAAGAGAAAAGAATAACATGTTTTCTTCTATTTCCTTCCTGATACTTTGAAAATTTTGAAGAAACATTATATTATGGAAAATACTGCCTCACCTTAATCCATACATTCTCAGAGAGTGCTATCACCCCCAAGGACGCAAAGACTGGCTCTTAGGAGATTAAAAAATCTTACTCTTTTTATGTATAAAGCAAAGCTACTGAGTACATAAACAGACACACAGTACATCTGATGGGGAAGACAGGGCAAGTAAGAATAGAATATCCAATAAAGGGCCCTTAGGGAGGCGATTAATGAAAAATGAGGTTAAATAAGTGGGAAAGGCAGAGCATGCAACCGAACACAGTCACATAATACACAAAAGGCACTTCATGAAAGCTGTTTTCTGTTAGCAGAAATTACATAGACACTCATTCTGGAGTATGGTATCTACCAGTTTACAGGGTAAATTAAATTCTTTACTAAAAGTAATAGTACTTTTACGAAGTAAGGTGCTCAGGTTAATTTAATATTCTAGAATTGCTGCTTCTTCCAAACAATAAACAATAAAATCAGAATACTATCAAACACAGAGAAATTACATCAAGAGTCACTTAATCTTTGATGGTAAAGAAGAAACGTGATGATTTTGCACTCCAAAGTCAGAAAACAGTAAGAGCTGACATTCAGTGAGCACTGCACCAGGACACCTCATTAACTGCCACCACAACCCTATGAATCACACACGTAAGGAAACAGAGGCACAGGGATGTGAAGTCAGGTGCCCAGGGCCCACACTGAGCAAGCAGCAGGACTAGTGTTGAACCCAGGCAGCTCCAAGCTCCACTCCATCAGCCTCGCTAATGCTCTGCATGTGACCTGCCTCGAGCTCCTGTACACACTAGGCTCCTGCTCCCCAAGTGAACAGCTGACCGAAGGAAACCGTCCTCCACGCTCCCCTCTAGCTTCCAGAAAGAATCCCGACTCTTTGAAGTGGGGAATGTCCTCTGCTTCTGCCAACACTGTTATTAAGCATTCTAACTGCTGACGTGACAGGGGAAACACAGGACCTCACTGTGTTCCCTGCATTGCTTTCTTTAGGAGCATGGATGAACGCCTTTCCATATATTCCCGGGCCAGATATATTTCTTCCTTGCTATGAACTGCATGTTTGTATATTGTGCCATTTAAAAAAAAAAAACTGATTTAAAAAAAAACCACACAAATAGGGACTTCCCTGGCAGTCCAGTGGTTAAGACTCCTTGCTTCCAATGCAGAGGACCTAGGATCGATCCCTGGTCGGGGAACTAAAATCCCACGCGCTCATGGCACGGCCCAAAACAAAACAAACAAAAAGAAACAAAGAGGGATAATCTGCAGTAAAATAATCTTCTTTTGACAAAAGGATGTCCTTCCAATTTTTTTTTAATTCTAGAAGTAATCCATAATCACCGTTAAATGAGGGATTTTTTTCTTAACGTACACTGTATATGCTTTCCAAAAAAAAAAAGATTCCCTTATTTAAATTTTAATTAAAAAATGAGTAATTTATGGGAGATTGGTATTGGCATATGCACACTCCTGTATATAAAATAGATAACTAATAAGAACATGCTGTGTAGCATAAGGCACTCCACTCAATGTTCTGTAACGGCCTATATGAGGAAAGGATCTTCAAAGAGTGGATATATGTATATGCACAAGTGATTCACTTGGCTGCACATCTGAAACTAACACAACATTGTAATTCAACTGTACTCCAATAGAAAGTTTTCAAAACAAGCAGTATATTCCCATTGTTCAAAATTCAAAAGGAACAAGAAGGTATACATGACCAGTCTTCCCTCTCCTTCCCCCGAGGCTAGCCACGTGGCCAGTTTCTTCCTGATGCCCCAAAGATCCTGTACACACACACACCAGCCAGCGCAGCACACACCATCACCCCGCATCTGTCGCACAGACGGCAGCACGTGTGCGCCCTGCGCTCACTCGGGGCGGGCGTAGGAGGCGGTTCGGAACGGGCGCTGGCTGCTTTAGCCAACACCCCTGGAGGCCCTGACGGCAGCTCCTACCGGCGGTGCCCACGCGTAACACAGTGGATGTGTCATCTTGTACGTGTGCAGACACAGCTGTAGGACAATTCTCACAAGTGAGGTTGCCGGGTAAAAGGTTTACGCTTTCTAAGTGTAACAGACACTGCTAAACTGCCCTCTGCAGGAGCTGCCAGCCTCTCAGTGTGCCTGCCAACACTGACTCACTGTCCTCATCTTCGCCGACGTGACAGGTGAAATACACTATCTCAGTGTTTGCCCTGGATTTCTTTTTTAGGAGTATGGCTGGACATCTGGCCATGTATATTTCCTTTGCTATGAACTACATCTCTGTATATTTTGCCCATTTTTTTGCCTTTTTTCATATCATTTTATATAAAGGTAACTAACCCTTTCAATATGAGGTATAAATGCTATTTCCCAGTTTATAATTTGTCTTTTGACTTTGCTTTAGGGTGGTTACTGCCATGCAGTTTTTTTTGTTGTTGTTGTTTTTTAAATAACTGTTTGTCTTTTCTATTATGGTTCAGCGTCACACTTAGGTCTTGTGTGTGTATATATATATATATATTTTTGTTGTTGTACCACAAGGCTTGCAGGGTCTCAGTTCCCCGACCAGTGACTGAACCTGGGCCATGGCAGTGAAAGCCTGGAATCCTAACCACTAGCCTACTAGGGAACTCCCCACTTAGGTGGTGGTCTTGTTTTTTTTTTTCTTTCTCTCTCTTCATATACACATATATATATTTCTAAGAATTTTTATGACGTTTTCATGGTTTAATTTTTTCTTAAAATCCGGAGATTTCAACCATGTGATATTTATCAAAAATAGTCCCTTCTGGCAGCAGGTCCATGCACGTGTGTCATGCATTATGTGACTTAGGATCCTGAGGAGGCAAGGGCTGGGAGCCTGAAAGTGTGAAGTAATCATAAATGGCAGTAAGAGGGGTAAAACCCCATAAGACACCAACTCCCTCTCTTGCCACCTGTGAGTTAACAGGGGAATAATTTAACATTTATTCCTATTTTTCTTAAATTAACTTTCATGGCAAAAACTAGCAAATGGGGGGAAAGCACTTATCTACCTTGTTCATTGCTCTCTGTTGGGGAATCTTCATGTCGAAGGAAAAATTTCACTTCTTCCCTTCGTGGCCCCCACTTCTGAAGATGTTCATACATCATATAATCAAAGGGTATGGGACGCTCTAGGAAAAAAAAACAAACAAATTCTTACTTTTCCCAGAGACAGACAAAACGAATCCTATCAAAAGTAAAAACTGAATAAAAATAAATTTAAATAAACATACACACACATATATTAGAATTCAAAGATATTATAAGCACTAAATTTTAACTTTAATGAAATAAAAGCAAGACTATAAACACAAAGAAGTAATCATAAAGGCAATTTTGCAACATTAAATAGGAAACATTGGAAAAAATGTCCTTTATTATATCTATCATGAAGCAGTGTACCTCTCACTCTTTCAAAGGAACACATTAACAAACTGCCCAAATCTTATTATTCACTAAAATGTTACAGGTGGCAATCAGATGTACAAAGGCTTGACACACACTTCCTGGCAATGCAGTTAGCCCACACAAACACTTGCATGAGAATGTTCACAGCAGCAATCCTCACAGCAGTCAAAACGTGCAAACAACCCAGACGTCCACCAACTGATGAAAGGATAAGTGAAACGCTGGGTATCATATAGGGGGGCATTTCAGGCAAAGAGAGGAATTACGTATTGCTAAGTGCTACCACATGGATGAATCTTAAGCAAGCTAAGAGGAAAAAAACCAGATCAGTCACATACTCTATGATCCAATGTATATGAGGTACCTAGGCGAGTCAAACACACAGGGCCAGACAGTGACACAGTGGGTCCAGGGGCTGGGCTGGGAGGCACAGAGCTCAGAGATGGCTGCACAACACAGACCCTCCTAAAACCCACGAAGCTGTACACCAAAATGGTGGTTTTTATGCTATGTGAGTTTCATCCCAATTTAAAGGGAAAGAAAGGAAATCTTGCAATGTTCCCACTGCTGCCTGTGCTTGAAAGAGAGGAAGGATACTGGCAGGTCCCGAGGCTGGCAGAAAATGGCCTGCCCTGGGAGGAGCAGGACAGAACTGAACTGTACTTTTCCTCCTCTCAACGCAGGAGCCTGGCTGGGTTAGAGACTCCTGCTCAGATTGAGTGTGTGTGGCAGCCTCATCATACACACAAGATGTGATTTAATTTTCAGCCCAAGAGAAGGGCCAGACTTCCACAAGGAAGAAAACCCCGCCATTCACAGAAACTAGGCCATTCACTAGGCTGCTGTCGTTTCATCTTCCTACATGTGTAGGCAATGTTTGTCTTATTCAACAAACCTCAAGGGCAAGGACATAAATTGTCTCATCTTGGTCAATTCATCTCAGAACTGAGAATCTGTACAGCAAGAAGCAAGCACAAATTGAACACTAAAGAAGCAGTCAATAATACCACTCCATATTTTTAGCTTTTTTAAATTTGTTTTTTTATTGAAGGATAATTGCTTTACAGAATTCTGTTGTTTTCTGTCAAACCTTAACATGATTTAGCTTTGAAAGTTACAATTTTTGTGGATATAGGCCTATAAAATTTTTTTTTAAAAAACATGTATATTATAATGCTATAGCTGTGGAATTTAAGACTAATCATGTGCCTCAGTTCAATGTAAAACTTTATCTTAGGCCATATTTTTATTAGTATTGCTTTGGCTTACAAAAATTTTTCACATTAATTAAAATCAACTTATAATCTTCACTTGGGCTTCAACTTGTGGCTCAGCTGGGAAAGAATCTGCGCGCAATGCGGGAGACCTGGGTTCGATCCCTGGATTCGGAAGATCCCCTGGAGAAGGGAAAGGCTACCCACTCCAGTATTCTGGCCTGGAGATTTCCATGGGCTGTATAGTCCACGGGGTCACAAAGAGTCGGACACGACTGAGTGACTTTCCCATAATCTTCACTTAAATTTGAGCACAACTTCACCAAGTCTGAGCATAACTTTATAAATATAAAATCTAATTTTTCCTTAAGCCAGTTATTTAAAAAATTTTGTTTTCCTTTACAAATAAAAAAAATTTAAAGAAAATATTAACTCTAAGAAAAGCAAACTAAGCTTCAGTAGCTTTTTAAAATAAGATGTTATTTCTGTTTTAAAGTAAAAACAAAACTACCCTGCACATATCATGCAATAAATACTACGCCTCATTAGCATTGTATATAATGGAGAAATCCATAATACAACTTCCAGGCATTCTTGGAAAAGGCAAAAAAACCGAGCAAGTAGAAGATCCCACAGAACCTGAAGGCCCTCCCTGCCCACCTGACGTGCACTGAAGCTGATGCCCCGTGTGAGGAAGCGAGCCAGATGAAAGCACGACAATACGCCGCTCAAACGACAGGCTGTCACGGGCTTCGCTGTGCCCCTCACACAGGAACCCTCGCGCTGAGGTCCTGAACCTAGTCCTCCGCAAGGACGTGACCTTATTTGGAGACAGGACCTTTAAAGAGGTAGACGGTAAAAATGAGGTCACTAGAGTGCGCCCTAATCCAATGTGACTGGTGTCCCTTTAAGAGAGATTAGGACACACACACAGAGGGAAGGCCATATGAGGACACAGGGAGAAGGCACGACCATCTACAAGCCAAGGAGAGAGGCCTCAGGAGAAACCAGCCCTGCTGACACCTTGAAGTCAGGCCTCTACCCTCCAAACTGTGGAAAGATAGATGAATTTCTGTTATTTAAGCCACCCAGTTTGTAGTCCTTTGTTATGGTGGCCTGAGCAGACCAATGCACAGATCCAGAGAGAAATACTCTCCTCTCAACAGGGGACTGACAGGGACTTCCCTGGTGGTCCAGTGGTTAAGAACTGCCTTGCCGTGCAGGAGACGCGAGTTCGATCCCTGGTGGGAGAACTAAGACCCCATGTGTGGTGGAGCAACTAAGCCCTTGGCCAGAGCTACTGAGCCTGCGCACTCTGTGCCACAGTGAAGATCCCGCATGCTGCAAATGAGACCCGACATAGCCAAACCAATATTAAAATCTTTAAAAAAGCATTGAGGATTATATTGGAGTATCCTATTTACGAACACTGATGACATGAGTATGCCACGAGTAATGGATGCAGTAATTTTATGCAAAGGGTTCTCCAAAATCTGAAAATCACTTGAATCACTCCTCCAGCGTAAAAAGACTGAGAAAGGCCGTGCCTTCTCCCTTCCTTTGAACCTCATCCACCACCATCTTGCCAAGACTTTGCTCTGCAGCTCCAATCTACTCAAGGATGTGTTTACTCAGGGCCTGCTATGAGCACCAGGCTAGGCACCGCATGTATGATGGTGAACAAGTCCCCGCCTTCAGCAATTTTAGTCCAATGAGAGAGGAAGAGACGAAAGTCACTGTCCTGTTGTGATAAACACAATGACAGTATTGAAGCAAAGAAGAGGGACACGTAACACCCTCCAAGATTCAAGGAGAGTGAAGGCTGGGGGGCCGGGTGCTGGGGACTGCTCTAGACAAAGGGAGCAGCAGGCTGTGACCATCTGTTCTTTGGGGAGGCAGAGAGGTAAAACCCCGGGTGTCATGCTTTCAGATGGCCGTGGAGCCAGAGACAGCACCAGCTCGAGACTCACAGAAGAGACTAGCATCCTCCAGCAGCCGGGACCACTGGGGCTCTCCCATGCTAATATAAGAGGCCGACCAGGAATTAGAAGTAATAACAAGCAACAAAGACAAGAGTGCTAAGAGGCCAGAAAAGAGCACACAATGATGGAACGACCAGGCTCTAACATTCACCCCCTAAAACCACCATACTTCACCCTCTTCCTGTTTGTCAGACTGATACCTGAGGACCTGGCCCCTTTCTGCTACTTCAGTGCTGTCCACCATTTATCAAAGTCAAGTTTCTCTCAACGTGTCCTTAAAGTTTTTACTCCAGATTTGAGGATAACACAGAAAATATTTATAAGTCATATACCTGATTAGGGACTTGTATCTAGAATACATAGAGAACTCTTACTGGGGATGTTGTGTACAGCATGGTGACCATAGTTAATATTATAAACTGCATGTGTGAAGTTGTTAAGAGATCTTAAAAGTTCTCATCACTGGAGTAGGAAATGGCAGCCCACTCCAGCATTCTTGCCTGGAAAATCCCTTGGATAGAGAAGCCTGGTGGGCTACAGTCCCTGGGATTGCAAAGAGTCGGACACGACTGAGTGACTGAACACACCCAAACCAAGCCATAGAGTTTCAGTGACCCACCCAAGCACCCAGGCGGAGCGGGCGCAGAGGTGAGCGAGCTCCAGGCCTACATCGCGCAGTGCCAGGACAGCCCCACCTCCGGCAAATTCCGCCGCGGGAGCGGCTCCGCCTGCAGCCTCCTTTGCTGCTGTGGCAGGGACCCTTCGGAGGAGCATTCGCTGCTGGTGAATTGACTCGGACCCGGACTGCTACTGGACATTAACCACCACTCCCCGGAGTGCAGAGACCCAAGCTTATTTATTTTTACCCTTTGCTTTTAAGGGCCGGCTGCCAGTCGGGCCCCGTGAGGGCCTGGGCCAGTCGGGTCGGACGTTGGACAAGGATAGAGTGGGTGTTAAATAAACGGGAAAAAAAAAAAAAAAGTTCTCATCACAAGAACAAGTATTCTGTAACTGTGTACAGCAATGGATGTGAACTAGACTTACTGTGGTGATCATTTCACAATACATACAAAAATCAAACCATTATGTGGTACATTTCAAACATAATGTTGTACGCCAATTACACCTCAGTTAAAAATTGTTTTTAAGAAGTGTTAAGAATTCACTGGTTATCCCGGAGGGTCCCTTAAACACATCCACCTGGACACCTATCTCAAACGCAACATGTCCAAGTGGCCACTCTCTTGCTCCCTGACACCGAGTCGTGAGTGCACTTCCACTCACTGCTGGAGCGGAGGCCGTGCCCATCTCAGCCCCTCCTCTCAGTGCTGAGGGGCACACTCTGTCCATTCTCTTCTCCAGTCCTTCCTTCACACTGCTTCTCTCACCCGGCATATCTCATCCCAGCTCAATTCAATGCCTCCGTTAAGAGTCCATGTTATTTTGTAGAATTTTCTGCATTCAGCAATCATATTACCTGCACTGATCTTCTCTGCCCAGCTAGTTGACAAATCTTTAAATGTAAGAACCAGGCTTAGCTCTTCTCAATTTAATAAATAAATATTTATGAATTTACTATTAATATTTAAACATATGTCCCCTCCCTCTTAAACGTCCCTCCCAACCCACCCTTCTAGGTTGTCACAGAGGACTGGGTTGAGCTCCTTGCTATATAACACTTTTTTTGAAAATAGCATTTATAACATCCTATCCCCATGTGATATAACAAGTTTTTAATTTCTCAATTCCTTATTACCGCAGATAACAAAGAACCAGGAACAATACTGTGCATTCAATAAACATCGGATTTCATGTACTTGGTCACCTTTACAGAGCCTAATACATACCATTTCCCCTCCACACTTCAGCTAAATGGCAACTGCCTTCTCCAGGTTCTTTGCAAAATTCGACAACATCACGACATGTTGTTTCTGGTGTTATAGGAACTTCTGTTAAAATCTGTTCATTGTTGCTCAAGAACACGGTTAATATCATCTGGAAGAAAAAAGATTAAATTAAAGCTACAACTTAGAGTCATTAAGCAATAAAAAGATTAACTTGCAAATTAAAAGTGATTTCCCCACCTTCCTACCGCCACTCCATCTGGCCAAAATGCTTACAGGACAGGTTAGGCTCACTCTATAGTTCATGTTGAAAAATTAAAATGTAAGACAAGTCAGGAAAATGCCCCAAGAGGAGTATTAGAAGGGAACTAGCATTACTGGGTATTATAAAGCCTCAATATGGTAAGGCACCCGAACATCAACAGATCAATGGGACAAACTATGAAGTCCAGAAACATAAAATGGCAAATGATGAAGGAGGTACCTCAAAACTGATGAGGGAAAAGATTATTCAGTGAATGATGCTTGAATAATTAATATACCCCCCTGGAAAAAAAATGGATATATATTGTATATTATATACAAGCAATAAGTTCCTAATCAAATATTTTAAAATAAATCACAAAATTATAAAAATTCTAAACTAAAACTGGGTAAATTTTTTTGTAACCTTGGAGTACAGAGCCCTTTCTCACTATGATTGAAAAACCATTATAAGATATATTCAAAAAATTAAATACAAGGATCTTTTACAAAGCAAAAAAGACAAACTGGGGGAAAATATTTGCAACTAATATCACATATAAAAAGTCAATCTCAATATCTAAAGTGAAAGTGAAAGTGACAGTTGCTCAGTCGTGTCCAATTCTGCAACCCCGTGGACTATACAGTCCATGGAATTCTGGAGGCCAGAATACTGGAGTGGGTAGCCATTCCCTTCTCCAGGCGATCTTCCCAACCCAGGGATCAAACCCAGGTATCCCACATTGCAGGTGGATTCTTTACCAGTTGGGCCACAAGGAAAGCCCTCAATATCTAAAGGGCTCCTAAAAATTGGTACTAGGAAAGACCAAAAATCCTATTTATTTTTTAAAATTGAAGAAATAATATATCACAGTAAAAAAATGAAAATGGTTCTTAAATAAAAGCAAATTATAATTTCAAAAAATAAAAATTGTCCAGTGCTATTTTTTTTTAAAATCTTAAAAAAAAAACCCCAAAAATCTATCAGTTTGACTTAAGAACCCAAGAGATCCTGTGAGAAGCGATTTTTAAAAACATTACTCCTAAAGTAAAATTTAAACCAAAGATTTTCTTTAATCAGACAATATCATAAAATATTTGTTTAATCTTTGATCAAAGTCAGAAACAAAATCTGACTTTGGAATCCCCAAATTCCCTTCTCAAAAATCTCAGCTGTCAACTGAGTGTCTTAGTATAGTTTCTTGGTAAAACGTTTTTTTCTTACAAGTGCCCTACATGGCTAACTTGTGACATGGAACATCTTTCTACTGGTGGCCAGGTTTTATCTGACCAAACCCAGCAGAGTTACACACTGCTCTCTGGCCCCCCACCCCGTCTCCTCTCACCCCACCGGCCCGTTGCCATCCCCAGCTCCCTCTCTAGCGCCCCCTCTAAACGGGAACCCAGTGACGTCACTTCCTGGCTGAAAACATTCAGGAGCCCGTGCCGCCCAACAGCCATCCCTCCCCAGACGTTTCTTCCGGTTTATAAACAGGAAGCTGGGCTCTTCACTGAGCACTCGGAGGCCAACATCGCCATGTGCATGTGCATCTCTAGCTGTTCTGCCCCAGAGACTCTTGCGGGGCTTGGATCTCCACAGAACACCCTTCGAGAAAGCCTGGACGACAGGACAAGCTGCAGGCTCCGATCAAGGGAAACATTCCTCACCACCTTCCTGGTCTTCCAGTCCCACTGCCTTCCTGTGCTCAACCTTGCTCCCTCCTCTCCAGTTCTCGCAGGCCACTGGCCTCTGCGCCAGTACCCTTCCTGTGTGCCTATAAACTCCTGTTCACCCTGCAGAACTCAGCTCACGTGCTACCACCTTTGCAAAACCTCCCTTCACCACCTTCTCTCACCAGGGAGGCTACATGTTCCTCCCTTTGTGATCCAGTAACCCTTCACACACATCTTTATTACATCACAGTGCCAACCTGTTTACCTCCCTCACTAGGCTCCAGGCAATTCAGCCTTGAATCTTTCATTCCACTTCCTGATCAGCATCTGATGCCTGCGAGGCTCCCTGAAATCGGGTCGACTCCACGAATGACACACAAAATGTAAAGTCTACCACGCCACATTACTGAAGAAACGCTGCACATGCTCTAAGTAAGATACATCCAATCCGTGCAGCAAACAAGCATCTTCATTCGGTTCTTCTAGAAATTACAAAGTTCCATCTCACAAGAAATAAAACAGTTCTTTCTGCTCACTGACCCAGACAAATTTTTAAATGTCGGGGGTCTTTTAAACACTAACATTACTGGCTTGGAATCTGTATAATTTGGAATAAAACAGGTAAATCCTGAATCTAGTACAAACAAGTCCAGAACTTGAAAGGCCTTAAGCTATACCAGTTTCACCAGAAGAATTAGATTTTTATTTTTATTTACACATTTATTTTACAGTTCTAATGGTAAATCTGGAGTAGGAAATGGCAAACCACTGGAATATTCTTGCCTGGGAAATCCCATGGACAGAGGAATCTGGAGGGCTACAGTCCACAGGGTCACAGAGGTGGACACAACTGAGCATGAATCCACACATGGTAAGTATTTTCCCATGTGATTTCATAGTCTGTGCTTTTTCAGATCAAACAATTTATTTTCCCAAACCACAGTTTATAAATCGAAATTTCAAGGCAGCGAAAAATTTTTTAAAAATCATCTTCTCTTTCAGTGTTGGAACTACAGCTCACTAATGACCAGGAGAGGGTTCTGCTTCTCTCGGTTCTTTAGCCCTTTCAGCCTCATCCCACACCCACACACCCACTACGGGGTCCATGGTTTGTTCTCCATGCTCTGAGCAAGTGAAGGTTTACACAAGCATGTGCTTCGGGAAGCCGGGCCTCTGGCCAGAACCAGTCTCGCGTGCTCACACCCACCATGGGCACACACTGGCATCCACAGAGGCACGGCTTGTGCTGCCCTGCTCACAAAGCAGATTTCTTTAGGAACCTGTTGTCAGAATGAAAGATGGCATGACACTCTGGGGATGCTTTCTGAATTACCAAGACTTGTGAATAAGTTCAACATGATGGGAGAAGCAGAGCAGAGGTAGAATGGCAAAGTTGTCAGTCTGAACTTTAATTTTTAGAAGTTAAGAACTCCCAGATAAAATCCACGAACCTATGGTCACCTTATCTTTGACAAAGGAGGCAAGGATATACAATGGAAAAAAGACAACCTCTTTAACAAGTGGTGCTGGGAAAACTGGTCAACCACCTGTAAAAGAATGAAACTAGAACACTTTCTAACACCATACACAAAAATAAACTCAAGATGGATTAAAGATCTAAATGTAAGACCAGAAACTATAAAACTCCTAGAAGAGAACATAGGCAAAACACTCTCCGACATAAATCACAGCAGGATCCTCTATGACCCACATCCCAGAATTTTAGAAATAAAAGCAAAAATAAACAAATGGGACCTAATGAAACTTAAAAGCTTTTGCACAACAAAGGAAACTATAAGCAAGGTGAAAAGACAGCCCTCAGATTGGGAGAAAATAATAGCAAACGAAGCAACAGACAAAGGATTAATCTCAAAAATATACAAGCAACTCCTCCAGCTCAACTCCAGAAAAATAAATGACCCAATCAAAAAATGGGCCAAAGAACTGAACAGACATTTCTCCAAGGAAGACATACAGATGGCTAACAAACACATGAAAAGATGCTCAACATCACTCATTATCAGAGAAATGCAAATCAAAACCACAATGAGGTACCATTACACACCAGTCAGGATGGCTGCTATCCAAAAGTCTACAAGCAATAAATGCTGGAGAGGGTGTGGAGAAAAGGGAACCCTCTTACACTGTTGGTGGGAATGCAAATTAGTACAGCCACTATGGAAAACAGTGTGGAGATTTCTTAAAAAGCTGGAAATAGAACTGCTATATGACCCAGCAATCCCACTTCTGGGCATACACACCGAGGAAACCAGGTCTGAAAGAGACACGTGTACCCCAATGTTCATCGCAGCACTGTTTATAATAGCCAGGACATGGAAGCAACCTAGATGCCCATCAGCAGATGAATGGATGAGGAAGCTGTGGTACATATACACCATGGAATATTACTCAGCCATTAAAAAGAATTCATTTGAATCAGTTCTAATGAGATGGATGAAACTGGAGCCCATTATACAGAGCGAAGTAAGCCAGAAAGATAAAGACCATTACAGTATACTAACACATATATATGGAATTTAGAAAGATGGTAACGATAACCCTATGTGCAAAACAGAAAAAGAGACTCCTATGTATAGAACAGACTTGTGGACTCTGGGAGAAGGCGAGGGTGGGATGTTTCAAGAGAACAGCATTGAAACACGTATATTATCTAGGGTGAAACAGTTCACCAGCCCAGGTTGGGTGCATGAGACAAGTGCTCGGGCCTGGTGCACTGGGAAGACCCAGAGGGATTGGGTGGAGAGGGAGGTGGGAGGGGGGACCGGGATGGGGAATACATGTAAAAAAAAAAAAAGATACACTATGGTGTGATAAAAAAAAAAATTAATTAATTAATTAAAAAAAAAAAGAACTCCCAGATAACTGATCCAAAAGTCACTACACATTATTTCAGTTTTTAATTCTATTTTAAAGTCTTTACTAAACACTATCTTTCCTAATCTTAGCAAAACCCATTTCCTCTAATCTCCACTACGCAGTCAAAGCTAACTTCATTACAATCATGAGACTTAAAAGCCTTTGAGATAAAGTAAGCTGGCACTGACCTGGATGGTACGTACTTCCTAAATCATTTTCTAAAATTAGCGCTGAAAAGGCATCAGGTTGCTACCATTATTATAGCAAGGTTTCCCCAGATTAAAAGAAATGGAAGTATCTTCAACACAAGTAACATGTGCATTCACTTGATGCATTTTTAAAAGTATCTTTGAAATC